ACAGCAGAGGTGGAGACAGCGGCGGCGGCAGCAGAGGCGGCTGCTGCATTGGCGTTGGAGGCAGCGGCGGCGGCAGCAGCGGTGGCGGCGGCATTGGAGGCGACCGTGGTGGCGGTGAGCTGGCGTCAGCGATGGGCGGCTGCAATCCTGGCTGTGCGGTCGGGTTTCAGGTGCGCGCGGGCGGCTGGGTGGTTGGTTATTCGGTTGGCCGGTTGGGTGCCGTACAAGCACAACTATGCATTTAGTATGTTTATAGGCATGTTCTTTGTTGTGCAGTCTCTCGGCACAAGCGTCCTGCGCTGTGACGCGGCATGCCGTGCATGCCTTGCATGCGGCCACGCACAGCTAATTTGATTTTCGCAGTACAGACATCTGAAACAGCAAAACGCCACAGCTCCTTCCTTAGGCACCACGACCAAGCCCCCCTCGTCCCTTCCCACGCCACCCCTCTCCCGGCCGCAGGGACCCCGCTGTTGAGAAGCGGTGCACCGCCTTCCGCTGCGCCCAAGCCCCTCGCACCGACCTCCTGGCAGCAGCCGGGAGCACCGCCTTCATCCTCGCCGCCACCGCAGCAGGACTCGGCAACACCACGCTGCTTCCTGCTGTCTACGCTAAACGCATCGGTCCCGGCGGGGTGAGTGGCGGCGGCGCCGACCCCGACCCTAACGCCTCCCAACGCATCCAGGCCACGATGGTGTCTGGGCTGGAGGTTGGGGTGGCAACGGAGGCGGATGCAGCGCGCTGGCATGAGGCTGCAGCGGGTCGCATGGCGGGCACCTGCGTCGACACCTCGTGGGCAGCCGCCGGTGATGCTGCTGCGTCGGCGGCGCATCCGGGGATGTGGTTGCAGCTGCTGCTGGCGACGAGCTGTCTGGTGCTGCCCGGGCTGCTGTTCACGGCCAGGGGAAGGCTGGGGGAGCCAAGGTGAGGTCGGGCGCCCTTGTCGGTTCTGCTGTCGGTAATGCTCGGAGCCCCGTATCTCCCGCTTGCTAAGGAGGCCTTTTGCAGCGACCCTTTCAAGGGCATCGTCAGCATCTCCTTTCTGACCTTGTTCCGTTGGATTTTCCTCAACCATTTCCTCCCTCCTGCTTTCCTTGCCTCCCCGCGCAGGCTCCGAGACCGCTTCCTGGCCGCCACCCACATCATCTGCATGAGCGCGCTGTGCCTGCACCTGCTGCTGCTGGAGGCGGGAGCAGCGGGGGCAGCACCCGACACGCAGGTTGGACCCGCGCTGACGTTTGGCCGAGTGCTGGCGGGCTTGATGGCGGTCGTACAACCCGCGTTGTACAGCGTAAGTGCGTGCGGTGTCGTACAATGTGAAGGTCGCACAGTTGTACTACGAATGCAAGAAACGCATTGTTGTGACTGTTATTCTTCCCAGTAAGGGGGCATGTCAGCATGCCGGACGTGCATGTCGCCCCTTCCATCCGCTCCAGTTTCCAGATGTGCATCCATCCATCTCACACACCCGACGTTACCTGCCCGCCCGCCCCCACCTTGCCTCCCTCCATGCAGATGCACTACACCCGGGGTGGTGTCTGCTGGCTAGCGGACCTCGTCATCCTCACCACGCTACTGTACGGCGGTGGTGATGTGGCAGGTGGCGGCAGACTGTTGCGCGACTGGGTTGGTCCCGCCGTCCGTGCGCTGGTTCTGGTGGCTACTTCGGCGGCTCTGGTGGCCGCGGTGGACCTCTCGTGGCGGCTGCACTTCCTGCACCAGATGCCGCGCGAGGAGGAGAGGAAGGTGGTGCAGGAGCAGCGTCCGTAGCGGCGACGGCCGCAGACGTAGCCACATCAAAATGCTGGAGGAGGAACACGCGGGTTTACAATTGACAGGATAAGGAGTTTGTATAAAAAGAGGAAAGCCTAGGAAGTGTCATGGATGCTATGTCGGAACCACGTCGCGCGGATTCGTGTCCGTTAAAGATCGTGATGCGGTGTGTGGCAACAGAGGCGGTTCGGAGTGACTGGAACGAGAGGTCGCATGCATGCATCGGCCGCTAAGGCCCTGCCCTGCGCTGTGGCATTGCCAGCAGTGCTAAGGGCGAGAGTTCTTCGACTTGCGGGAAAGTACCGTTCCGCGCGGGAGAGAGGACACTTGCGAGCTGCGCCGCTTGCAATTTCCGTGCGTTTGCAGAATGTTTTTCGTAGTGGTTTCGGTAAGTAATCTGTTGACGAGGTTTGCGAACCCCGCGCAGACTGCAAGGTAGTAGCCCAAAGAAGTGGATGTTAACCCCACCTACTTTGCTATTGCTTGCTGGTCTTACGCTGACACCCCTGGCACGAGTGTCTTCCCTTCCGGACGATCAGTGCGCGCACGACGCATTGCCACACGGGTATCGCCAAACGCTTGGAGTTGTTTGGGCCCGGTCGACAGGGCACATGGGCACATGGGGTTGATCATCTAAAATTGTACGACGATGGTGCGTACATTACATTACTCATGCCGTGTTCAGGCTTCGCAGCACTTCGCTACTTGCACATTTGTGTGGTGGGTGTTGGCTGGTAGCTCAGATTTTGCTTTCTTTGTCCTGCATGTCGCCTTCACTCGGGTGGGTTGCAACCAACGCATGTGAATGTCTGTGCTCCACTGGTCATTTGTGCTCGTCGTGTGTTTCCCGGGCCATGCGCTGGGTTAGTAAAACGTAGTTTTTCATGAACACTGTTATTATCGTACAGATAATACCGAACTACCAATGATTCTTTGATGGTCTTGAAAACCATGGAAGTTAAATTTTAGATGCTTGTTGGTTGTTTTGTCCTCCTTTGCGACCCATGGGTCACAGGGCTGCTGGGGCTTTTGTCCAGGGCCCTGCTGGATAGGGTTGCTGGTGGGAGCTGTGTGAGCCCTGCCGTACGGGGCCGCGAGTGGATGGGTGGGGGTGCTCGTGAAAATTCTAGCCGTTCCGTCTGTGCTGTTACTGACTGGCCGGGATTGGCGGGAGGTTTTCATTGGTGGAATGGAGGTCGCGCTATCTAGGAATGAAGTTGCCATGCCGTTAAGACTCGAACTGGAAAGCATGGGAACTTGCTGCATGCCTGCCGGGTGTGCCTCGAGTATTCCTGGTTGCCGCTTTGTTTGAACGTTGTTGTTGTTATTATGTTACTTTGGAAATAGCTGCTGACGACAACAACGGCACGTATTCTTTTGCCGTACAAAAGCTGTGTTACCTGTCTTCCTGCCCTTTACCTGCATACGTACCTAGGATAGCCGAGCACTGGGTCATTGTTCGCATCCCTGCATGCCTGCTGCAATTGTCGTATCGTGCACGTGCGTACGGGAGATGTACGCTGCATGCGAGGGTGGACCGTGCTGGATTTGATCCCGTACATCTTGTTTTCCATGTCTCTGGGATGGATAATTAGCTTTTGAACCTGTTTGAACAGCACATGTTTGAACAGCACATCAAGCGTCTTTAAGCGGGCTGATACGATTAGGGGAACGCCGTCGGCTGTGGCGATGGTACCGCACACTTGTCGTGCGGGTGTGCCTGCATAAAGCTTTTACACCGGTCGCATTGCTAGGAGCCTGGCTTTCGTTTGACTAGGAAGTTGAAGGATACGGTTCATGGTAGCTTTTTGAGGCCCATGTAAAGCTTGGGTAGGTGAGAGGGAGTTGCTGCTGGGAACGGTCGCGGTCGTCGCCTTAATGTTCTAGCGGTGATTTCGCACGGAATATTGTCAGATCCAATGTCCGACAGTTTCGACTTCCTCTAGCGAATCCTTTTGCGCCACATTCACCGGTAATGGAGTGGACTTAACGTAAGAGGAGAATTCGGGTTTGTACTTCTGGTGCCTTACGGGCTGCACAGTAGTCCCCTACTGGCAGGACACTACTGCTGCGTTGTCGTGTTTTCTTTGCGGTGTGCGCCAAGGAGCAGCCGAATCCTTCGGGGCTTTCCCACGTCTATCGTCTCTTCCCCGTTCTGAGGAGGAAGTATGGCCTCGTCGATAAATGCTGGCCTGCCTCTCTCTCGGCGCCTTAGGTGCACATACGTGGCTGTTGAGGTGCGCGGTCGATCAACGGGGTACCAAGTGCTCGCTGCGTAGGTTGTTATGGGTTCCGGGGTCACCTGACCCACGGGTCACCTCGTTGCGTGACACAAGGTATCATTGTAATAAATTTCAAATATACGGATCAGACCCCGGAAAGAGGCCCCTAGGTCAGGAACTGACACATGGTGAGACACCCCACGGTAGGGAGAAAGGACACCAACAACACACCACAGTCCTGTTGGTTAAGACAGGATTGGAACGCATGACAGAATGCTACTTGGCACGCATCACGGCACTGGTGGAACAACAATTGTTGGCCATGAAGCCCTGACCTCGTTCGCAAAACGGCGACGTGAACATATCTTCGTACCGCCGTGCCACCGTTTATTATGAGTACAGCGGCGCCACGTAGCGGTAGCCGTACTCATCGTACATCTCCCGCTTGGAAGTGTCGTACAATTGTTTAACTACTCGGAAGCAGTGCTGTGGATCGGCTGCCGTACCAAATGAGTGCCGGCCTTGCAGGAGGCGGACCTAGCGTGCGGGAGAGCTACGCAGTAGTGCCCTAAGAGCCGCTGTCGATAGGGAGGCGGCGGCAGGGTGCAGTGCACATGTGGGCTAGCAGGAGAGCGAGGGGAGCCGGGAGGTATCGAGGGATCAGCCAATACTTCGTAATGATGTAACTGTTAGCGTGCATGGCAAGACCGGCAGCACGGCATGTACGGTCCCGAAGACAAGTTACTATCCTCCCTTTAATTACTCGGAACTCGAAGCCAGAAGCGGTCATGTGGTATGCGTGCTGCACCATGTTCAGTCTGTAGCCCCGAAACCGCTCTCGCGGCACCGGGGAACCTAGATGGGTAGGTATGGGTGGTTATGCGGAATGCGCGCCGGGGTGTACAGCATGTTAGTATGCCGTAGATAGCATTTGCAAGGTAGTACCCGTTGTACGACACGTGTGATGGCGACGACGACGTACACGGCGACGTGGACATTGGTGTTGCTTGTGATGTCGTACGCAGGGGCTTTGCGATATGAGGTTGTGAAAGGAAGATACTGTAAAGCTGGTATACTATGTTGGCAAGCGATGTAAGGAGTAAAGATTGTTGCCTGCTCCTTCGCCAGCAACCTTCTGTTGTGCCGGTCAAGAGTCCAAGTACGTGCACACTTCTCTGCCGTATCCATGGTTCGAACACACAACCGAAATAGCAGACGCCGCCAAAGAAGTGGCAACCGACATTACTTTGTGCAGATGCACTCAGAAGAGGTGTCGCGGTAACAATGCACGAGCCACACCCTTGAAACGAACAGCCGCTCATCCCGACCATAACCCCAAGAGTACAGCCCAAGAGGCATTAGTAACTGTTATGGACCAAAGCACCCACACGCCACCCTACCTACGCCTACACTCATGGTTAGATGTCAAAGTCACCGGGCATTGCGCAGGGCCTTCCTGTAACACCACCATCCTGACCCCGCCTGGGCGCCCAACACCAATCCAACATGCAGTCCTGACTGTCATTCGTTACTTCACACTACACCGTCAGCCCCCACACTGTGTGCTCACCTCGCCAAATGCCTCCTGAACTCCCTAATTGTGGACCCCATGCAGTCGCCGGTACATGCCTGTCCTCCAACTCACCCATAACAGTAATTGTTTGTTTGTTTCATGCGATCTAGCATGCGCCTAGCCAAGACGCACATGCATTGACACTCTACATAAACAGTCAGTTTCATTGGTCCGTCCGTCAAGCACACAAACGCGAATGTACACGAAAGGTCAAATCCTAAGAATTAAGCCTATAGCCCTCTGCAGTTCCTGGCGCGTGTGTACCGCAGCTCCGCATCACACCAACAGCTGCGGTAATAACAGCGGCGGCGGTAATAACTGCGTCCCACCCCGACAATGCTTATTAGCACCATCCAAAGCCCCATGCGGCTTCTACTGTTGCCCCATGTTCCCCGCGCCGCCGCCGCTGCCGCCCCCCGGGAGCTGCCCCCCCTGCTGCGCCGCCCCCAGTGGGAACCCCGCATACGCCCCCAGCAGCACCTGCCGGTTCGCGAGGGCCTGCTGCAGCTCAGGGGGCACCCCCCCAACCCCAACTCCCATCCCGTGGCCCTCGCCCCCGGCAGCAGGTGCCCCGCTGCCACCGCCGGCGCTGCCGCCATTGGCCTCCATGAAACCAGCGGTGAAACCGCCGCCCGTGATGCCAACAGGGTAGGCGGAGGCGCCGCCACCGCTGCTGCTGCCGCCACCGCTGCTTCCTTCCAGTTTTACCTCCTGCACACCAAGCAGCCAAGGTGCGAAAGATCAGGAGGCAAGCGGCCATGGCCGACGCACATGCAGCCACGCACAGGACACACACAACCCATATAAGCTACTTTCTTCTGCAAACATTGAAACAAGATCAACCGCAGCTTCAACTCCCCTGCAGTTACAACCTACTGACTACCCGCTTACCGTCTTGACTGCTACATGCGGTGCCCCCGCACCCTGCTGCTGCTGCTGCTGTGCCAGCTGCTGCTGCTGCTGTACTGCCGCCGCCAGTCGTGCCGCCGCCGTCGCCGGGTCCACCCCTAGGCCCAGTGCCATCCCTGCCAGCTGCTGCTGCTGTTGGAGCGCCGCCGCCACGTCCACCTGCACGGGTCGCGGGGCTGCGGGGCCGCCAGCAGCGCCGCTGCCGCCACCCGAGCCCCCTGCCGCCGCCGCCCTGCCGCCACCCGCCTCCTGCCCGGCTGTGAGGTCGAGTGGCTTGGCCTCCTCCTGGGCGGGTGCGAGGGAGGAGGGAGGAGGGGAGAGGAGTAACCAACCATGTGACAAAGGGGCCACCATGTGGGAGCGAGGGGTGCGAAGGGGGAGGCATCCAGGTAAGCGGGCATACCGCTCCATGCAGTCCCCCTTGTACCCTCGCGTCCACCCTCTTCCCTCCCCCGCTGGCCCTCTGACCGCACCTGCTCCTGGCCCCTGCTGCCGCCTCCGCTGCCGCCCTCCGGCGCATACCTGCAAACCACAGCGGCGACACGTGTGGGAGCACATGTCAGGCAAAGAGGAATGTAAGGAAGAGGAAAGCGAAACCCATTTTGATGCGACTCTGCTCTGTGCGGCGGACCATACACCCCTCCCACACATACGACCAAATACCCTGTAGGCATGTACCCTTTCCACGCCCTTTCAACACCCACCCCGCCACCGCCCCGCCACCACCCACCTGCGATACACCCGCCCCCCTTGCAGCGCGGCGGGGTCTTCCCCATACCCGCCCCGCCCGCTGCCCTCCTCTCCGTCGCTCTCGTCTCCATCCCGCACCCTCCGGATGTCCTCATGCGCCTGCCCCCCGCCGCGCGCCTCGGGGTCCTCCTCCGGCAGCCCCTCCTCGGGCCGGTCGCGGCCCATGCGCTGTGGCACGTAGGCCATCTGCGCGCTGGGCACTGGCGGCAGGCGGCTCAGGTGCTCCAACACGGCGGTCTGTGGGGGGGGGAGTGGCGGGAGGGAGGAGGTCAAGTTGCAAAGCTCGCTGGCCGACGGTGCTGCTGTGGGGGTCAGTTGTTCACGCCCTTCAGCCCTGTCACTGAATCTACACAACGTCCATGAGCTGTTTATACCTTGATTTCCTCCAGCTCCTGGCGGTCATTCGCGTTCTTCATGTTGGACACCGCGATACGCAGCCGCTGGGTGTCCATGTACCTGGGGGGGGCGGGAAGGGGGAGAGGGGTGGGCGGGGCGGAGGGAGAGGCAGTCTACAATTTGGCTTGAGGGGAAGTCGCAATGCAGGGCTGGCGGTGCGCACAGGCTGCACATCGGCAGCCTCCTAGCTGAAGCGGCTCCCGCCGCCAGCCCTTCTCCTCCAGCCCTCCGTTCCACGCCGTTCCTCAACTCAGGTTACTCCCTTCGCTTCCCCCCCACCCCAATGCCCCTCTAGAAGCCAGGTTCGAGCCTCAAGCCTCACATGTTGAATGAGTCGAGCGCCTTCTCCGGCAGCCTGCAGCGGACAACAGCGGGCGGCAGGCAGGCAGGGAGGGAAACGCGGGAGCACTGACACTACACGATGAGTACGACATAGAGCGTACAACCACAAGACATGGCCTCCATGTTTCCCAATCCCCAGCTGCGTATACGATGCACGCTATGCAGCCCGAGTCTGGACACCCCTACCTTTCTCTCTCCCATCCTCCCTCATTACCCCTTGGCTTCCCGCCTCCCCCCTCCCCGCCCTCTCGCTCACTCCCCCTGCCCCCCCCCCGCTCACCCGTCCGGCAGGTCCACTCCCATCATGCGACCCGTCTCGTAGCACCAGCACCGCGCCACGTTGCGCAGCGTGTAGCCGCCACCGCCCACAATCAGCATGGGCACGTTGAACCTGCGGGAGGGGGGGAGGGGGCGAGAGGGGGAGGAGGGGGAGGAGGGGACATCGGGCGGGTGGGCAGGGCGGGGTCCAGCAAAGGGAACCTCAAGCGGGACAGACATGGATGGGGGTCCTATTACCGTGGGCGTCCTATTACGGTAGCAAGGCAGGTTGGCCGCTGAAAATGAGATCCTTCAAGCAAGCTGTCCCACCCTCCCGCAAGCCCCACCGCCCTGCCCTGGTATTGGGCTTCCACTGCAGGACTCTCTCTCTGTATCTCCCCTGTACCCCCCCGCCTCCAGTTGATGCACTTCTCATTCATTTTCCCCCGCCTCCCCCGCACCCACTTTGCCAGGAACTCCAGGCAGTTGCTGTGCCCCTCCAGCGAGAGGTTGAAGCAGCCCAGCCGGTCGCCGGACAGCGAGTCGGCACCGCAGCACATCACGATGGCCCCCGGCTGATACATCTCCATGACCTTTTGGGGGGGCGGGGCGGGGTGGGGCGGAGGAGAGGAAGGGAAAGAGACCCAGAGAGTTGAGAAGAGGGAAGACCGCATGGGAGGGAGGGTGGTGTGGTGAGCAGGGAGAGGACGGGGAAGAATGGCGGTTGCGACAATAACAGGATGGCCCTGGACTACCGGTACAACTGAACGCGGTCGGCCAGCGCTAATCCCGCCCCGCCCCTGCCCCCCTCCCGCAGCCCCCACAACCAGCCCCCCGCCCCACCTTCTGCATGATGGGTTCGTACATGAGGCGGTACGAGTCGTCGTCCATGCCGTCCTTGAGCGGCACGTTGACCGCGTAGTACTTGCCCTTACCGTGCCCGATGTCGTCCAGGGCGCCCGTGCCGGGGAAGAACTCGCCAAACTTGTGGAACGACACCTGGTGGCGGTGTTGCGGGCGGCAGCAGGGCAGCATAGCGAGCAGGGCAGGGGGTAGGGCAAGTCAGAACACGCAACACGAAAGAGTGACACGAGCGGTATGGCGTGGAAGGGGGTGCTTATGGAGCCCAGACTGTCAGCTAGGCTGTCGGGGCGGGTTCTCCTGCGCTCCCAGACATGAACCGGAGCTCAGCCCTCCTGCTGTGTGACACCCCGCCAATGCATGCTCCACTGCCTCCCGCCACAGGCCCCCCTGCCTGCCTCCCCCCTGCCTTCGTCGCCATCGGCTGTTTCCCTGCTTGCCGGCTGCGGGAGGGTCTCGCCTCACCGTCATGACCCGGTCTGTGAGGTAGAAGGCCTCCTCCACTCCGTCCCCGTGGTGGATGTCAATGTCCACATACAGCACCCGGGCGTACGTCTGGAGGGGAGCAGCAGGGCGGAACGGGCCAGGGCAAGGGAATTGGGGGTTAGGCAAGTGAGGCGAGGGAGAGTAGGAGACCTTTCGTACCGTCGGCTTGACCCCATCCCAATCCTTCGTGATCCCTTTTTACCCGGCCACCACCCGGCTTCCGGTCCTTAGGGCTGTCAGCAGCTCTACGTGGGCTCCAGCACCCACCAGCTCCCATCCCTCCACTCTCTGTCCCTAAGCCCTTAGTCGATCCCCGCCCGCGTTCCCTTTCCTCTATCCATGGCCGCCCTCGTCCTTTCCCTCCCTTAACCCACTCCCACACCCCCTGCTCTTCCCGGCCCCTGCTCGAGATTGGCCCACCACGTCTAGGGCGGCCCCCATCACTATCACAAAACCAACCTCCCTCTCTGCTTCTCCCCACCCCAGGGCCCCACCTTCAGCAGCTCTAGGATGGCTAGCACGATGTCATTCACGTAGCAGAACCCGGAGGCCTCCGCCTTTTTGGCATGGTGCATGCCGCCTGGAGGGCAGGCGGGCAGGGGCGGGGAGGAGGTGGCGCGGCAGGAATGACAGGGGCGGCTTATGTGCAGAGCGGCTGCGTGCAAGTGGCTTCTGTTGGTAGCGCTGAGGGTGCGAGAGAAAGGGGCGCCGTGGACCCGCTATGGACGGAGTTTCCAAGGCGGCCTACCATCGACTGGAAACTGAACGAAGCACTTGTGCGGCTTTGCGTTGCTGTGCTACGCTTTGTACTGGGCCCGATTAAGGGAAGGATCATCGTCTTCGCTTATTGCATGTAGAAGGAACAAAGCCCAGCGGACTGGCATGTCGCATGCAAGCAACACGGGTTCCTGTTTAGCACACATATGTATGGTCCCTAGAGCGTCCTAAGAGAAACGGAACTGTCAGCGATAGTAACTGCGGCGGTCAGAACTAATGAGGACAAACGCAAGTAGGATTCCCCAAGAGCCGTGGGTCTCGTGGGTCCGTCATAAGAAGCGTAACTATGCTGGAAGTACCGTTTAACCGCAAGACTAGAAGAAACATGCAATCACCAGGGAGTGCCTTACTGTTCCCCATGGAGTGCGGCTCCTTCCGTTCGCAACTTACCGGACCAATTGAAGGCAAGCTGCGCTGCGCCACTCGCCAACTGGGCAGCCCCATCCACTGAGCCTCCAGAGTAAGTCTGTGCATCAAACCTCACGACCGTTAGGGGCAGCTCCTGGCAAGGAGAGCCCTCATACTGTCAGCTCAGCTTAAGTGGCGCACCTGACAAAACTCGTACATTCCGTCAAAGACCGGGCAATCTGCTTCACCAGCAAGGCCCATGTTAAACCGTCGAAGCTGCGTCATGTTCTCGTCAACGGTGTTGGGTGTGACGCCCTTCAGGAAGTTGATGTAATCTAGTCAGGGTGGGTCAGTGGGCGGGAGAAGAAGAGTATATTAAACATAATACCATAAGCAACGTCTGCTTCATGGGCCAACGCAACCGGTGCAAGTACTGGAAGACAGTAAGCTGCCTAGCAAAGGCCCTAGCAACGCCGCAGTCCCGGCGGTCCGCAAGCCGTGTTCCTGGACGGCCTATGCACCCACCATCCGCATGGAAAGCTGTCAGCTCCTCAAACGTCCTCGGACGCGGCCGCTGCAGCATCATCTTCTTGGTGAGCCCGTAACTGTCAACCAGCGTGTAGCACATGCGCGCTCTGTGCGGCCGCATAGGGTTGCCACCGCCATAGTCATAGTTCCCAATCTCGTCGTCATAGTAATAGGCTACAACCTTCTCGGCAGCTTTCATTTTGCTGCCGCCAACAAGAGTTCGTGTCTATGCTTAGGTTTCCGACCAAACTACAAGACGTATGTACTGGCTTTACTATAATAACACCGTGAAGTGTAAGAAACAGTCCCAGAGGAGGCGGACTCGCCCAACAGGAAAGGTTTCGCCAGCTCCGGAACCCTTAATGAACAGTCTTGGAATGAATGGAATCGAAGTCTGCCTTCGCAACTTAGCCTCAGGCATATACACGCATGCAGTGTATATTCTTGTGCCCGTCTTTCAGCTTCTCTATCATCGCCAACCTGTATTCTTAGCCATGTGGCATGAATAGATATCTCGCGCCTCCTAACCGTTAGCCACTGGCTGGGGGAATGCTAGTAACACTACCTTTTGACTTCCCTCCGATTGTCTCCTTGGATGCTTATTGCACTTCTTCCCCCGATTGCTGCTGTCCCAACCTTGACCACCTTGACCGAGCCCGGCAGCGCTTTGGCTCCGAAGATAGCTGCAGATAGACAGGCCATGCATAGCGGCAAAGCGTTGGCATTACCATTGACTTGTAATCAGCGGCAAAGTGTAGATACTCGTGGGTTTGCTTGTCGAGAACCAACCCACGGCAACTACCTAATGCCCATGATTATCATGCAGTCCTTTCTGAGGCTGCAACCCCCTATTGTGCTGGGGTCTGCTAGAAGGCAGCCATGCTGTATGGGCGACCACCGAGACCCACTTGCTGCGCTGGATCCGGCAATGAAGGGAACGCGGTAGACTGTACCAGTATTCTTTCGTGGGTATGCAGCATAACATGTTTAGGTGCACGCCATTACAGGTGGAAAAGGTCGTCAGATAGGATCCCTCGTCTAGAAGACAGACCCGTACATTAAGACCCCAATTATAACAGACAGACACCCATCATTTGGCTGCACCAAAAGCGTGTCCCTCAGCCCACGCTACTTCTTCGTCGCTCGCCCACCATACCAATATGGCTCGCGCGTACAAAACCGCCGTTGCGGCGCAATCCTCACGCCATGCTCAGCACTACACAAACCATTTGCAGTTACCAATTTTACATATCAATGACTGGTATCAAGTACTTCCATCGCAAGCCGGTCCGAAAGAGTTGGCTGCACCTCCCCTGCGGCGCCAGCCATGGCGGCCCATGGGTCGGTCCAGCCTAAGGGGCCTTACCGGCCGCGCATCTCACGCACCGCCGCGCAAATCTCGTCCTTCTGCAATATCAGCAATTCCATGTACATGCATTTTAACGTTACATAGGTTGCAGAAGGAGTGATATGCAAGCAGGGCACACGAGCGCGATCTTGCTAGAAACACATGCGCCCCTCATGCATCGTGAGTTTCCCTATGCAGTGTTCATTTGGAATTGTTTGCATGTTTTCAGAAACAGGCATACCGCCACCGCCTCTCAAAGCAAACCCACCTTCTGCGCGTTGGGCTCGAAGACGTACTTGATGAGCGAGTCCTTGATGGACAGCAGCTCGGGGAACTCGCCCTTTATCTGTAGGGGCGAAAAGCAGGGATGTGTGCTCAAGAGGACGTAAGCTCTCTAATGGAGGTGGCCTTTCTACACATCAAGGCGGACAAAACGCGAAAAGATGGAAAGACAATGCCATACTTGGTAAGGAAAGCATGCCGCAAACCAACGGGCCCTGACCCGAGAGCAGCCAAGAACTAATGTTTTGCCAACCCTCACCCGCTCCGTGTCCAGCAGGTTGTTGGAGCGCGGCGCCACAATGACCTTGGCCTGCTCCTCCACCGTGAAGTTGGACCAGCTGAACTCGGGGTCGATGTACTCCTTGTACAGCTCCAGGATCTGCAGGCAGACAAAAGATATACATCCGAGAAGCGGTGTGGGCAACAAGGCGCATGTGGGTTTAGGAGGGAGTCCAGGACGCCGCAAGACGAAACACATGGACGGATGGCACTTACGTGCGGGAGAGTGCACAGAGGGCAACAGAGTCGAGGGGTGTCCAATGCCGTGCATGTGCCGGTGTATACGCCAGGATTCGCTAAGCTGCTATTGCTGGCAATCTGCTATCGCTGCCCTTATAATGGTTATAAGGGATCGCCTGCTCCCCCACCCACCTCGTTGTGGCTGATGGCGCCGGGGTTGGTGAAGTTCATGATGCCCGTGAGCTTCCGCTTAGCCTACACATGGAACCAAGAAGCGTAACCGTCAGCAACACATATAAAGGGAGAAGAAAGGAAGCGGGCACGTTTACTGCAAACACAACAACACAAACATGCACTTATAACACTTGAATGACGGCATGGCATACGTTTTAACATGAGCTGCAGTCACCCAACAATCCCGGCAAACAGCACCCAACCCCGCTATCCGACCCACCATCTCGATGGACATGGGCAGCAGCTCCGGCAGCACCGTCATGGAGTTGGGGATGTTGATCACCTGGATGACAGGAACGCGTGTAGTTAGACACATGGGCATTTCTCCACGCGACACCGTACTGCATGCTTGGCACTGTAGCCCAACGCATGGCATTAATTCAGGCCCAAGGGTGCCTTGGGACCCAAGAATGCGCACCACCCAACAGGACCAGCGGAGGTGTTGTGCATACCTTGTCGTACTTGATGATCTTGGTGATGAAGTTGCGCGGGTAGGTGAGGTCTGCCACGATGGGCATGCGCACACGCAGGGTGAGCACGTTGGGGTACTCCTTAATCAGGTTCTCCGTGATCGCCTGCGCAAGCCAAGACACAAGGCAGCACAGGATGTGCGAAATTGTTAGCCAGAAGAGTAATTTCCGGGATCATTGAAGCCCCATCAGGGCCCCTTTCCACACCTTCAAAGGTGTCTACGTGCTAGCATAGGCGCGACTCAACCCGTGAACACGTTACTGCGTTTGAGGCGGTACAAATAAGGCCATGACGACGGATTGCGCGGGCTTGCCTTGCAGTGCGAGTAGTAGGAGCCGGTGAAGTTGGGCTTGTCGCTCTCCTTGAAGCCCTTGCCGCTGTCCACCGGGAAGTCATCGTCGTAGTGGAAGATGCAGCCGGTGCCGTAGTAGGTCATGTGGATGCCGCGCTCGTTGCACACGTCAGCCAGGTTCAGGCAGCCCAGCACGTTGGCGCGGATGGTCTCCAGCTTGTGGCTCTCGCACCAGTCGCTGTATGACAAAAGAAAATGGCAAGGGCATGATGTTGTGGTTGCGGGGTAAGCATGGTGAATAGAGGCTCGGTCAGGTTATCGGCGCAACGCTGCAAATAGCAAGACCAAGTGAACAACTCAAGTGAAACCCCGGGACTTACACGTTGGGTCGGCCAGTCACACCAGCGGCGTTCAGCACATGCGTTGGCTTGTACTGCGGGAGGAGGAGAGAGATATGGGTTTTGGAGCATGTCAGCTTGCTTGCTAAGTACATGTCGGGGTTGCGCAGCCTAGCTGTGGTTACCGGCGGGCATTCTGGCGTACGGCAGGTCTGAAGAAGTGCAAGACAACGCGAGGCAACGCACCTTCTCAAGGTCGGCGACGATGGCAGCGCGGTCCTCCTGTGAGCGGAGGCGTAAACGGGGGTTTGCTCGCTCAGAAACTGCGCAACGTTGTCATGCGCACTTCATAACTTAAAAGTAGGTGAACTCGACAGATATGGGTTCAGAACTCTAGATGCAAATAGTGCTCAATCGGGGCACGCTACGAGATACAGACTGTTACTTACCAGCCGAGCATCAGCAAGGTGGTACTTGGCACCCTGCTCCTTCAAGGACTCCTGTAGGAGTCCTCCAATCCAGCCGTTCTTCCCAAAGATAAGGAAGACCTATTACGACAGGAGTATGAAGGAGGAAACGTAAGCGTGAATGTTCGATGTGATCTTGTCCGCCAGCACGACATAAGAAGCGTATTGCGCTTCGGGACCATGTTGATTAAGTACTTGGTGCTTTGCACATCTTGCGCGCCCCATATCGCTCACCGGCTCGCTGTTGCCGTTCGACTCAGCCATTGTTTTGGTACTTTGCAAAGGCTGTTAGTTGCCTTAGGTAGACGTAAGGTGTTGTTACGCGCAAAGCACCGATACGATGCTGCTTGTTTGATGTTAAGAAGGCGTGGCATCAGGACGTTTACGGTTTATATACGGTATGCAATCCCGCTCCATGCAGCGCCAATCGCGGGATCGGTGGCACCTGTAATTGTTATACATGTACACGTACCCACTTCCCAGCGCTTGTTGCTTTCTGCAAGGCGTACACCGTTATCTTTGGCTATCTACCCACCATCTCATTCGCCCCAACAGCTATGGAGTCTGGATGCCCTGCTTAACCCGAGCAAACAAAAGGTGCCACATTAAATGCATAAGGTCCCGTCTTTTGGACGGAAATAGCTTGGCTGCAAAAGGCGTGCGGTCAGTCTCACCGGTCACCCAAAAGCGGCTTCGCGCGAAAACCGTAGTTGTAACGTCAGGGGGATTCATATTATAGCTTTTAGGCGAGAAACCCGTTGATGGCAGGTTTTTCGCCAACCTGATGTCGCCAAGCCAAGGCGCGCGACGGTCGCTATGGAATCACTCTTAAGATAAATGCTGGTAATAGAGTTATAGGCGGGGCGCGCATGCAGTCGGAAACTAGTCGTAGGGTCCCCGCAACAGCCTTGTGCCCTCACAAAGTCGCGATGTTACAGAGTCAATTCGATTATATTGGATAAGCCTGTATATTGGAGAAATGTAGTCAACAATGAACCTCCATGCCCGCACGGGTTAACTAAAGTGCGCTATTGCTCCAGAACGGTCCCGCCGGTTGCTGCCGGCGCATGAACGATGCCACCATCCCAGCAAGCAGTACACCACAACCGGGCAAAGAACACACTTGGCAATGTGCCGTGCCCATCGAAAACGGCACCCACACTTGGCCTCCTGCTGCTCGTCCACAGCTTCTCATCCATAGCATGCACGCATATGAGCAATGGCGGGCCACGGAAACGCCCTATACACCACCGCCGTGCATTGTCCCCGTGCTCGCATACCCTCCCTCTTTACATGCTGCAAGGCCCCCGTGTCCGCCCAATACTTCACTGGACCTCCCGACACCCCACCTGCACCCCACTCAGTGCCCAGCACCCACTTCTAGCACGTTTCCCCTAGGTCCCTTCTCCACTACCCCCCCAGTGTCCAATGTAGCAGCCCACGTTGAAGCCACGTCATACAGCTCGTTGTTTTCATCTACCCTTGCTCCTCGGCAGTCCCAGCCGGCCCTCCCCCTTACAGCCACTCAGAGCCCCTCCAGCCTCCCAACCAGCTGCGCCCAGGTCCTGCCCCACAGCTCCTCATCCTTCGCCCAGCTGGACAGCCGCAGCCGGTGACCCGAGGTGTGCGACCGCAGGGCCTCCTCCACACGCTGTACGGCAGCGGGCGCATGGGGTGGAGGTTAGGTGGTGCTGACAGGAGTAAGACACAGCGCGACAATGTGCACGCAGAGCGTAAAGCAGCATGGAGCAGCAAGAAGTGGCTCAGGCAAGGGAAGAAGGGATAAGCGTGATTGCGCTGACTGGTTGGGCTGGCTTGTACAGTCGTGTAGAACCCCACGCGCCCTGTAGGTACCAATGAACTGCCCAACCATACCCTGTTCCGTCATACCTGTACGGCAGCTCGGTAGGCCCTAACCACGCAGCGGTGGCAGGGGGTGTCCAGTGCGGACAAGGGCGCCGGCTCCGGAACCAATGAAGCGCGTGCCGCAGACACTGTAGGGATGATAATAACAGGCAGGAACGAAGTTCTCAAGGAGAGGGCCACTACCGGTATCGCCGTTTTACTCAAGAATCAGACTGGCGCATCGTAACCGTGAAGTGGTTTAACTCGAGTTCCTCTGGCATGACGGAAGCAGAGGGCAAACTCAAACAAAAGCGCCTCGCCTGCCACACCACATCGTGGGCCTCCTACAGACCTACCATCTGGCTTGGCGGAGGACGGGTGCTGCTTCGCAGCTGCCGCCGCTGCCGCCGCCGCATTGGCGGCCGCCGCTGCGGCTGCATTCGACTGCTTGGCGCTCTTGAGCTGCGCATGCGGGGTGTGCGGCGGCTCGGGGGCCGGCGGCGGAGTCGGCGGAGGCGGCTGCCGCAGCCCGTGGGGCGGCCGACCCTCCTCGTCAAACCAGCCCAGGCTGAGCAGGTCAAAGTTGCCTGAGGGATTGGAGGTGAGGGGAGAGCGGAGGATGGCTTAGCAGCCAAAAACCGTGAAAATCGCATGCGACACATCCCTATCTCTGAAGCTTCCCAACAGAAGTGTGGATGTATTGGACACCCGCCATGTGCGAGGAACAGCAAAGGCCAGCAAGCCCCTCGTCCACAGCCCCCCCCCCAACTGCATCCCCAGAGCCCTGAACAGCATGATTGCACTTCTAGAACCCCCCCACCGGTCCTCACCCGCTGGCAGCGACCATGTCCCCGGCGTGTACGGCCGCTCCGGAGGCGGTGGCGGCGGCGGCTCCACCTTGCCCTTCGCCGCCTTCCCTCCCGGAGCCGGCTTGGCCGCGGGCTTGGCGGCCTTGGGGTCCGGCGGAGGTGGCGGCGGCGGCGTCGCCTCGGCCTCCGCCTGCGCCAGCGCTAACCGCATGAGCTGCTTGTAGTCCTTATGCGGTAGGTCGTATACCCATGCGCAGCCGTCTCCTGGCGGCGGCAGGTCTTGGGGCATCAGGAAGCTGTCGAGCAGCTGTGCGAGTTGCGTTGCGAGGCGGACCAGGCGTTGTTGCATGGCGGGCGCCTGGCGGCGAGTCATCTCCACAGCTTGGGTGCCGTACGTCAGCAGGAGCGACCCATGGGCCGCGGCGCGGTCGGCTTCGGAGGCCTTGACGGCTGCCAGCTCAGAACGCCTGGGGGGTTGAAAGCGTGAGCAGTTGACATGAGAACATGAAGCTAATGCTACTGGTACTGCAACTGGGCATTCCAAGCAGCATGCCAAGCAGCCAGCCCATCCTGCACGCTACCCCCCGCCGCCCACCCTCACCTCGCCGGCATCACCATCTCCGGGTGCAGGCTGCCCCGGTGCACCTCCACCAGCTTCAGCAGCGCGCCTCGGCGGCTCTCCAGCTCCGAGGTCATGCCGCGCTGCTCCTCGTCCATGCAGCTCACCTCGTGGTCCGCCAGCAGGGCCATGGCCACCGCGGGGAGGCGCTCCATGGCGCGGTAGGCGCGGATGACCTGGGGGAGGGGGGGAGGGTAGAAGACCACATATCGAACCATAGGAAACCGCAGGTTAGGGCAGGAGGTGCGGAATGGAGTAAGGGTAACGCATGCACGGGAGTAAGCAGGGTGGGAGAGGAAGGTCGGGCCTAACGTGGCAAAGTGCCTGGACGGCAGCATTTTCACGGCACGGCAGCAGCCCCCAGAGGCGCCACCACCACCACCCGCCACTCACCTGGATACGCAGCTCCTTGACGGCCTCCGTCACGTACGTCAGCGTCTGCTCCCGAAGGCCCTCCAGTACGGCATCCGTACCGTGCAGCAGCTCCTCAACCGTAGGGGGAATGCGGGCGGGGTAGCGGATGGGACGGGACTTGTCCTGCATGGGGGCAGTCAAGGAGGGGGTGTTGTTGGGCGGGCTAGAAGGTAGGTTGCAAAGGACGCAATGGAAGCGAAATAGATGGGGCCCCTGTCCTCTCTCAGGGGCCCCATGCTTCGGGCATGCCATGATTTGGGTTACTCGGCATAAGCCGGATTGCCACAAAGCACACGCTCCTCGGCCCACCTTATTCGTGTAGTACGCTTTCGCCACCGCCTCCGTCTCCTTCTTGCATGCGTCAATCACTGCCTCCACATCCGTGGCCAGCTTTACCACGGAGTCACGAGCCGCCGCCGCCGCAGCCGCAGCCGCAGCAGTCTTGGAAGCGACAGTCGGCCGCTTGGCCGCTGGCGTCGCCGCGGCCGCCGCCGCCGCAGCGGCAGCAGCGGCGGCTGCAGCCGCAGCAGCGGGGTCCGGCTCCGGGACCAGCGGAGGCGGAGGCGGGTCAACGCCAGCAGCGTCAATCCGGAGATCTACCGGCGGCGCTGATAAGGAGCTCGACTTAATAAAATCCAGAACCTTGGCTTGTCGCAGCAGGGCTTGGCGAAGGGCGTCTGCGCATTCCAAAATGGCCCGGCAACGGTCCAGCGGTCCCGCAGCGGTGCCGCCGCGAGTGGGCTGTGACGGCAAGCCGCCGGAGGCCGCGGCGCCTCGAATGTCGGCGGAGACAAGACGCCTGGTGTGGGTCATTGAGGGAGAGGAGGATGAGGGACGGGACCGCATGACAGCGGAGGCGGGGCCGCCGGAGGATGGGCGGGAGGTGCCAGCGGTGGTGCGACTGGCGGCGGCGGTGGTGGCGGTGGGGGCGACGGAGGGTGTGGCGGGGGGCTTGCGGCCGTCTAACAAGCCGTCCAGGCGGTCCAGGTGCGTGTTGATGGCCGCCGCAACAGCCTGTGGGCAGGATGGTTTTGGAATGACAAGGGAGGGTGCGGTCGAACAAAAAGCAAACCTGGTGAATCCAGGCACGCAGCACGCTTGCAACAGGGCTCATACATGCCCTACGGCCATGCAGGTAGGCCCAGTCACCCTGATGGCAGGTAAAACACATGAGCACGCGCCCCCATGTGGCGGCCCTTCTCCCCCACCTTGTTCCTCTCCAGCTCCCCCGCCGCCTTCTTGCGCGCGCCCTCCACCAGCGAGTCGATCTTCTCCAGCAGCCCCATGTCCTCCAGGTGGCTGGGAACCAGCGACACCACGTGGGCCAACGCCGCGTCAGCCTGCAACCGCGCAACCAGCCAACCGCAACAACCGCAGCAACGGTAACAATCACCTATAATCACATGTGGCGTACAAGGCAACCAGAAAGCAGCAGTGGGGTATCATCCAGGAGGCAGGCACAAAGGCAAGGAAGGATGGCAGGGCAGACGAGGCATGCACCCTAGCCACGGGGGCACCAGCACTACAACAACAAAGGGAGTGCTACAAGGGTAGAAGGACGGCCCAATGGCCTCTTGACGCAGTGCCAGTCCATTCCCCGGATCCCAAGCTGCACGTTCATGCCATGTCTCCCCTATGCCTCCCCTCATCCCCCACCCCCCTCCCAGCACCGCTCACCTCCCCTCCCAGCACCCCTCGGCTGGCCTCCAGCCGCTGCGCCATGTCCGCCCCCGCCCGCTCCAGGTGCGCATCAATGGCCGCCAGGCTGCGCTTGTAGGCGGCCGCGTTGTCGTCCGCGTACTTGCCACCCGAGTCGAAAGTGCGCAGCTCCTCAGCCTGCGAAAGGTAGGAGCCAGGGAGGGGAGGGATGGGGATGGGAATGGGATAGGGATAGCAGGGTGGGGAGGTCAACAGAGCACCAAGGTTCGCGATAGACGCTGACCGGGAGCAGGCGGAGAGTTATTGCTACGCTTGCTAGGGTCAAGTAAGGCCCCTCCTTAGCCCCTTGCCCTCTCCTGTCACAGCCTGGTCTCCGGGCTTCACTTCCATCCCCGCCTCTTCCGACTCCCTGCCTCACCTCGAATTTCCGGTTGGTCTCCACAATCTTTGCGATGGCCGCGCGGGTCTTCTCCGACAGCTCCGCAATCTTTGCGTTCAGGTCCTGAAAGGGCGACGCAGCAGCAGCAGCAACAGCAGCAGTGGCGCGTGAGAAAGACGTGGGAATTGCAGTAAGCATGAAGCCCCCCTTCCTACACCCTGGGCGCAGCGGTGCACTCCTAACCACCTACCCCGGTCTTCCTGTCCTAGGTCGGGCTTGCGGGCGTTGGGAACTCCATTTCTTTTCCTTCTGTACCCACCATTTCCCAACAGGGAACTTATATTACGGTTCATCCTTCCTTACCCTCCCTCCCTCCCCGCCCTGACCTCCCCTCCTCCTTCCGAGCCCCCCGCCCTACCCCCTCCGCCCCTCCTCCTACCTTGTCCAGCCGCACCCTCAGCGCCTCCGCCTCCCGCTGCCGGATGCCTATGGCCTTGCTGCTGAGGCAGTGCCCCAGGAAGTCCTCGGTGGCGCGCAGCCGGCTGATGCGCCTGCGCACCTCCGCCTCCAGCACACGCAGGCCCTCGTCGAAGGCAGCCTGGCAGGTGGGGAGGAGCAGGAGGGCAGGTGGGGACGGGAGGAGGGCGAGGACAGGGCAGCGGAGTTCGTGCTGTCATGTCCCTTTTTGCTTATACTGCTTTCTGGATCTTTCAACCGCTGAACTACCCACGAGTACCGGTATCAGTAACCACCCCTTCACGACATGCCGGTAGTCATCAACCCACTAGCGCGCCCCTCCCCCCACCTCCTCTCCCCTTCCCTCCGCTTTGCCTTAAGCTGTAGTCCTGGTTAATTTCTGATCCCCTCCCCTCCCAACCCTCCCCAGCCCCCACCGCCTGCGCCTTGACCGCCTTGCTCTGGTTGCGCAGTTGCAGCTCCACCCGCCGCCGCTGCGCCACCAGCTCCACGCTGCGGGCCATGCGCACCTCCTCCTCGATGCGGCCGGCGCGGGGCCTGCGGAGCGGGGGAAATGGGAGAGAAGAAGGCAGGGAGGGGGGAGCATGGGTTGTATGTGACGTATTGTTCGGGGGTACGGCGCTACCCACCCGCTTTACGCAACCCATGGTGCAGCCTCGCCACACGGTAAGTAACCTTCTTGATTACCACAGGTGGGCACCACAGGTTTACTATGGTTTGGTCAATTCACTCCCGCCCACCTGTGGTGCCTCAGCCAGCCGTCCAGCTCCTCCGTCAGAGACATCTCCCGCTCCGCCGCCCAGGAGTCCGCTGCCTCCACGGCGCGCTGGCAGAAGGTCATCATGTCGCTCAGCATGCCGGACTGGGGGGGGGAGGGGGGGGGGGGAGGGGGTGCAAAGAAGGAGAAAACCCCATGTTGGGGTCGGGGGTGGTGGTGTTGAGAAGGTTGGGATGAGGGTGAGGAAGAAATGAAGCACCCGAATCCCGCACCGCACTCTGTACCAGTACCGCACCTGAATGGAGTCGATGGTACGGCGCAGCGTGTCATTCGGCAGCTCCAGCGCGCGACACAGCGGCATGCCGCTGCTGCTCAATGGACTGCTGGCGGGCTCGGGAGGCGGAGTCGCCTGCCGCTCCGCCGACTCCGCACCACCAGCACCAGCACCAGCAGCCTCCGTTGCACTCGCAGGTCTGGAAGTCTGCTGCTGCTGCTGCCCCTGCCCCTCCTCCTCCTCCTCGCCCTCCTGCTTCGCCTCCGTCACGGGGTGCAGCAGCTTCTCCAGCATATCCACCACCAGCCCGAACGACCGCCCATCCGGCAGCTTGATGTGACCGATCACATGCATGGAGGCGGCGGCCGCGCCGGCTGCAAGTGCGATGGCCGCTGCGTCGGGCAGGCTGCTGCCTGTGGCGGAGGAGATGCGCGGCGTGCCGCCGTTGAGAGCGGCGGTCTGGGGTTGCACGCCCAGCTCGCCGCAGAGGCGCACGTGGTAGGTGTCGTTGGCGGCCCGCACGGTGGCGGGGTAGGCGCGGGCTAGGGCGGTCATGTCGCGATGGAAACTCCTGCGGGACAAGAGGGGGACGGGGGGAGGCGAGTAGCGATGGGGATTGTGGGGAGGCGGGGAAGGCGGGAGTGTCGTGTCGGAGAGACGTGTTTGATGGTGGCGTGGGAAGGCGGCTGTTTTCACAGGAAGATGGATAAAGGTGCATACAGGTGATCTCCCTCCTTGCGGTCGCCTAGCTAGGTGCTGGCTCACCTGTAGCCCGCCTCAATGTCGTCAAGTCGCTTGAGCGCCTCCGCCACACAGCCGTCAAGCTGGGCCTCGCCTGACCCACGGGTCACCGCCGCCACCGCTGCATCCAACGCCGCCTCGCGCTCCGCGTCGGCCGCGTTGAACGCCTCACGCGATTGCTTCAGACTGCCTCGAACCTCTGAGGGGCGATACAGGTGGACAGCAGAACGGTTGGCGAGATGCATCACAACCACGTAGCGAATTTATCTCACCGGTAGCGAAGTTCCGGTCCCGAAGCGGACCGGACCGGTTGCCCCCTGCCTTCCTCCCTTTCTCCCCTTACCTGACTCATCCGAGGTGGTTTGGCTGCGGTGTGCATCGTACATGGCACACAGGCGGGTGAGCCAGCCCGCCAGCGCGGCGCTGGTGGCGGTCCACTGGCCGGCCTGCTCGGCTAGGAAGGTCTCGGCCTGGGGGAGCGGGGAGCGCAATGAGAAGGGGGGGGGGAGGAGCAGGTGAATCTGGAAGTCGTATGAACAGAAAACAGCAACCAAACCGCTTCCTTTCCCAGGTAACCAAACAAGCAAACGCGTCCGCCGCCCTGCAACCATCCACACATGCCCCGCAGGCGGATGCGCACAGGAGGAGGTGGGCTGCCGCCACCCCGCCACCCCACCCACCCATCCGCGGCCCCCCCACCTGCTGCATGAGGCTGATCGCCGCCTCCCTCCGCTCCGCCACCGCCCTGCCCGCCTGCTGCTCCACCAGCGCATCCAGCTCCTCGGGCGGGTAACCCTGGTAGCCCGACACCTCCAACCGCAGCGCGCTCAGCAGCTCGTGCACGCGACCCGCCAACACGTCCTCGGCGGCGCGGAGGGAGGCCAGCGCGGAGGCACGTTCCTACGTACATGGGGGGGGGTAACCGGTAGGATGAGAGAGGCGGCAGCAGGAGGAACGAGCGAGGAGGGTCCTAGAGGAGGAGCGTGGTGGCAGCGCTGGAAGCAGAACTCGTTCGGCTGACTGCAGCATGCTTGTATAGTCTCGTCCTGCACCCAGATCGCTGTCCTCCGCAAGTCCCAGCCCAGAGAGCCCAGCTAGCGCTTCCGCATGCATATCAGGATTAGCAGCATGCATGCTGCACCCAACCCACGTACCTTGGCCCAGGCATCCGCCAGCGCCGCCGCCTCCACCGTCCACGCCGCCACCTTCTTGGCGGAGAGGTGCGGCGGCGTGACGGCGCCCGCGCGGCCCCAGTGGGACGACAGCGCCGCCAGCGCCTCCGCCTGCCGCTCCCGCAGCGCTGCGAAGGCGGACAGCCGGTCCGAGGGTTCCGAGAACTCGGGACTCCTGCGGTGGGGGTGGTGCAGTGGTGCAGTGGTGGTGGGTTGCAAGGGGGGGGAAGGGGCAGCATGCGCGGGTTGAGCAAGGTGCGGCATCAGCATGGGTTGTGAGCGGGTTGTGGACAGTGTGGGCGCTAGTGGGGGCTCGGAAAGGTGAAGTCGTAACCGGGACCGGGGTAACCGGAACCGGGGCTAAACCCTATTGCGATGCGACACATGGTGCGACACCTCGTCGCAGCCTGTGTGTCCGCTGTATCCCCGCCAATCCGGCTACAGCACTGCGACCCTGTTGGCACCGTCCCCCCACCTGACTCTCTCCACAAAGGTGTTGATGGCGTGCTGTGTGCGCAGTACCCGCCAGCGCCGGTGTCCGTCCTGCCAGGCAGCTCGGCGGCTGCGCTCCGCCTCCACCTCGGCCACCTGCAGCCGGGAGATGAGGTCCGCGTAGGCGCGCCTGGGGGGCGGGGGGGTGGGAGGTGGATGTTTCGCGGAGGTGAAGGGAATGACATGGGAGAAGGAAAGGGAATGCGGAGCGTGATGAACGGGAGATAACCAGGTCTGCAGGTCAGACATTACAACTTTACAAGGAGATACCGGTAGATGTGACATGGTCGAGCAACTTTGGCCAATACTGGCAATACATCCCGCAATCCGCTTACACCCCATGCACGCACGCACCTGTTTTCCAGTATGGCCACGTTGAGTGCGAGCGCCTCCTTCTCCACCAGCCGCTCCACCTCGCCCTCGCTCACCACCGCCGCCTCGTTCAGCGCCGCACACAGCGTCACCAGGGCGGCTTGCACGGTCTGCGAGGTGGGGAGCGGGCAGGCAGGCGGGTAAGCAGGCGGGTAAGCAGGCAGGCAGGCGGGCAGGTAAGCAGGGAGGGCTTGGGTGGGACAGAAGAAACTATGTAGGGATGCCTGGAAAGGAGCAGAAACAGACTAGAGGCTACGGACGTGCGCATGTAGGTTCCATGCCATCGCTTCACAGCCAATGCCGCCGCTGTCGCTGCTGTTGTGCGATCCACCGCAGAGCCCACACACCTCGCAGTTCTCGCATCCTCCTGCGCTCCTGGCCCCGTCTCCCTCCCTCCCACCGCACCGCACCACCCCCTCCCTCACCTCCCGCCGCCGCTCCTCCGCCTCCTCCAGCGCCCCCGCGCACTCCTCGATCCAGCGGGTGCGCTGCGGGATGCGCTGAGCCACGCAGTCCCACACCTGCGAGGCGGCCACGCGAGGGTGGCGACAACACACAAGGTGAGGAAGAGCGAAGCACCTCACGATCGGCCCTTACCACCGTTGGTCACTACCTCCAACTACCTTCCACCACTCTCCCCTTGCCACCACCATGACTGCCACCGCCGCATGCGCCATTGCACATGCACATCGACCCCTTTCCCTCTCCTTATCTCGTCCCCGCCCGGCCCTCTCGCCCCCACCTGGGTTTGCCCCAACCTATGATTTCCTATGCTTCGTTGTGGTCTTTTCCCCCACCTGGTACACCTCCTGCTCCGTCAGCCGCATCACCCGGTCATCATCCAGCGCCGACATGTCCTCCGCCACACCCGCATCGTCCGCCGCCAGCTTCTGCTGGAACCCCGAGGCCGCCGCGGCCACGGAGCGCTCCAGCATGGAGCGAGCCGTGTCACGTGCGCTCACAAACGCCTCCCAGGCGCGGCTGTGGCGTTCCATTTGGGATTCCATCATGGCTTTGACGTGCTCCAGGCTCACGGCGGGGGGCTTCTGGCCGGCTGCGATGGCCGCAGCGGCGGCGGCTTGTGCGGTGAGCGGCCACGCGGCGGCGGCGACGCCGCCGCCACCGGGCAGGAGGGCGGATACTTCGGCGGGCGGGCGGCCAAAGATGGTGCCATCGGATTTGGGTGGGTGGCGGACCTCCAGGGCGGGGAGGTATTCGCGGGCGGCTTTCATTTTTGCGGCGACCGTGCTGTTGTAGCGCTCCTTGCGGACCTGTTGGAGGAGGGGAGCGCAGGGTTGGGGTGTGGGGAAGGGGTGAAGGAGAGGGAGGCAGGAGTTGAAGGAGGTAGTAGAAGAAACAGCAGCGAGCTTCGACGTGTCCGGTCGGGTACCAATCAGGGACTAGCCAGGCAAAGCGGCTAGGCTGGCCAACGCTGTACCATAAAAGGTATGCGCTTGACAGCTAGTCTCTTGAGGGGAACAGTACAGAATGTGGCCGGGAGCTAACAAATGCAGGCTAGACGGATGACCATCGAAGGCGGACGGTTGATGGGAGGTACGTTGGGCAGACTGTAAGCAACTGAATATTACATGCGTACGTAAGTCTGGTGCCCCCCTGCGCAAACGCACCGTCTCCGCTGACTGCAGGGCCGTGAGGAGTGCCTGGCCCGGCGTCTTCGTGTCATTGAAGACATCTGCCGCGGCCTCCCGCAACGGTGGCCGCGCCACCGTCTTCTTCTCCCAGTCCATAGTTATGCTGTCACGGCGAACTACTTTGCACCTCCGGCGCTCTGCTCCTTACGCCGGGTTGCAAGCGTCGATCAAAGGACCGCTCAATAATATGCTGTATACACTTTTCCTGAACACTATGATGCGTCGTTAAGCAGCATTTTGGGTTACTGCTTTCGCGGCCCCTTGCCATGTCCGCATGGCAAGAGAGACTTGACACGGCGCTTCCACAGTGCTTCAAGTTAGACTTCTCAGTAACCACGCTGCACAAAAGGATACATGCTAAATGGCAGCAGACTATTCGAGCTAGCTTTGTTCCATTACAGTTTGTCAGTATGAGCCTACAAAGAATCAGCAACACTGCAGATTTTGGGTCTCGTTCCTATCAATTGTTGCTGCAGGTAAACTCGAATGCGTTACGCATAGCCACTCGAAGGCTACCAAATTTGGTCCCGGAGCCACATAGAAACTAGAGTGACAGCTCGCGACCAGCCCGTCATGAAGGCACATACAAGACATGTGTACATTGCGGGGCCAGCTATGGGCTCTATATGTGTTGCTGTGGGCCTTCGCGTCCTCCACAACAGCAGTAACTCTGCGACAAGTCGATACTGCAGCCCATCCTAGCGCTGAACCTCTTCTTTCACATGGCAGAAGAATCCCGAAGCCCTACAGAAATGGAGGTCGTCGGCTGCACCAGTCGCAAGCACAGCAGGAGGCAGCGGAGTACTGCACGACTGGAAACTTCACTGCCCTCTACGGCGCAATCGAGCGGGATCTGCAGCCGTGGCGTAAGACCGGCATCACAGCCGACCTTATGGATTGGGTTCTGCGCGGCGTTAGTAAAGCCCCACTGCGCGACAAGGGCGTGGGTATCGTGTTCAAGGGAGGCAAGCCCTTCATCATCACAAACACGGCGGCATTTGAAACCGTCGCACACCACAAGGTACGCCGACAGCCATAATGCTGGCGACTTACACCTCAACAACACCCACCTTGCCCTTCCCAAGCAGAGACTCTCCGCTTCCCCTCCCTCACCCTACTTACCCACGCCCTTTCCAACGCTCTCCGCCTCTCCACATCAACCCACACCACCTTATTATCCTCTCCCGCCCTCACCATGTCCCTTCCATCCCACCCCCTAGCGCCTGATCATAGCCCACCTGGCCCTCTTCGCCGCCCTCTCCGCCACCTTCGGACCCACCATCCCCGACGTCGAGTTCCTGGTCGCCACAGCGGACGAGCCCTCGTCGCTGCTACATCGGTACGGCAACGGCAGCAACCCGCTACGGCTGCCCCCCGTACTGCGCTTCTGCAAATCCAACTCCTATGCGGACATCCTTGTACCCGACGTTCACTTCTTCATGCGGAACTTTACATCCCGGCTGCTGTCCGTGGCTAGCAACTTTAGCAACACCTGGCCTTGGAGTGCTAAGAAGCAGGATCTGTTTGGCAGGTAGGGTTAGGGTATCGTGTGATGTAATGGTGTGCATGGTGGCGGCCGAAACAAGGCAAGACGCAGGCCATGTCTCAAACATGTCCTAAACCGGGGCCGGGGAGACCCGGAGTCACCCGAAGCTGATAAGGAAGCCCGGGGTTCCTAGAAGCCTGGGGGTCTAGGTTCAGGGGTCTCGGATCAGGAAGGCGGAAGGCTTTAATGGCTGAGTGCAGGAACCCCTGCGGCTACCAGCTGATGAGCTGGCTCTTGCTGCCGTCACCGTACGTCACCAAGCAGGCCCCACCTGACGTGCTGTCAGTTCTGCAGCTCCCTTACTTTGGTTGCCGTATAACAGGGTTGCCTCTCCCCCCTTTTGTTTGCCGTACAACACACAGGTTTTCGCCGTACAAGCGCGCTGCCAACATGCATGCCCCTGAGTTGTACCGGAGAGGCAAGGGCGGCAAGGACATATGCACGTAAGTGCCTTCGCGTGTCGTTTGTTGCGTTGCAAGCTAGTAACGGCGGCGCTTGCGCTGTAGAAAGAGGAAGCATGTGCGTGTCCTGCCTGCCTGACTACCCGCCTGCATGCATGCACGCCCCAAGAGAATCAGAGCGTCCGCCCCTAGAGCGCATCTCACCTCCGCTTGGCCCCAACCGCAGGGTTGCCGACCCGAACCTCTGGTTCTGCGACGTGCGAAAGCACTTCATCTGGGAGTGGGCTCGAGCGGCGAAGCGCTCCGGACTGCCGGTCGACGTGGCGCAGCAGGTAGCGGTGCCGTGGGAAGGAGGACCGCTACCCCAACCCTCATCTCACTTGTTTGCACACACACGCATCGCGAACAGTTGCGACTAGTGGCTAGTTTCCTTAGCACACAGGACACAACGCTGCGGGGTACCTGCAGCCACGCGCACGTTGCTACCCAATTGCACAATCGGCTGTGCCCCCAGCCCGCTACCCTGCCTCCTGCCTCCTCGTCTATTGTCCGTGAGTTGTCGACCTACAGAGCTCCCGCATCTGCATCTGTCTCACCCTCACCTGCTTACCTCACAATCCTCTCTGCTGCATTCCCAAGCCTGCTCCTCCTCGTCCCCTACCCCGCCCCGCCCCCCTGCCGCAGCCCAAGCGCGACATGCTGCACCACGCCTCCCACAAGTGGCTGCTGCACCTGGACGGGCAGAGCTGCTCCTCGCGCCTGGAGCAGCTGCTGGTGCTGGGGAGCTGCGTGCTGAAGGAGGAGAGCGGTGGGGTGGGCGACGGGTTGGAATGAGGGGATGTCGTACGGTAACCCGCACAGCTTCTCACCTGCCGATGCCGCTGTCAATCAACGCATGTGTTTCTTCTTTTTTACCACTTTTCGGCTCGACTCACGGTTGTTTCCAACAGGGCTTGTCAGCAATTTGTACCATTATCACACCACACATTGGAATGTTTTTGTTACCCCCCGCGCCCCCCCACCCGCGCCACCCAGGCTACTACGCGTTCTTCCACCACCTGATCCAGCCCTACCAGCACTACGTGCCCTTCTGGAAGGAGCGGCCAGAGGTAGGGGCGCGAGGATGATACACGTGGGTGTGGGTGCACAGTCGTCGGTGTGTGTGCCACACGGGGGGCGGGACGCTGCAAGCCTGCACCTCCTCAACCTTCGTGTACCGGTACCGTGGAAGCGGTGCCTAACCCCTATGTGCACTGCAGCCGCTGCAACCATCCTGGCCCCTCCCCTGAACCTCCCCTTCCCTAATCCCTCCCTTCCCGCCTGCAGGAGGCTGAGACGGCGATGCAGTGGCTGGCTAGTCACGACGACCAGGCTCAGCGCATGGCTGCAGCAGCCCAGCAGGTGGCCACCACCTTCCTGCACAAGCGGGCACTCATGTGCTACTGGCTGAAGCTGCTGCAGGTGGGTGCGGGGGGGGGGGCGAAATTAAAGATAAGTGAAGCAACGAATGGGTGGGGGGGGGATGCGGTGCGGGCGGGGTGCAGGTTGCTGCACTGCGCTGTACTGGTGGAAGGCCTCCATGCGTGGAGCCAGCAAGAGGGTGTGGGCAGCAAGTGTTTGTATTGCACCTGCATGCACCAGGAGCACGCCCCATGCGCTCTCCTTCCCGCTCAGCTGTACTACTCTTGTCCCCCTCCTCGCCACTGCTGGTCTGTGCGGAAAGGCCACCTTTCCTTTACTGTTTTACCCCCCACCCTCCTCGGGGTACGGGATTGTGACTCTGTTGCTGCACATTCCAGTAAATATTCCCGCCCTCCTCTTCGCCCACCCGCCCCTCAGGAACTAGCGAGCCTGCAGCGCTTCACGCCGGGACCTGAGGGGCCTGAGGGCGTGCAGCGGCGCTACGACTTCTGGACATCCGTGGAGGAGTACATGGAGGGGGAGGGAGGGCGGGAGCTGGCCAGGCATAAACTTGAGGTAGGGGCGGGGAGGGGAGGGAAGGGGCAGAGGCTAGGTGGCGGGCGGTTGCAGGAGGCGGCAGTTTGGTGATGGTGGCGGTGGAGGTTGTGAGGATGTGGCGGGTATAGGGGAGGAGTTGGGGCAGCATGGGGCTATGGGCGTTGCATGGCTGCAGTGTGCAGATGGACACGTTGCTAGCAGGTCTGAGCGCTCTCCCTAGCGCAGCGTGGCAGCGTCCGGGATGTGCTGCCTGCCTGGTGCTGTCAACGAGGCAACTAGGCAACACGCATGCAACCCCGGCTGCTCCCCTGCCTGCCCCGTGCTTGCCCCGTGCTTGCCGCATCCGTAGAACATGGAGTTCTGGGACTAGGCGACGACGAGGAAGAGGAACACGACGAGGAGCATGACGAGGTGGCGGAGCAGCAGGATGAGAGAGAGAGCCTGGGGATGGGCATTCATCGGCCTATAGGGGTTAGGGACCGGGGCGGTGGCGGTGGCCGGCCGCATGGCAGCGCAGGCTGCGCAATGTGAACCCGCAAACTGCAATGGAGTGGGTGGGTTGGAGGCTTTGCTGGGCTGCGGTGAGCGGAGAGTGTGACATGAGCTGTCGTGCCCGAGGGCTTGCAATGTTGCAAAGCAAGCGAGTGGGCCCTCAAAGGCATGCGGGCGGAAAGGAATGAGGTGTATGAAGTGGGGTTGGTTGCGCTGGTGGCGGCGGCGGGGGCTGGGTTTCTTCGCATCAATGGTGCATTGGGAGATTGAAGATCATGTAGCACTTGCGTTGTTGCGTGTAGCTCTACGTGTAGAGGCACTTGGCTTGACGGTGGCAGGGAGGTTGGTATGTCAGTTTCGATGTTAGTAGCAGTGGTAGGAACGCGCTGCTCTGACAGATGGGGTAGGTGATGCCATCTAGGGGTATGCCATGCTGCTCTCCAGTTGCTATTCCCCTTCAATTGTGAATATGAACGGTCACGAGCGTTCTGAGGTCTCGCTTGGGTCGCTATGAGTTACATGCTCCACCCTTTGCCGGAATCGAGCACTGGTGGAAAGGTTGCGACATGGATACAGCGCAATTTCCGAGCAACTGCCTTCTTTTCGTTTTCTTTATTGTATCAGTGGCACTGGGTCATGAGCTGCCAAGGACTCGGCGCCAAGCAAGCAAGTCGGAACGTCACTGGAAAGGCTGACATTTTACCGCTTGGAGTGGGCCTCTGCAACAACGCGGTTCATGCCATCATAGGATTCCTGTCTGCCAAACCTTCCGCATCAGTGTTAAATGTTCAGAACCGTACTGCAGTGGCCGTACACCTGCCGTGCTCTGCCTTCATAGCACCAGCGGTTGCTTGCCAAGTAGCGCCCTAAACCCAGATCCCGTCACCGCGGCGCCACCATGCGCCAACAGCAACCGGTATCCACCGCTACCAAACACAGCTCGACACACGACCCGGCGGTACAGCAACCCTACATCCCTGCTGTGCAGCGACACATAGGACACACATCTTGCACTGTGCACTGCACGGCAATGCAGTGCATCCGACGCTCCCGTCCAACCCCCCCTTCCTTCCTTCCTTCCTTCCTTCCTTCCTTTCCCATTGCTGCAGCGGCCACCCTCGCCGCTGCTACCGGTAGCTACTGTCGCTGCACCTCCGGCCGCATGTGCGCGAAGGGGCGCACGGGCACCATGAGCGTCTGGGAGGGCCGCCCGCCCTCTAGTACGGCAATCTGCAGTGGGACCGGCAGCAGCAGCAGCATTAGGAGCAGGAATGGGGGCAGGAGCAGGAGCAGCAAGAGGATCAGGACCAGCAGCAGGAGCATCGAAATAGCTCTGATGTCTGTTGATGACACCGAAAAAGTAGTCAAGAGATGTACAGAACCAAGCATTGCTTGTCAGCCTCCCGCAAGCCCTTTTCTCCCCACTCGACCACCGCGCAAAACCCTCCCCACCCACCGGTGCGTTCGCCCTTTGCAACCGACCCCCGCTAGCTTACTCACGGCACCCCCCCACGTCGCATGCATGTCAGCATGTGCGCTGTCATGCCCCCCGCATTCCCAGCGCCGCAGTCCCCCCTGCACCCTCTCACCTCCAGCCGCCCCGACTGCAGCCCCGAGGGGGTGTCTAGGTCGGTTCCACTGATGTACTCGAAACAGTCGTTGGGCGGAACGATGGGCTGCTGGCCTGCGGGGAGGTGGGCGCGTGTAATGAGAAAAACAGGCCGCGAGTCGGAACGTATTGTGCGTGAAGGAGAAAATGGCGCACACTAAGTGAGTTTTGCGGCTTCGTTGACCATCCAGACCTACATTACCGATAATACTACACCTTGTCAGGACGAGATTAGCACCCTAGTAACATCTAGTGAATCAAGGATCGTTTTTCACCGGTGTACTGGTAGCCGGATGTGCCGTACCGCAGCACCTTGCCAGTAGCACCCACGCACCTACTACAGCGTTGCCCACCACGTGCGGCACATGGACCACCACTGCGCCCTTGTCGTTCTGGAGGGAGGGGCCAGCCAGGGGGGATGTCACCGGGGTCAAGAAGGGTCAAGTAGGGTAGGGGATTACGGTAGGGTACGGAGAGGTCAGGGGAGCTCTCACGTCTCAAGACCACCACGCTTCAGCAATACTGCCTACGTACCCACCGGAAACCAACATGAGACGTGCTGCTCCTCTTAGCTACACATGTACGCAATCTCTAACCAGCGCCAACCACAAAGCTGCGAGGTGCTGCTACCGGGTAAGGGTGTCCCAACAGTTGGCTGTTTCAATACCGGAACCGCCGTACCCACCTTGATGGTCCACTCTCGCCCCATGACCTGGATGGGCTCCTCTCTGCGCACATCAGTACGTACGGCAACATTAGTATGTACGGCGGTATAGGATAGCAGCAGTACGGCACAATCGTGACAGCATGTGCATGTACGGCAGCAGGGTTAGGACGGCGGTGAGGTTGGCCAAGGGGGACATGGAGCGAGGGCAGCGCATGGGCGGTACGGGGTCATGTTGCCACTCGCCAGGGTCTCTTGTTACGCGGAATGAAGAAGGATTGGGGACCAAGAGGAGTTTAAAGACGCGAAGGATGAAGCATCCGCCGTGATACGCAGGAATGGAAACGGCAATGCCGTACCACGCCCAACGGTACCGTGCAAGCGCCCTCGTGCGACCGCACACCATGCTACCGTTAGCTGCAACCGCAACCGCAATCCCAGCGGTTACCGGACCCGCCAAACCCCGGACCAGCCCCGCACCATGCAGCCACGCGGCAAGCCCACCTGAGGTTGGTGATCCGTATCCGGTAGGAGAAGAGGTTGTGGTTGCGGCCCGAGTGGGGGGTACCCGCCTGCTGCGCCAGGAGGAGGAGGGGGGCAGGTGGGCGGTAGGGGGATGGCGCGGGACCAGGAGAAGAGGGAACAATGAGGGATGCGGGCCCGGGTAGATAAAGCCCATGGTACGTGCTGCCGATGAAGCGCTAGAGGAGTAACGGTGCCGTTGGTACGGCACAATCACGATGCATCTCCCATGGCTGGCGGAGGGCTTGCCGCCCTCGGTATGCCGCGCTCACAGCAATTAGGAGTGCGGTACGGCGGCCGTAGGCCAGGGCTCAGGCCAGGGGCTGTTCCTCGCCAGTAACCCATACATGGGCTTGCCTACCACACACACTCGCGGCCAGTTGAGTTACGTTTCAGGTTTGTTTACCTCTGTTTTCCCTCTGTTTTGCCTGTACTCGAGGTTCACATGCGAACCTATCCCAACTGCTTGCTCTTGTTTTACTCAACTACACACACTCGCGGCCACACAAGTGACACAACGCGGGTTGTGTTCCCAACCCACGCAGCTTCCCAGCCATTTGCACTACGGCCGCCCCTACCGTGCTGTACTTGGAGGTGGCGTCCACTCGTACGCCGTCTGACGTACAACTGGACGAGCAGCGGTTGAGGTAGAGCTGCTCCAGCAGCACACGCAGGGCGGCTAAGGCCTGGGCGGTGGGGGGGGAGGTGGTGGCAGCGGTGCCGGTAGGGGAAGCAGCAGCAGGAGGGGATGGGATGGGAGATAGGGAGTAACCGACCCAGGCAAGGAAGAGCGGGATGGGGAAATAAGGCAGCGACCAACCCGTAGGGGGTCCTGAATCAATGCCGAGGGAGGTTAAGAGGCGGCGAAGGCATGTGCTTGGACACCAGAGTGATGTTTAGGTCTTCAGTTATGGAATGTGTGGGACCGGCCGCGCGCTGGGCCCGCTAACCGGGCATCGTGTCCTTTCCGGCACCACACCACTCGCAGGCCCCACCCACCTCGCCCATTAGCCGCGGCACCTCTGCCGTACTCGCCGTCTTCTTGTCCTTGAAGTTTTCTCGTACCACGTGCCGCAGCCAATCCGCGTCAAGCGACTCCAAATCCAGCGCTACCCGTAGACTAGGGGAAGAGCCCAGCAGCTCAGAAAGGGTGCTGGCCTGGTATCTGAGACCCGTCTCGCTGTAGCCGTAGTAGCCCCAGTTGTCCGGGACAGGCTTCCGAAACTAGGGGGTGAGAAGGCAAGGGTGTGGAGGGTTATGTGGGGAGGATGGAGAGATATGGCAGGGTACGGGAGCGGAGTAGAGAAGGCGTGCCGACAGCTGGTGTCGCCAGGGGCCAGGGGGATTTTCGATGTCAGGATCGCAATCCTGTTGTGAAGGTTCGCCACGGTAGTGTGCACCAAGGCAATGCGCGACGCGTTTCTAGAAACACCAGGGTGGAGCTCCTGGCAACCCTATCCAAGGGATCCAGGGATGTACTAGGCTTAAACATCTGTACTGTGCAGTCTATCGCCCTTGCCGTCCCTTGCCGACCTCCAACTCCTCGCCGCGCTTCGCCATCCGTCGCGCTTGGCGCAGGAACGTGCGGTAAACCTGCAACACTGCCATCTTGCTCATGGTTGCTAATATCTAGATTATTGCTTAACGAAGTTGTTGACTACATATGAGAAGACGGGAACATCCGGTCCGAAGCAAACGAAGCGCAAATGAACTTGCAGCCTAATAAACGTAGGATATGCCTACAATACTTCAATACTTAGTTGCTATGTCGCGTCCCGTTGCAGCCGCTACGACGGTTCAGTTGGTTGCCGGATCGGTCCGGAATCCTTCTCGATGCGCCGCGTTAGTTGGCTGGAGGACCGCAGCTCAATGTCTTAGTGCAGAGTTCACTAAAGCTGCCCTTGAAAATTGGTAGGCAGTTGGTACTTAGTCATACACTGTCATGTCGTCTTACAAAGTGGGCCCCGCGACACAAAACGGTCCGCGCATCTCCCTTGAACATGTGAACGCAATGCAGGACCTTCACGTACGCAGGAAACCAGCCACGGTGCCATGGCATCAGCTAACTTGATGCCGCAAAGCCAACGTCCTGGATCAGCACCAGGACTTGGACCTTTTTCTTCAAGCCATGTCCTTACAATAGCACTTCATGTGCGCTACTCCGGGTCCTAAGCACGCATAGAACACACCAAGCACTCTATGCCGTACATGCACCGTAGTCCCCATAGCCCACGTTGCTGAGCATCCTCCGTGGAAGGCATCCACCGTACACCGCCTACGAAACGAGTAAGAAACTGCCGGCCAGGTGTGGACAGCAGTCCCCGTCCCACACCCAGGACACAACACTAACATCCCCTCGAAACATAGACGCTCGTTGCCTCCGGGATTGGCTATCTATACTTTCACTCTTATGAAGGGATAAACGATCACGTTGAACTCCCTGGTCACCGTAAATGGTAGCAGCTATTAATGAAGCAGGGCGCAGCTGACCCTAATTGCCATAGCCGTCAAGCATCGTTACACAGGCATTGCACAGGCACACCACTATAATATTGCTTCTTCGCTAAACGTCCCAGTCTGGGTGCAAACAAGGCAGGTTGCAGCGAAGCGCATTTCAGCACCTGGCCTTACCGCCATGTAGTGCACCCCTATCCGCGGGAACCTAGTAGCCCACAGCAGTCGGGAACCCGCAATACCCTATGAGAACTCGTGACAGTCACCCAAATTAGGGTCCCTGTTGTTAAGATACCCAGCAGATCTTCCTTAAAGCGTCTGCTCGCGGTTCGCCACCGGTGTTCCATAGGTCGTCGGCGCGGCGTAGGCGCCTTGCTGGGCGTAAAAGGCGGCCGTCGACGCCGCCGTGTGGTCGTTGTAGGCCGGCGGCGGAGGTGCGGCATAAGCGGGGGTTGCGGCGCCAGCAGCGAGGCCACCGGCAGGCACGGCGCTGTAGCCGGTGTTGTCGTACTGGGCTTGGTAGCCCTGCAGGTAACAAGAGCAAGCAGCATTAGTACACGCGCCAGGCACCCGTACACACGTCCAAACGCCTACGAGCAGCACCTGCTTCATAAAGAGAGCCGGCCATGTATCCTTGCCATGGTGACTCATCCGCTAACAACCCACCTGTGACTGGTCGTATGCGTACTCGTTGGTGTTGAACTCGGTGGTCGTCTGGTAGGCGTCGCCGCCCTGGTTGTACTGCGTGCTGTAGTATTGGTTGTACTGGTCGCTGCTCATGTACTCATTAGGGTTGTAGGGTGTCGTGTTGAACTGCGGGTCAGTTGAGGAAGCTGCCTTGCCTTCCGGGGCAGTACCAGCGCCGGCGGCAGCACCTCCAGCCGCGGCCAGGCCCAGGGCCGCGCCATCAGCCATAGGCACGTACGGGTTGCTCATCTCCGTGTCTGTGAAACGGCAACCATCAAGAACGGATACAGGGATGAGCAAAGCGGCGGTTGATGCGGTACCGTGAATACATTGCTGGCAGGAGTTGTGCCATCTCGTAACTCAACCGTCACACCCTTGCATGACTTACTGATGCCGAGGTGGTCCGTGACAGCGGCTTGGAAGATGACGAGCGTCAGGAAGAAAATGATGAACATGGCGAAGCAGATGAAGGCAAACACCTCGGCGCCGACGTAAAGCTCCGTGCTGTACTTGGTCCAGTTCGTGTCAAGGACGGCTGACACCGTGCTGTTGCTTGAGACTGGTTCTGTGAGAGAACGGCATGTTGCGGCGGTTAGGATGGCCCAAACCAACTTTCAACGAACTGCAATCGGCGACCCAGATCGAAACTGGCAGCCGGAGGTGAAACTTACTCTCGGTAAGCTGTGTGTCGATAACCTCTCTGAAGCCGTCCATGATAAGACCAACAAGAAGGCAGAAGAAGGCCAGGGTGAAACAGAAGGCTACCATGAAGCCATAGCCAAACCCTGGGCCGCTGCGGTTGATGGACCGCCTGCACAGTCGTGCAATAGGGGTAAGAGGGGAAGCTGGGGAGGCAAGGGGAAGGCGCGGCGCAATAGAGAGCAAGCGAAACCATACGTACTTGAGCAAAATGCAGCAGCTGAAAATGTTGAATCCGAACACCAGCAGCGCCCCAAGCAACGTCGCCGCAAGGGGAGCACGCCAAATTCGGTCTAAGGAGAGCTGTTTCGGGTCGAAAGTCATGTTCCCTGATGCAGCGAGCAGCTTGTAGAAAGTCACGGCAGAAAGGATGTAATAGATCGTCGTTATGATCATGTTTGTAACCCAGGACATCCATAGGATAATCCTAAAGGCCTCCTTGCTGCACCCGCAGCCCCGGCGCGCCCTGCGGAAGGCAACCGGGTGAGGTCTGAAGTAATACTGAAAGAAAGTTAACAGCAAAAAATGTTCCTTACATCTTGACTTCTTCTTTCCGCCTTGTCCTCCCTGAAAGTTCTTCGCGGTAGGCCCTTGAAGCACCCAAAATCCTTCCGGTCAAAAGTCTGTGGTTCTGCTAGATGTTCTGATCCAAGTGTAACATAATTCACTGTAACCGGCTCATGTGCAGTAGGGAGTTCTGACGGCCTTCCAGAGGCAAAGGTGGCATAAGGCAGCATGGCGCTTGGTGTACGGCGGAGTGCCGCACCTAAACTGCTAAACAACTGCCCATCTGTCAATTGGGAATCAAAAAGACTGAACAAGCATACATGGGGTCCTTCAATCTTTTGGAATCCCCTGCACACTTCGTTGCGCTGAAGTGCCACCTTGAAATTGCGCCAATGTATGGAGGTATTTTTGGTCCAGCCCTTTGTTACTAGCAGTGACAGCAAATTCTGAAATGCCTCTGACGTCTCCTGAACAGACACCCTCCTTGTGCTTCCCAGTTACTTCCTGGACTCCACACGGCTTTAGGCAGTGGACCCTTAAATGCAACTTGAAAGCCCGTGGGGAACTCTCTCATTTGCCGCAAGAATAAGAAGACGGATATGCCCACACCATATATTCCTCGCTTAGGAAGTTCCCTTGGGTGTTGCATGCAAGGGACATGTATGGCCATCGCCGCCCCTTAAAGGCCGCCTGAAGCATACATAACACCAGCAAAGGTCTGTTTCAATGATGCTTCTCGTCCACGATCCCTTCGCTTTCCAAATGCACGCTGTCACCGGCACAGCTCCCCATGCCTTTCGCATAATGCATTATAGTACGCATCACATCCGTGGAATCCCGGCAAGACTCAAAAGTGCATGCTGATAATTACACTTGAGATCTGTCTTGGGTCGCACGTGCGCTCTCCTGCTCAATTTCAGGGTCAAGAACCTACACTCCTTGTCTGCGTGTTCGTTGTGGCAATGGAGCCCAGTCAAGGGCCCCCCATGCAGCGAACGGAAACCCTTATGAACGAGGCATCCACGGACTTGTTCTGCACTTGGACGAACCACCTGACCAAAATTGCGCAAAGAGACACCAGCTTCGCACCGGTAGCACGCCTCTTCCGCCTGGGCCATTCGGCCATGTACGCACAGCCACCAACCTAACCACGACAGCCCGTCAGTGACCCATGGGTCTCCATGACCCCTTCCCTACTCCTCTCCTCAACCCCTTTCCACCTCTCCCACCACAACATCTCCCAACACCGCATCACGAGGAAGACACGGCCCCAGGTGGTACCGTCGCCGCCGAAGCCGCTGCTGCTCCCGACCTGATCCTCCCGGTCGCCTCCGCCTCCTTCGTCAGCCGCTCCGCATCCACAACCGCCGCCAACTGCTCTGCTGTGGGCTGCGGGAAGGCCGCGCGCGCCAGCGCCTGCGTCGCTGTGTCCGCAACCAGCAGCCAGGGCGCCACCGCCACGCCCCCAAAGGCAGCCAGCTGGGCCCCCTGCGGGAAGGCCAGCAGGCGGCCCAGGGGGGCTAGTGCTCTGCGGGGAAGCACGTGAGCCACCGGAACCTCCCACAACGCCAGTGTGATGGCGCCTAGCAGTAGTACCTTGAGGGGAAGAAGGGAGGTGAGGAGACGGGGGGAAGGGGTTGGGCGCCGGGGAAGGGAAGGATGGGCATGGAGTGGGGATGGTTGAGGTGCGCAGGGCAGGAGAGGAAAAGGGAGGATGTGTTGGGCACTGGTGAGTAATGATTAGAGTTAAGGAGAGGGTTGCAGCGTGGGTTTGAGGTGGGTCTTGGGAGTCCTGGGGCGGATCCGGGCGTGCTAGGGCGTCTTAGGGCTTTACGGCAATTAAAACCCAAGACTGGCCAAGACTGCACTACAGTGGCTTCCCGTTGGCGAGAAATGACAATAGCGGAACATAGCGAACGTCGAACGACCAAAGAGGCAAAGACACACCTTGACCGCACTACACAGCATGACAAGCCGCTCCGCAAGGCCTGGTACCGCCGGGCCTGCAGTTACGTCCGCCAACTCCTTCTCCTTGGCGTTCGCCAGCCGCTGGAACTTGGCGCATTTGGCATACGTGCTGGGCGTGTTCAGTTTGGCGGCCTCTCGCCGCAGGAATGTGATTTCGGCGGTGAGCTGAGCGCGTCGGGAGCCCATGGCGACATTCTGCGGACAGTGGATGCGCTCTGGGGGTTAACTCCTTGGCAAGCAGGCGTCACTGGGGGCGACGCTAGTGATCAGGCTCGTGGCTGTCTCCCATGTGTCTCCAAAGCGGAGGATTGGACTTTACGAGGCAGGCCGTGGGTTACGAGATGTGGCGTTTGGCAAGAGCCGACAAGGCGCGGATACCGCTGGCGCACCTTATGGCGCTTTGCCAACCATACGACTCCGTTGAGTATGATCAAAACCGTAAACGAAAGTATGACGGCCCAAGGCCCAAGCGGGAGACCAGCTCCCATTCTCCTTGAACTGTTAAGGCTTGCAAGTAAAGAAATTCAACTACGCCAACAACACTATTGAAGAAGCAACTGCAAAGACACTTTAACTTCCCAGTGGTCTGGTCCTAATCTCGGCTCAATGCAGCAATGCAGCACAGGCTGGATCTTGCGGTTGGGGCCGCCGAAAAACTAGACTTTGTGGTGTGTTGATGACAAAAATGTGTTACAATAATCAGGCCTAAAGCGCATTCATGTGGGGTAACCTGCCCACGGACATGCTGCGCAAGCAGATAGCCCCAGGCTCCCACGCAGGGATTGCTGCTCGCGGGACACCCGCACTGAATTTTACAAGTAACTTACTAAGTGCTGTGGGGTTTATGCGGTCACCTACGTTGGCCTTCCGCGACGACGCCTACACAACCACCTCGGCGTCTTCGGTCGCGACGCCGGTCAGGCCGTTAAGTAGTCGTTCGGACACTGCAGAACACCTTGGAAGCTCACGCCACAGAAACGCTGATAAAGCGGCGGCTGGCTTCGGGAGTGGCTCAAAACGGCCATGGCGCATTTCAGACGCACCGCGCGACAAGCTTGGCAGCGTCTTCGGCTGGCGCACGTGCTACGAAAGGATAAACCATTATGCCGCTGCGGGTAAACTTGGGGGCCGCCTGTCAGTGGGTGTCGTGTGCGCGCTGTCGCGTGCTCACATGGCGTGAGCTGCTTCGGAGCCAAACCATGCACCACTTTGCCCCGTAACAGGCGTCATTCCGTTCGCCTACAACAATAAGGAGCGGGAGCTGTATGTGCTCATGTCCATTCAGCGCGAGAGCAAGGGGAAGATCAAGGACGGCCTCGTGTACACCTTGCTGGGTGAGCAATCCTAAGCCTCACCTAAGCCTCAGCCCTTACCCCTTTACCTTTTCGCCCCTTTACCCCCTTCCAATCCTGTTACTCTTAGAACTGGGAACTGGGCAAGATGTCCCATGATAGTGCTTGCTGCTATGGGCCGCTCTCCGCCAATGGTTGCCACCACCCCTGCCGCCGCCCCTAGCGGCTCCCTGCCTCCCCCCCGCCACTATCGTTACCAACCGTGTCTGGCTCGCTTTCCCCTTGCGGCCGCCTTCCCGCCCCTGCAGGCGGCAAGGTAGCTAACTCCGATTGCAACGATGCCCGTCGTACGGCCGCTCGAGAAGCGTACGAGGAGACACACCGGCTGCTGCGGCTGCCGGAGGTGCTTAGTGTGCTGGGCGGCGCAGCACAGGCGTACGGCGAAACCCTAACCGCCGCCTCAGCCCTCGCGCCTTCCTCGCCCACAGCCTCAACCTCTTCTCCACAACGCCAAGATGCGAAAGGAGTGCAGCCAGCTGGTTGTCGCGGCGAGGAGGCTGATGCCGCCGTGAGGGGGCCTGGCAACAGCCTGGCGCAGGCGTCAAGCACTGACAGCAGTAGCAGGAGCAGTAGAAGCGGAGCCGTTGGGTATGTCAGCAGGGAGGGTGGCAGTGCTAGCAGGACAGGGCGAAGCAGCGGAGAAAGCCGCAGCGGCAGCAGCAACGCTGCTGTTGCACAGGGGGGCGGCGAGGGGCCCTGTACGCCGTACGAGCACTTTCCCGGGGGTCGCTACGTGGCATTCGCGCTGCACCTTCCAGACGCCTGGAGACTGCCGCAGCAGTTCGAGGCAAAGATAAAAGGTAAAAGCCGGGTGCGCAAAGGGTGGTGGAGCGTGAGCAAAGAAGTGGGCGTGGGTTACCTCGATTTCTGGCATGGGTCACCTCAATGCTGTTGCCGTTCGTCGTTGGCGCAGTTCCGAAAAGCCGACTAGGTTACACGACGAGTAGGCTGGGGGGTCATTCTAGACCCCCCCGTCTGAACCCCCCAGGCTGGACTGGGCCGTCTGTATCGCTGCCGCGCACACTGCACGTTGCGCTCTCCGCGCGTTTGACCCCGCCAAGCTTTTGCTGCCTACTTGCTCACCGCCCCCTGACTCGCTTGCTGTCCTCCCTCTGCCCCTTTTGCCCCCTGGCTGCAAACCCCATGCATCCATCCATGCATGCATGCACTCCCCATGCAAATGCGCTCCCCACGCACGCACCCCTGCCGCGCGTGCAGCCAAGGACACGCACCCCGAGGCCGACAAGGCTGTGGGTCTTGAGTGGGTCAGCCTGAAGCGGCTGCGACAGCTGAGGGACTCCTCGGAGCTGTACCAGGCCTCCACGGGTGCTGTCATACTGGGTCACCCCTTCACCATGTCCATGCTGCGATCCAGCCCGTCCCGGAGCGTGGGCGTGTTTGACTGGCTGTACTTGTTGCGGGAGCACCTGCGTGCCTGGCATGCGAGGAAGGAGGGTCCCGCGGCGGCAGCGGGGAGCAAGGAGGAGGTTGTGAAGCGGCAGGAGGGGCCTGGGAAGGGGCGCGGTGGTGGTGGCGAACAGGGGTTGTCGGAGGTCGGTGTTTGGGGGCGGGAAGTGCAGCAGAAGTGGGAGCGGAAGACCGAAGCCGTGGAAGCAACAGCAGCAACAGCAGCAGCAAAAGAGCAGGCGAACGTGGATGCCTGGACGGTGGCCAGCAGCCCAAGGGGGTTCGAGGCGCAGGCCGGTCAGGGTAAAGGGGCTGCGGTTTCATTGCCAAGCAAGCCCTCAACCACCGACTCACGGGGGGAGGCGAAGAGTGAGGTGGAGGCGGCGGCAGCAACGGTGAAACAACACCCTCCGCAATCCCTGGGTGACGTCCTTGCAGCGCAGGCGGCTGCTGCGAGGAGGCAAGGAGCCACGCCGGCAGCTGCGGACGGGGGACGGCAGCGGCAATACCGACCGCCGCCGCCCATGCTAAATGTGCCACCGCCGCCGCCGCCGCAGTCCTCGGGGCTGACAACTCCGTCGCCGCCGACTGTTGAACGAGGGCAGGCGGCGGGTACAAGCAGCAGCGGACGATGGCCCACACGGCCACCGCCGCCGCAGCGGCCGGGGACGCCGCAGTCGCCGCCGGCTGCTGCGGCTGCTCGGCAATCACCTCCCGCGCCTTTACTGCAGAACTTGGCAATGTCACTGGAGTCAAAAGCGGCGCTGAAACAACCCTCCAGGAGCACGCAGGTGAGCCACCAGGAGCGGGGACCGCCCCAGCAGCAACAGCAGCAGCAAAAGCGACAGCAGCAGCAGCAGCAGCAACAGCAGAGGGGTGGGCAGCAGCAGCAGAGGGGTGGGCAGGAGCAGTCCCGGACGCGAGGGCTGGGTCCCCATGACCCGTTGCGTGGTGAGAGAGATCAGCAACGGCGGCGGCAGCAGCAGCAGCAAAGGCAGTCGCTGCACACGCTATCACACGCTACGGCAGAGGCAACCCTGGAGCCCTCCGCAGCCTCTCCTCAGCTGCCGTCCGCGCCGCTGCCGTCCGGCTTGGCATCTCCGCATGACAGCGAGCCGCGCTACTATTACAGGGTGTGGCGCAAGGACGGAAGCTCGGAGTTGCGAGAGGAGCAGCAGCCGCGGCCGGGCATGACGGTGCTGTCGCGGCAGCCCCAACCCGCCGAGGAGCCCCGATCGCACCACCCGTCCCCAACGCCACCATCATCTCCTCAGTCGCAGTCGCAGCCGCAGCCGCAGACGCTGGTTGGGATCCAAGGTCTGGAGCCCCCACCTCCCCGTCATCAGTTGGTGTCATCAGCACCGCCAGCAGCGCAGCAGCGCCGGTGCAGCGAGTGGCAGCCTCCTGCTCATCCCCTGCCGGTGCAACCCACCAGCAGCAGCAGCCCTCAGTCAGCTGGTGGTGGTGATGCCGGCTGGGAGGCGGAGGCTGTCATCACAAGCAGCACAGCGGTTGGGAGCAGTGCCTCTGGCGCTTCCTTGGACCCTACTGCCACCCCCTCGCCGCCCATGCCCTCACCCTCACCCGCAACGCCTCCAACTACACCTGCACACGCACATGCAGCTCAGCAGCAACCGCCGCAGCAGCATCAATCGCAGCAGCTTCAATCGCAGCAGCATCAATCGCAGCAGCCGCAGCACCTCCCCCCGCACCAGCTGCACCCACACCCGCCCACAACCAGCACTCCGAGGGACCCGACCGGTACGGACCAGAGCAGCAGCAGCAGCAGCCACAGCCTACACCAGGGCCCTGACCAGGGCCCGCAGGTACCGCCACCACCACCGCCCTTGTCGTATACTGTGTGGTACCGAGACGGGTCTCCCGTGAGGTTCGAGGGATGCGGAGTGCGTCGCCCGCAAGCCACGGTGCTCAAGGCCAATCCTAATGCGGCTCGCATGGGCAGGTCATAGTGAGGATGAGGATTGCGTTTTTTCGGATTTTTTGGCGTTTCCTGCAGGATGTGCGGATGATGCTTATGCTGTGTGAACAGGACTGGCCGGAGGTGTGTTTCGTGTGTCCCTCGGGAAGAGGGGCGGTTGGTGGGATCCCGATGCGGGCGTTGGGGGGTGCCGTGTTGACAGCGGCGGCGTGGCTGGCGCTGTGGCTGTGGCTGGACGGTGTGTTTAGAAAACTGGCCGCGAGTCGGAACGTACTGTGATTGCCGGACGGTGTCACGGCGCGCATCTTGTGTGCGTTTCTGAAAGTGAGAGGCGCAAGGCACGTGGGGGGGCAATGATATGCGGGCACGTAGTTAGGGGGCACATAGAGGGGCAAGGGATGCGCGCGCATGGCAGGGGGGCCGTTTGAGTGTACTTGAGTTATGCATCCCGGTGTGAGGAGGACTTCCTAGTCGGATTGGGAGAAGACGTAGGCTTGTGAGCCGCGGTGTGTGTTACGCAGGGCGGGTCGAGCGGAGCGGAACAAGAGGCTGCGTGCGGATTGCTGAGGGGTATCATGACCTGGGTAGACAAGGGCCAGGAAGTGAGGCATGTCGCTGCTATTTGGGCCCTGGTACCCCGCCTTTATTGAGACTGAGACGTGTACAGAGACTGTATCGCTATTGTTACAGGTGTTGTTACTGTTACAAGAGCTGTTACTGTTACAAACAGGAATGAGGGTGAAACCGAACCACCACAGCAGCACAGGTGCCATCTGCGCCTCCTGGGGAGAACATTTGCCATGGACCAGACTCGGACGTAGTTGTCACCACACCACCACAATGCCCCTCTGCGCAACACGGCGCGCAATCCTGCCTACGCAATGTCACCACATCATACATAGTGTACAAACTGCGACAAAAGGAACAGCAACCGCAATCGCTCCCTAGTTAATTCGGTCGTGAATTAGGAGTGCGATGGTGTGGTGGTGGGGTGGCGTGACATAGTTAACAACACAGTTAGGGTTACGCGGGCAGGGACATTTCCCTGGCATCAGGATCCCACACGTTCATGCCTCCATGAATGCATGCATGTCTCCTCCCATGTCTCCACCCATTCGCAACTCCACAACAGCTGCGCTGCATTGCGCTCCTCAGCCGCTTCTTACTAACGGATACATGCACATTATCTTGGGTTTGGTGTTCTGGCATTTCCAATGTTCAACAACCACTCGTTACCCCAGAGCCCCATGAGCATGAAACGCATGCTGCCCCATCCCAGCATCCCATCACCCGCAGCATCCCAGCAACATCCCACCAGCATCCGCTGCAACCCCCAAAACCAACAACAGGTTTTGCGTGCTGCCTGCGGGACCCTCGGGAACCCCCTTCCCCGGACCCCTCCAGCACCTGAACCACACACACATGCCTCACCACATTCACTTCCTAACCCCGCCCCAACCCGCAGTACACCCCTGTTCCCTTATCCCTTCTCTGCCTCCTACACCTCAAGCCAATGGCCCCCCCAGCAAATGCTCCCGCAAATCAAACGCACCGCCCTGCCCGCCATTCGCCTCATGTAGGGCCCCTTGGACCGCCGCCAACTGCCGAAGCAACGACTCCACGAGACTCACCGGCCGCGCCGCCGCCGCCTGCTCCGGAACCACCAGCGCCGGCCGCAACAACCGCAACAAGTCCCCCTTCTTCTCCCCCTCCTCACCCTGCACCGCCACCGCCCCGTCACTCATCATACCCGCATCCTCACCTTCCCCTTGCCCATCACCTCCTCCTCCTCCTGCTCCTCCACTGCCGTCCATCTCATCACTCTCGCCCTCCTCCCCCTCCTCCTCCTCCCCAGACCCCGTACACCCACTTCCACTCCCACTTCCACTCCCTCCCTCCTCCTGCTTCCCCTGCCGTACCGCCCCCTCCTGTCGTACTCTCTGCTGCTCCGCCAGTACGGCCAGTACGGCAGCGTTCACCGCATCCGCGACCGCCTCGCGCTGTCGCTGCCCCAGCAGGTGCCCCAGAGGCGAGCTCTCGGGCTGCTGGTAGGCCACCAGCGCCACCACGTCCCGCAGGGGGGCTGCTAGCGCCGCACAGGAGGGGCCGCCCAGGTGGGAGAGGGTGGCCTGCGCGAACTGGACTGCCTCCTCCACGCGAGCGCACCTGGGGGGTGGGGGTGTGCGGTGGTGATGGTGGTAGGATGAGGGCGCGGTGAGGTGTGTGGGTTAATAAAACTGGCCGCGGGTCGGAAGGGTGCGGGCTGAGAGACCCCACCCCTTCATCCATTCCTTCCATTGCTTCCCCATGCCGCGCCCCCCCCTCCCCCACACCACACTTTGGAATTTCTTTTTCCCTCCCCCACTATCACACCACACATTGGAAATCTTCTTTCCCCCCCCCCCATTTACCCACATGCACGCCTCCCACGCACCTGACCAGCTCTATGTACTTCTGACAAGCCAGCTGGAAGTGCACATCCCCGTAGCCCCGCCCCGCCTCCTCCTCCCCCCGCAGCAGCGCCGGACAGTGCGCCGCCAGCAGCGCCACCGCACCGTCCACGTCGCCCCCCTGGATGGCAGCACGCAGGCGGCAGCGCAGCGGCAGCGACGAGCTGGCCACATCGGCGGCAGCGGCAGCGTCTGCTGCTGAGGACGTAGGTGGTGGTGCTGATACTGCTGCTGCTGCTCCTTCCGGTGTTGCTGCTGCTGCCGCCAGCCCCGCCGCCTCGTCGAAGGCCCCCAGTGAGGCCTGGTAGCCGTAGTGCAGCAGGTACTGTCGTACCAGCTGGTGGCTGGCGGCGGGGGACAACGGCATGCGCTCCACTGCCGCACGCTGGGCTGACCGCTCCTCCGCCAGCATGCCCTGGGCGTGGTTCGGTGTTTGTACGACATTTAACATATGTCCGTGCAACATATCCGTACACATTATACCGGTATACCCAGGGAGGGGCGGGTAGCAAGCTAGCAACCCGTTGTGCATGGTCCCGATGTGTGTACGGCATGAGCGCATGAGGGCATGACGAGTTCAGGTTAAGGAATCCCCCACGCCGCGTAGCTGCATCTGCAGGGCGCTATGCGTTAAGCGTCCAGCTGTGCTAATACTAACCTTCTGGTCCCTATCCCCTTAACAGCGCGCTCGCAGTTGGCCTCCCTCCCAGTCCCCATGCCCCCCGTACCTCCAGATCAAACACAAAGGGCTTGTGACCAAAGTTGACCTGCACCCGCTCCCCCTTGCTGCGGGCGTCAGGGTAACCAGATGTTTGGGAACGAGGGGACAGAGAAGTCAAGGGGATGCCAAGGCCTAGAAGGCACATGCTGTAGTACCAAGGCTGGCACGGGAGAATGCGCGACACAGGAGCAACATACGCGCCCCACAGTACAAGATACGCCTTATCGCGATAACGTACGCCTACACCGGTGCTTGTGAGGCCGCCACAGGGCGCCGCATCCCACTGGTAGCCCCACGCCACTAGGATGGTCTGTGACAGCGCTGATATGATAGGGCTCCCACCATGTAACATCACATGCTCGCATCACATCCCACTATGGACACGCCGCCAGACAGCTGATCTCAGCCGCGTACACTCCCGTCCCGCTGCGCACCTGTGCAGGCCTATGGTGGGGTAGAGGCCGGCTCGCATGGGCCGGTGAGCCAGCTTGAGCTTGGTGCCGTTCTTGCTGCGGAGGGAGGGGGCAGGCAGGGGGTGAGGTAGGGCAGGAGGTAGGCAGGGAGGGAGGGTCGTCTCCTTGGGTATTGCGAAGGAGGAGATTCGGGGAGGAGGAGGTTAAGCCGTCCTTGCTTTAGTTAGGACAGGGGGTAAAGGAATAGGGGCGGTAGTAAAGATTGAGGCAAGAGTGGAAGACGGGCGCGCAGGTGAAAGGGGTAAAGCCGGTACCAACTAAGCATCGGGTGACGCTTGCTGGTTGCACTTAAAGCACGCGGCAGTGTTGCATGTCACGAGCTGTGCCGTCCCCCTCTCCATCGGGCCCTCGCCGCCCACTCCTTGCCTCCTCCCTTGCTGCTCCCTGCCCCCTCCCCCGCTGCCCCCCTCGGTGGCTCACGTGAAGAAGAGCTCCTGTCTGCCGAGGTGAATACCCGCACCCACCGTGTCGCCCGTACCAAAGGTGGGACCTGCGGCGTACAATTGTGTACCTTCTGTCAGTTGTGTGATAACAGGAAGTCCCCCATGTATTGCCACGTATGCGATGATGGTGGCTAGTAAAAGAAGCGGCGTTACGTGGAGTACGGCAAGGGAAGCAACAAGGAACACGCGCTTCCCTGGCAAAGGAAAGCAGGTCGATGCAACAGTATAGTAAGCCTGCGGGCCGTTTGTTCGTCCCCCGGCCGACTATTCCGGCCAGCTAGGCTGAACTGGGCCTACCATAGTCTTCTCCATGGGAGTTCCCTATGAACTTCTTGCCGTCATCTCCGTGATAGCCGTAGGAGTTGTCTTCCCACCTGCGGCCAACGGTGGTGAGGACAGTTGCAGCTTACGGTTGGCGACAAGCTAGGGTTTGTGCGCGCCATCAGCTGCATAACCTATGTTGACGCACCCAGGTTGCCGTGTGAGCTTGAAGTTCTTATCTGCAAAGCCGATGGCGATTTTGCCGTAGAGGCCTTGGTCCAAGATGGTGAACTCGTAATAGTACACTGTGCAGTTTGAAGGGACCGGGTGGTTTGCCTGTATTGCGCCCTGCATACCAGAATTGTGGCGATGGATTAAGACATGCTAGCTTGGATGTCACAGGCGGGCAGTTGAAGCAGCGAAATGCCTCACCACGTCGCGGCGTGGATCACCTATGTATTCAACTGTTATTTTATCCTTTAGCTCCAAGCCAGGGCCCTGGCGAGCAGTGTTGAGCTCACTGGGCCACGGTTGCTGAGAGCTTTGCTGAAAAAGGTAGCTCATCGTTAGGGAACACCCACAGCAATTGCTATTCAACGCAAGCTAAGCATGCCCTATCCTCACATAACTGCTGGATGCTTAATTGTGACGCCCTGTTAGGTGTCGCCGTACGCGAGCGGTGTGCTTCGGAGCTCATAGCTCGGGCGTAACTTAAGTGTAGCAGCTTACTCTTTCAAGCACAACTTCTCGACCCTGAAGCCAAGCTATTGACAGCTTTTGATCACGCTGCTTCTGTGCTGACCAGTGTCCTAATTTCGACGGAAGGCACAGCGTGAAGCTTACGTGTAAAGCCGACAATGGCCCCGAGCGGAGAGGTGCACCTTGACTTTGCGCTGTCGGCGCTAACAAGCCTTGGCGGCATTATGGGCTATGTGCGCAAGAACTCGTTGCCATCGGTACGTCGAAAGCTGACCCATGCCGGTGACCCTATGGCGACATGCCTCACTCACTGCCCCTTTCAATTTTGCAGCTGCTGGGAGGGCTTACCTTCGGGGTGGCATATGGGGCAACCGCCTACATTATCCAGGTATGGGAGACTCTAGATACTTCTGCGGCTGCTCCCATGGACAGCTCCCACCTAGGACAGATGCTTGCATTGCTTGCGGTCGGCAACGCACCCGGTTGCATGTTTGGAGGGCGATCTACATGTAGTTGGGTCATGAGGGAGGAAACCAAGACTGGCATGCTGGTGCCTTGTTGCAGGGTACCCTGGGCAAGAGGGCGGGTTAGACTGGAGCCCTGGGTTTAGGGTGACCCATCATGGCGCCTGCCTGGCAAGCAAGCACTGCATTTTGCATATTTGCCTATCCCACATCCTTGTGGGATAAATTGCGCTAGAAAAGCTGATGCCTCTGTGGCTCACGCCGCATACACTGATGCCCAACCCTTCACATGCATATCATCCGTTAGTTACCCCTGTTATATCCCCTTTCCCTTTCTCGAAACCAGAACCATGACGCCGTACTGGGTCACACCGTTGGCTGTGCCACGTCGGCGATTATGGCCACCATGATGGGGATGCGCGTGGCTAAGACGAAGAAAGTTATGCCAGCAGGCGTGGTGGCGGGTGCAGGGCTTGTGGGCCTGATTTACCATGCTAACAAGTACAGTCAATGGGCGTAACTAGCCAAACGTCTACAACGGCGCGGATGGAGGAACTCGTGGCGAGCTAGGCAGGACAGCTACCGGTACTTGTAGGCGGGGTAGGTGTCTGTGACGGCTTCTAGCTGTTGTTGTTGAAGGGATTGAGCCCAGGGTGCATGTATGCTGTGGCAGCAGCGTATAGGCGTGGCTGCCTAAGGGCTACGTTCACTGCTAGTATGTTTAGTTCACAGTGCTCCCAGTTCGTTCAACGGGTCCCAGGTGCGTCTGCGTATATGGTTGTAAGTGGTTTCCTTGACAAGGATATTGATGACCACGCCACAAGGCATGTATACTAGCATGGAGCTCGGTAGCTACCGTTACCGGTACTACGCGCTGTTCTTGTCGGACCCTCTCCATGGTCCGTGCGTTATCCAATGTAGCCGGCCCTCCTAAACTCATGGGCTCCAACATAATACAAGTACCACGTTACAGGGCTTCATAATAACACGTCTGGCCCCAGATAGCATTTTGCGCCAAGGACCACATTACGTGCATCATGCAACGGCCCTCGTACAATGCCGACTATAACTTTCACACAGCCCCTATAAGAGACTCTTTTTACTCTGGTATTTTATGACCTAGAGACTGTGCTTGTAGCGAAGCGCCCTCTTCCTTCACTGGAAAGTTACGATCACATCTTTCGGTGTTTCAGCAAGACCGCCTTTACTCATATCTACTCGTCAGTGACTTTCAGAAAATGTCTTTCTACAGGTGTGGAAATGCTGCACGGTGCAGAAACGTTGGCGGGTGCCTTGGGCGGCGCCACTGCGTTCACCTTAAGTAACGCTTAAATCTATTGCTGACGGGGCCATCTCTCTTTGTAGGGGTACCGCTTCGCATCCTTGGCACGACCTGCACCCCGGTAACGATGCTCCTAACTTCGTCAATGCCGTGATTGAGATTCCGCGAGGCTCGAAGGTCAAGTATGAGCTGGACAAGGACACCGGTCTCTGCTTTGTGGACCGTATCCTGTACTCGTCGGTTGTGTACCCCCACAACTATGGCTTCGTGCCCAAGACGCTGTGCGAGGACGGCGATCCCCTAGATGTGCTGGTGCTCATGCAGGAGCCCGTCGTGCCGATGTGCTTCCTGCGGGTGAGGTTGGCTGGCACGCAACTAAGACGTCCTAGGTTATACGGGCACTCCATGTGGGACATTTGCTTACAGCAACGGGAGAGGGATTTTCCACCTACACAGGGTAACGTCTGAAACTTGGTCCTCTGCACGTGCAGGCAAAGCCTATTGGCGTCATGCAGATGCTTGACCAGGGTGAGCGCGACGACAAGCTCATTGCCGTGCACGCCGACGACCCCGAGTTCAAGGGCTTCACGGACATTAGCCAGCTGCCTCCCCACCGCCTGGCCGAGATTAAGCGGTAAGGGGTTGTTGGACTGTACCCCCCGTCGGATTGGCTTATGGCACCCCCCGGCCTCCGTTCCCTGCAAAGCTCCTGAGCGCAAGAATTTGCAGCAGTAGCGCCGAGTGCATGCAGTCGTGTGCAAGCGTACAGTTGTTTGTTGGTTTCGGCCAAGTCGACCCACATCAGACGTGAGGCAAAACGCACATGTAGTGAGGTATGCCGGTTCTCCTTTCTATGCCCTTGCTCTGCAGGTTCTTCGAGGACTACAAGAAGAACGAGCACAAGGAGGTCATCGTCGACGACTTCCTTGGCGCTGAGGAGGCCAAGAAGGTTGTCAAGGACTCGCTGGTACGTGTCGCACTAGTAAATAACTGTATCGTCCATGTTGCTTATCGTTCAGGCATGGGTTGTTCGCTGATGCGTGTTCGTGCAAGGCCTTCCATACCTACGTTGTTTCTGGGTTTAGACAGTCCTTTAATCAAACCCGTCAACCCCGTGCAAACATTCTTGTGCGGTTTGCCTTGCAGAACATGTACCAGGACCACTACGTGCCCCGTAAGCTCCGGAACGTGTACGAGTAAGCGCGGATGACCTACACCGTCGTACTTTTACATCGTGTATGCGACCTGGCGCATTGTATATTTCGTTTGGGATTGCTGCTGGCTTAACGGAACCTTGGTGACCGGTGGTGATTAGGAGCTGTGCAGCGGGCCCTCTATATATAAGGGTATTGGCGGGCGTTGGGCACCTGCAGAGGTCAATGCGTGAATGATTTATGCGATTGCTTGACGGCGGGTTTAGCCCTTCAGAACGAGCGGATTTGAAGCCCTGACGGCCGTGCTGCGGTTGATTAAGAGCCGGTGATGGGCCTGTTGTAGGCACGCAAAGCTCAATGGCGAATTGGGTTTTTAGGGAGCGCTGACGGTGAAAGTGCCGTGCTGACGTTGTGCGCGTTTTACTCCCCCATGACCCGCCTCCCTTGGAAGGTGTCTGATATTCAGTGTAAGCGTGGGCGTAAACTTTGTTGCATCCGGCGGTACATCACAGCCCAAGCCAGCATGCAAGCAACACATCACGTCGCAGCTAGGGTTTTAGCCGCGTAATACGTCCTATGGCATAAGTAGGGCCATTCTTCACTTCGAAACAATAGAAGACTAACCGAACCGCTCCGGTCCAGCAGAACAAGTTGAGCCTACTGTTTTTGTGCCGGTCTGTGCGTATCCCATTGTCCCTACGGATATCCAATGGGTGCTTATGGAACCATCGGCGCCTTGCACGGCGATACTAGGAAGGTCATGGGCGCTTAATGGCGACGCATGGCTTGAGAATTCCAGCTGGTCGCGACTATGGAACCTGGAGGGGTACCATGCACATGCTTGCTGTTCAGGACGATCATGCCGCTTTTTTGAAGCTCTATTTCCCGATTATGTAGTTAAGTGTGGAGCTCGTGCAAGTCCATTTCTAGCCATCCGTACGCAACTCGTACAGTCGCATACTTTGCCAACTTACGCATACGCTTCGACTGGAGTAATAAGGTGATGATTTTATAGGCGCACAAGGAACGGTGCGTGATAAGCAAGGCTTCCACCATAGTCGTGCACGATTCCCTCACCTTTTCCTTGGGCGTCACATGCCCTTTGTGGAATGTTTGCCCAACGACAGAGCAGAGACTCATAAGAATCATAACTAGCTTTCGTGATTAGTTTAAACCAGACGGGAGGCCACCTGCGAGTTATCCCGCTGGAGGCCGGTGCAAATGGAGGACCGCAACTGGGCAGTGAGTATCAAATATTCTACATGACTATGCGGTGCATCTAGGAAAGGAGGGAGGAGCCTTGATGCTGGCAAAGTGCCTGCGGGTGTGACAAAGGGCTCATCGGTACGCCATTTCTTACAGCCTTGCGACGGCTTTTATGCCGTTTCCTGAGATCAAGGACTGAACTGACGCCTCGCATGATCAGTTTATGGAAACCTTGCTTACGCAAGACGGCATGTTGCCAACATGTGGTTCGAAGGCTCGCAAGGGCTCGCGTGACACAATTCCTTTATGTGTAACCGTTTAATGACTTTTGTAGTGTATATGAACTTCTTATCTCTATGAGTCCTGCTTACTTTGGTCCTACCTGTCCCTGTGCGCCCTACCTGTCCCACGCAGTCGGCCAGCTTGCCTCCAAACAACCGCGTTGCATCACCACGTATTACCAACGGCAATGGGTTTCAACCGGTCGTCACGGAGGCATGGGGCGAGGCGGCGTCGTCTCATTTCCTTCCCGACATCCGTGAGAATCCTTCCCGGCAAGGTCAGCGCGCAGCAAACCTATATCCGCTTCCTCCAGAGGTCCCTTCTGCTGAAGCAATCCGTGGAGAGGCTCGCATCCGGGGCCTGAAGAATGAACTGGTTACAACAAAGAACCGCCTGGAGCAAGAGTTGCAGGTTGGCGAAACCCTCCGCTGCAATGCGAGGGGCGGGGCCTGAGGGTGCTTGGTGTTGAATGGGATCATGCGTCATGGATTGCTCAGGACCTGAAGCAAGTTCGGGGTGGGCAGGGTGTCACCTCGTTTGGTGCTGATGTAGAACCCCATTACGCATCAGTTGCACACCGCCATAATGATCTGTCCAGCGCAATTGTACACCTGCTACCAGTTCGTGTCCTGCGAGCATTCTGCGCCTCCAATCCTGCTCTTTGCAAACCCCCTTCCCCCTAACCCCTATACGCACAGAACAAGGACGCGGAGAACCAGAAGCTCCGAGAGTATATTGAGCAGCAGCGCGAGCTAATTGGATCACAGAAGGTGACCATTCGTGAGCTGGAGCGCAACGTAGCGGAGCTCACCCGCACAGCGGCCACGCAGGTGGGATACCGCAGCTGAGTGCCTTGACCAGCCACGCTTAGGGCTGTTGGCGTCCGTTGGCGTCCTTAAGGAGTCCCACGAAATGGGCGCACAAGTTAATGCGGTCATTTTATTGGGCTCTCAAGCTGATCATCTTCTAAGCTAACAGGATTCTCGGACGCACCTCACCTATATCAGTGAACATGTCGTGACAACATCAATGCAACCCTGACCCACCTTGCAGCGCGCCAACTACGAGAGGTACTCGGTCAAGGCGGAGGCCAAGGTCCGCTCCTTGCAGGTACGGGATGCTGCAATTCGCGTCTTACCTAGAGCCCCTGCTCTGCGGGCCTCACCCAACCGCCAGACGTATGCCGTCGGTTGCAATCCTTACAAGCACCAAATTACAAGTTGGCGTTAACTAGTAGCACTCCTCGTCGCACGGCTAGCCCTATAGGATTGTCACATCTTTCCCCATTCTTCATGCAGGGCCGCTTGCGCGAGATTGAGCAGGAGCATGCGGCGGCGATGGGCGGCATGGCGGCGCAGCTCGAGCGTGCACGCAAAGAGCGCACAGCGTTGTCGCTTGGACTGGCGGCGGTGGCCATGCAGGCGGTAAGTACGAGGTGATGGGATGGAGAGGTCGGGCAGAGGGGTAATTAGGGCAGGGAATTGGGCACGGGACTTGCCAACCGCTAAGCAACAGTTCAATAGCTGTAAACCACATTGGTCGTCGCTGCCCGCTTGCATTTGGCTTTATGCAATGCGGCGAATGCTAGCGAAGTTGAGAAAGACGCCGAGCATGTACTTACTGCTTGACCCACATGGGTGCTCCACTTTGAGCTTCGTATCCAGGCATTACCGTTCCGTACAATACCAAGTTGTAATGCTGTGCTATCGTAACCCAACACTCCTGCTTCGAGCCAGCTGTTCTTGGCTAACCGTTGCATCGGTCCCCTGTGCTGACATGGTTTCCTTCCATGCTCTTGTCGGATTGTACAGAGTGGTGGCGAGAACGCCCTTCCTGAGGACCTACATATGGATGCGGAGAGGGCGGCAGCCGAGGGTTTCGAGATGCTGCCGCGCACCGCCGCCGCCTGGCTGTCCATGCGCTACGAGGTAGGCGATCTCGCGTGCGCTTTCAACGCTCTGCCTTCCTGGTTGCTTCCGGGCCTGCGTTGCATGCTTGCGTCGCGCGATCGCCTTCCTGTATTACTACCTGCATAGCAGCTTCATGTAGCCAGGCGTTTCTTCCTCTACGGTCTCCAGCAAGAGCCTTTTCACCCCGTGCTCCTGCAGCTTGATGAGGACGGCAACCTCGCCAGCTTCAGCCGCGCTCCGGGTAGCCCCACCCGGCCCTTCGACCGTGACGGAGCGCGCGCTGTTGCGGCGCTGGTGGCGCAAGCGCGGCGCCTGTACGAGCAGCGCGCCACGTACCGCGCCAAGCTGCGCACAACCGGCCAGCAGATTGAGCACATGCAGGTGGGCCTGGGTTCTTGGAGGCGCGTGGTTGCAGCGGTGTCAGGGCGGGAAATAAGAACATGCCTCTGGGACCTTGTGACGTTGTGAGTCGTCCATTAACCCTTCATGCGGTTTGGTGTATCACTTCAAGACCTTGGGACCACCCTTCAGTTTTCAGAACCAATAGGATGGTCGCAAGTCGAGCTTGCCCACCTCTGTTGACTACGGAATCCACTCGCCATTGCTGCCCTGCAGGCCGTGCTCGACAACGTGGAAGCCGACTTCAACCTCGTCAACTCCATGATTGACCAGATGAACGCCGAGGCGATTCGTCTGACTATCGAGACCGGTCTGCCGCCGCTGCTGCCGCCGGATGCTCCGCCGCCGGACGCCGCTGCACGGCTCAGCGAGCGCGTGGAAGGCGTGCGGGCGCTGCTGCAACGGGTGATTGAGGAGCTGCTTGTGAATGAGGCGGAGAAGAGGTGGGTGAGGGGAACCGCGCTTGGTCACTTCATCAGGCCGTGGTTCTGAACGGCCCAAGGCTCCGTGCAGAGCCCCTCCTCCTCCCGATTATCTATCCAACCGCAAAGTTGGGAGATACTAGCAGCCTTGCTTGCAAGCTTGCGTTAATTTCCTGTTTTGTTTTATGCTGCTTCCTCCCGAGCAGGGCTCTGGCCGACCAGCTGCTCAGTAGCGACTGCCAGGAGATGCCAACCGTGGACCGACAGGTACGCCGCTTCCGACGTTCGCGTAGCAAGGAAATCTTCTATAGGATAAGTAATAGCAACGCAACGTAGGAAGGCGCAGTGCCAGCGATGACGATGCGTCTTTTTCCACTCTTCAAACCACGTGTCTTGCTCATTTCTCCCCTCACGTCTACCACGAGTCCTAGCTGGAGGGGAGTGGACCTGCGTAGTGCGCTCGCAATGACCTCATCTGTCGTTCTGCTCCTTCTTCACACTCTTACTCCGCAGGCCATCATTGAGGCGTACATGGACAAGCTCAGGCAGCTGTACGGCACGTCACGCCGCGTCGGTGGCAACCTTGTCAACGGCGCAAACGTCAACCGCTCGCCACAGCACGCTCGCCGCGCACGTAAGGCCCCTAAGCTTCGCTTGTTAGGTAGCCGTTCACCAGTCGCGTGCTCAATTGCTGCTTATACCTGTTACTTACGTTTCCTATCTACCTTGCAGCCGTCGCGCCGTCGCCTCAACCGCCCAAGGAGCGCATGCCGATGCCCATGGCGCCGCCCATGGACCGCCGATCAGGATATCCGCAGTCGCCAAAGGCCAAGGTAAGGAACTTGTTGTGGCGTATGCTCAACTGTCCGACCGTAGTGCTTGAGCTACCAGCATAGTAGTGGAAACCATGTTCAGAAACCACGATGGCTTCTACAACTGGCCATTTGAGCAGCGCTGCTGTGTTGCTCGTCTCCTTGGCACCGTCTGTGCACCCTTGTTGACGAACCTCGGCTCACCCAACCCTGCGTGCAGGCCGCAACTCGCACGCACCACCAGCCGCACCCGCCCTCGTCGGATTCCAGAAACGAGGAGGAGCGCCGCGCTGCCGATAAGGCTGCCCGTGCCAACGCGCTGTCGGAACAAGTAAGTGCCTTGTACGCTTGCTTGCTTGGGGCTTCTTGTCTTTACACTTTTCAGTAGCCCGTTCCCGTTGCTTTCATGTGTACGCTGTTGCGTTTGCTGATGTTGCACTGCGGCCACTTCAATAACCCTTTGACCACAGTTCTCTGATGTGCTGCATGGAAAGGCTGGCCCTCGGCCCCACCGCGCCAAGCCACCTTCAGAGGCTGGGTCGCGTCCGGCGACTGACAAGGTGCGCTGAGATGACAGCTTTTTCAAGCGGGGGGCAGTGCCGTATAGCGCTGGCGGTTAGTAGCCACGTGCCTTTAGACCTGATATTGGCAAGAAGCAGTTCCGCTGGCTTTGACTCAGTACTAAGCACTGTCTCATTCATATCCTTTACGCAGGATTCGAGCAGGAGCGCACGCGAGCGGCCGTCTTCAAAGGAAGCTTCTCTGGATCAGATGCCTCAGGCCCAAGCTGCTGCTGCTCCTGAGCCCGACTTCACCCTCAGGCCGACCCCAGCACCGGAGCAGGAGCCGAAGCTCATGTCCAAGTTTGTACCGGAACCAGAACCAGAGCGGGAGCCCGAACCGGAGCCGCAGCCCGAACCGGAGCCTGAGCGGGAGGCCGAGCCCGAGCCTGAGCGGGAGCCTGAGCCGGAGCGAGAGCAGGAGCCTGATCATGATGCGCACCAGCATCATGCCGCAAAGGTATACCCTGCCACTGATGAGCGATCGTTGTATGCATGCTACGTTACATTGTGTGTGATTGCTATGTTGTCGAATTGTCAGGTACCTGTGCCCCTTGCTTGTTGTCATACCGTCAACTTCCTTTTGGATAGCAATAACCTTACTACGATCCCAACACTACAGGAGGCTGCGTACGACGAGCCTGCGGCTGAGGCGGAGGCCGCCGCAGAGACCGACGCGCACGCCGAGCAAGCAACTGCCGATGAAGAAGCCGCTGATGGACAGGACGCCGAGGAACACGAGGGTGGTCAGGACGCCGAGCCGGAACAGGAGGGTGACGCGGCCGGTGGAGATGAGGAGGAAGCGGCCAACGCTTTGGCTTCAAGTGCAGGCGAGGAGGAGGGCAAGGAGGACGGCGATGCCGGCGACGCTGGTGACGCCGACGAGGCTGACGAGAAGGCATCTAAGGATGAGGGGGCGCCGGCTGCCGAGGCTGATCCAACGTACGAGGACGACGCTGCATACGAGGAGGACGCCGGCTTCGAGGAGGATGCTCAGGAAGAGGACAAGGCGCCGGCAGCTGAGGCTTCTGGTGGTGCCGAGCCTCCGGCTGCTGACGATGAGTCCGCGGCGAAGGCGTCTGCTGCGGCTTCAGATGACGAGGGCGCACGGGAGGATGAGGCAGCGGAGAAGGAGGATGCGCCGCAGTCTGACGATGAGGGTGCACGCGAGGACGAGCCGGCAGCGAAGGCGTCTGCACCTGCGTCGGATGACGAGGGCGCTCGCGAGGAGGAGCCGGCGGCCAAGGAGGATGCGGAGCCGGCAGCAGACGAGGAACCGGCATACGGTGATGAGCCTCTGGGTGATGAGGAGGAGCCGCATGCTCCTAAGTCTGCCCCTGCTGCCGAGGGGGAGCCGGCCTACGAGGAGGAAGGAGAATCGGCGGCAGAGGAGTCAGCTGCTCCGACGGTAGATGAGAAAACCGTACACGAAGAGGAACCGGCAAGCGTGGGCCAGCCAGCAGCTGCAGCGGAGGCGGACGACGAGCCTTTCTATGAGGAAGGCGCTGCTCCCGAGGTGGAGGGGTTGTTCCCAGCAGATGATGAGGACGCCCCCGCTGCCGAGAGGGAGACTGCGTCGACGGTTCCGGAGCCAGCGCCTGCTGCTGAAGAGGAGGCGGCTCAGCCAGCAGACGATGAGCCTGCTTACGACGACGCACCAGCGGAGGCGGCACCGGCAGCAAAGGAAGATGCGGCCGCTGATGAGGATGAGCCAGCGGCAGAAGAGGCTGTGTCGGCGAAGGATGACGAGCCAGCGGACGGCGAGGAGGCGCCGGCAGCGGAGGCGTCTGCCCCGGCTGCTGAGGAAGAGCCAGTGGAAGAGGCTGCTGCTGAGGAGGAACCCGCGTCTGCAGACGAGCCAGCGGAAGCGCCGGCTGCCGAGGAGGCTTCACCCGCGGCAGATGAGGAGCCGGCAGCCGAGGAGGCGCCGGAGGCAGCTGAAGAGGCGCCAGAGGCAGCTGAGGAGGCACCATTGGCGGAAGAGAAGGCCGATTCGCCGGCAGATGAGGAGCCGGTCGATGACAAAGCTCCCGAGGCAACACCCGAGGCGGCACCGGCGGCTGATGAGGATCGTACGTATGATGAGCCTGCAGCCGATGACGCCGATAAGTCATCAGCGGCTCCCGAGGAAGCAGCGCCGGAGGAGGGGGCTGAGCCTGACTCCGAGCCTAAGCCGACGGAACAGGAGGAGGCCGTGGCGGTCGAGGCAGATGCTGAGGAGCAGCTGCGGTCCGAGCTGGAGGCTGCGGAGACGGCGGAGATGGAGGAGCAGATGGCGAAGGAAATGGAGGCGGATGCCAAGGAGTACGGGGCTGCAGCTGAGGCCGATGAGGTGAGGCGGGGATGTCCCTCAGGTGCTAAGCGGGCGAGGGGACGGCTACCGCATGCGCTAGCTAAGCGTTGCTTATTACTGACTGCCGTCATGTATGATTAATCCTTTGCGTTTCTGCTTGCCGGGCCTTGCTTGCCTTCATGGCTGTCGGTAAATCGCCGTGCTTTGGTGCCGCCTACAGGCGGATGCTGCGAAGCCCGAAGTTCCTGAGCCGGAGCCAGAAGCCGAGCGCAGTGCAGGTGCAGAGCCCGAGGCGCCAGCTGAGCCGGAGCCAGCAGCGGAGACCGAGCCGACAGCTGAGCCAGCAGCTGCAGAGGCAGAGGCTGAGCCGGAGGCCGAGACCAAACCAACGGCTGAGCCCGAGGCAGAAGAGCCGTCCGCTGCACCCGAGCCCGAAGCAGCGGAGCCACCTGCTGAAGCTGAACCGGCTGCTGAGCCCGAAGCAGGGGAGCCGGAGGCTGAGCCCGAAACTGCTCCTGAGCTACAAGCACCGGAGGCAAAGGCGGAGGCTGAGCCCGAGGCAGAAGAGCCGTCCGCTGCACCCGAGCCCGCAGCGGAGCCCGAAGCAGCGGAGCCACCTGCTGATGCTGAACCAGCTGCTGAGCCCGAAGCAGGGGAGCCGGAGGCTACACCTGAAACTGCGCCCGAGCTCGAGGCACCCGAGGCGGCGACTGAGCCCGAGCCGGAAGCTGAGTCGACACCGGCGGCTGAGCCTGAAGCAGAGGAGCCGTCCGCTGCACCCGAGCCCGCAGCTGAGCCCAAGCCAGCTGATGAGACCAAACCAGCTGCCGAGCATGAAGCAGCGGAGCCGGAGCCGGCGGCAGAGCCTGAGGCTGCGGCAGCACCTGAGCCGGAGCCAGAGGCAGCTGAGTCTTCGCATGCAGCAGCCGAGCCGGAGCCAGAGGCTGCGGCAGAGACGGCTCCTGAAGCCGAGTCCGAGCCTGCGGCCCCAACTGAGGCTGAGGCCGAGCCTCACGCCGAGGCCAACGCGGAGACTGCGGCAGCACAAGACGCCGAGCCTGAGGCCGAGCCGGCGGCTCAGCCTAAGACGGCGCCAGATGCTGAGGCAGACGCAGGGTCGCAGGAGCCTGAGCCAGCGGCCGAGCAGGAACCCGAACAAGAGGCTGAGGCGCATGCGGGTTCTGCGGCTGAGCTGGAGCGGGAAGCCTCGCAGGCGCCTGTGGATGCTGAGGTGGAGGCGGCACCAGCAGCGGAGCCCGAGGATGGTACCGCATCGGACCATGCTGCAGGGGCCGGTGCGGATACCGAGCCGGATGCCCATGCCGCGCCTGAGGTGGAGAAACAGCAGGAGCCGGAAGCAGCGGAGCCTGCGCCAAAGGAGGAGCCCGAGGTGGATGCCGCTGCTGTTGTGGACCCCAGCGCTGCGCAGGAGGAGGCAGCTGCACACCACAGCAAGAAGGACGCCGAGGAGCCAGAGGAGAAGGCGCATGCGCTGGATGAGCAGGAGGGTGCTCCAGCGGAGGACACGCCTGCCACTGAGGAGAAGGCGCCCGAAGCTGATGAGCCGGAACCGAAAGCTGAGTCGCAGCCGGAGGCGGAGCCAGAGCCAGAGTCCCAGCCAGAGCCGAAAGCCGTGCCGCAGCAGGAGCCCGAGGAGGAGGAGGAGCCAAAGTCGCCGGTTCGCGTCCACTTGCGTCCGGACAGCGCCCAGCAGAACAGCGTACACATGCGCATCAGCATGGATCCTGAGCAGCCGGTAGAGGGCGCTTCCGTGGGCGCTGAGTCTGCGGAGGCCGAGACCGCGAAGCCGCTGGACCAGGCTGCAGAGGCCTCAGCGGCAGCTGACGCTGAGACGCATGCTGCGGCTGAGCCAGAGCCGGAGCCAGAGCCGAAGGCTCCGGCTAAGGAAGAAGCCCCGACTAAGGAGGAGGCCCCGGCGGCTGAGGAGGAGGAGGAGGAGCCAAAGTCGCCGGTTCGCGTCCACTTGCGTCCAGACAGCGCCCAGCAAGACAGTGTGCATATGCGCATCAGCATGGACCCCGAGCAGCCGTTGGAGGGCTCTGCCGCGGGTGCTGAGACTGCGGAGGCCACGAAGCCGCTGGACCCGGTTGCTGAGGCCTCTGCGGCAGCTGAGACGCATGTTGCGGCTGAGCCGAAGCCGGAGCCCAAGGCCCAGGCTAAAGAGGGGGCCACGGCGGCCGAGGAGGAGAGGTCGCCGGTGCGTGTGCACGTGCGGCCGGACAGCGCCCAGGAGGATAGCGTGCGCATGCGCATCAGCACGGATGCGGTTGGCATCGTAACGGCCGCTCCTGCTGCTGCTCCTGCGGCCGCTGTGGACGATGACGCGGAAGCGGCGTTGCGGGAGGAGCTGCAAGCAATGGAAGCTGCGGAGATGAAGGCGCAGATGGCCGCGGAGATGGCGAAGGACGCGGCTGGAGACGACTGAGCGGCCAAGAGTGGAGGTGTACATGTAGGATGGTGGAGGTTCTTAGCGATGTAAGACGCAGGTGCATCGTGTGAGTGTACGGTAGGCGGTCGCGCGCAGGATTCTTCCGCAGGGGCTGTTCTTTCAGGGCACCCGAAGGAACAATCCGATTGGCATGTTGCATGCAGCCGAGGCATTACTGTGTGAGGAGGAGCATGTGGCATCAGCCGCGACACGTCGGGTGATGTGAACGCGGCATGGTTCGCGAGCTCAAAAGTGATTTTGCAGGGTGTGGATTTTTACGCTGGATGGCGGTGTGTGTTTAGATTCAAGGTTCGGGTACGACCAACGCGCATTCAGTACGCGGATATGCTAGAGCCCTGCGCCGGCTAAGGTGTGACGTGCCTTGCTTTGTTTGGGGCCTCCTTTTGATAGATTTGCAGGGGAGCTCTTGTGTTTACGAGGCTGACTTGCCGCTGTGCTACTTGCTGGAATAAGAGACCCGGCGGATGGTCCTCAGACAATGTACGGCTGCTCTAAGCCATGTTCTATATGCAGGGTTATGGGGGGCTGAACTTAATCGCGGGATTGCACAGTCTGCCTAGCAGGCGTTGCCGCGGAGATGGATTCTACTGCGCGTGTGTGGTGCGTGAAGCGTGATGCATCTTGACTAGTAGCGTGCCGTGACGACGTAGACGTTATCTACTTGACTAAGCTACAAAAGCGGGTACTTGATTGTGTGACTGTGTGACTTGCGGCAAGCTTATCTTGAATACTTGTGCCTTAGCAAGCCCGTTTACCTTTTGCGGACTCCTAGGAGTGCTGGGAGTACGATAGTCGTGCGGTCCTGCCTGAGAGTCGCAGTCCTGCCGAAATGCCGGGTGCACATGTTGGAATTCGTATGAAACCATGGCGGCTTGCGCTCTGCAGGAGGCTAGAGTACGACATGCATGCATGTGATGCACCGACATCGTTCGACCATCCGTTCGCCCTCTCGACATGCTGTGAGTTTAACCCTCGTGACGTCCTATGTATATTTGGATTGCGTGGCCGTTTCGTACAACGGACACCAATATGTGTACGTTACCTGACCCGCGTTAGCAAGGTTTGCACCTAGATTGTGGTGGACGGGTAGTATATTGTAAATGCCGTCCCTGCAAGCTCGACATGGTGCGTGCTCAAGTCGGGGCTGCATTGGGAAACGGGGGACAGGCGTAAGGTTTTCGGCAGCATTACTGCAGTTAGCAGGTAACCGCAGCCCAACCGGCAGCATCACCGGCGGCCGCTATTAGCCAATGCTCGGTGTGGGTGCACGCTGTATGCACGGAAAGCCCTGGGAACAGAGAGTTTCCTTTCTGCGTACAGCTGGAGCGCAAGACTGCCCATATGCCTCCTGTCGTGCAAGCTGCGGTGCAACACCCAAACGCCGCTGAAGCCCAGAACGCTTTAAGATTCACGCTCCGGCCGGTATACGCTAAGTAACTACGCTAACTATAAGTGTAGAGCTTTGCTATGCTGAGATACTTTCATTCGCCTCGCTCGTTTGCAAGCTATCGGCGACTTTGCCACTTGTGAAGGCTGAACCATAACCCTTGCGCATATACACAACATCAGCTATTTGAGAGATTTTACTTCCAGACACTTGAGTTGACGCGGACCGGGATGCTTGCGCGAGGCAACCTTCTGGGAAAGCCGGACGGGACTACAAGGAGGCATGAAGCAACAGCTGGATATCGGCAAAGTACTCGTAGGGCCTCGCGCACGTTGTGCGCAACACGCAACGGTGGTGCCGAGGCGCATGCCCAGCACATTGGAAGCTCCGACAGGCTCGACATCGATTTGCAGATGACGCATTCTAAAACTCACAATATTTCGACACGATTGCCGACACCGCGAGGAAACACCCTGCTCGTCTCGCATGAGGTCCGTTTCCTTGCTCTAATTTTATCTCCATTAACAATATCCTTTAACCGCAACCATTTGTAGCTAATAAAAAAGATGAAGAGTATAGTGTGCTGGGACTGTTTCAAATACTGGCTTGGCCTTAGCTTTCAGCATGGAGTTGCAACACCCACCGAACGCTTGATGGTTACAAGGCTGTTGTGCAGCACGCTACCCCACAACAGCTTTATCCGTTGACCCTGAATATGATTAGCGCAGGTTCGCGCTCGAACCCTACTCTTTGGGCAATTTTGTCCCTCCCTCGGGAACATTTACCTTTCCAGCTAGCCACGCACCAAATACAGCTTGTCCCCGTCTGCACCTGCTGCTGCAGGTCCTCCTGACAAGTGACACCAGCGATTATGAGGAGAACCGCTCCTCACCCCGCTTCCTAGGCCACCCCGGCGACCTTGCACAAAGTCAAGGCGCCTTATCAGGAGACGCCGCACAGCAGCAGCAAGGGCTCCACCGAGGTAAATGCCCGGAACAGCAGCAGCAGCAGCAGCAGCAACAACGACAAAACGGAAATACACCCGCCTCCTTCCGGCCTCCAAAGCCGCCCAGCGGACCAGCCGCCGCCTTGACAAGCTCAGTGGTGGCATCCGTACGGCGCCGTACAAAGCTAGGCGGCCCCGTACCGCCGGTTCATAAAACTGCATCACAGCCGCGGCAATTATGTTGCATACCGGCGGCTGCGGCTGCGGCTGCATCAGCTGGGCACAACGCAGGGGGCTTGGACGGCATCATTGATGACGCTACAGGAGTGGTACAAGAGCAAGCAGCAACTACTGAGAGGCTACTTGAAGGGCTGCTTCCCCGCCGCTTGTTGGGCAACAGGGCTCCATCCTCTCGTATGGCCTTCGCTGTCGTACTTTCTGTCGCCTTGGTGGCAGCGGCATTGGCCGCGGCGGCAGCTGTCATTACCGGTACGGCGCCATCCTCACTAGCGGGCCCCGGCATCGGCACGACCGGCGGGGGCCCCATCAGCCGTAGGTCGTGGTACGGATTGCCGTACAAGATGCCGTACATGCACGCCGCTAGTTGGGTAGCTGCAGCCATGCGGCCGCTGCGGCGCGGAGGTTCCGGCCTCAGGGGGGCCGCCGCGAGCCCTATAGGCAGCAGCGGCAGTACCGGTACCAACACCAACACCATCAGCAGCAGTGCAGCTGCTTCCAGCAGGGGCCATGTCATAATGGGCGGGAGCGGGCTTCACAAGGCAAGTGGCATGCGGCCTCTTGCTGCTGTGGCCGGGGATGGTGGTGGCGGTGGCGGTGGCGGTGCTGCTGACCCAAGTACGGGAGCTGCTGCCGCTGCTTCTGCTGCTTTTGCTGCTGGAGGAGAGGAGCTTCAGCAGAGTTCCATCCGTCCTCCTTCAGATCGTGATTATGAGTGGCGTGACTCTGCAAGAGTTCGTGTCATCACAATCGCGTCGGGTAGGGCTGTCAGGCGAAAGCAACAAAGTACAGCACAGAGATGAATGGATAGGGCATGGATCCCGCGCACCAAATGAGTGAGATCCGTGCGGCTTCGCTCCTGAAAACAAGCTTCCTACGTTCTTAGTTCCCCAGCTTCCAACCGGTTTGCCGCTTCTTGAATCTGTTATCGCACCCCTTGTTTCGTTTTTTTGGCTGGGGGCTCCTGCCCTCGTCTCCGCCCCGCTTCCCTCTCCAGGCGGCCCCAGCCCCTACCGCACCGACTGGGGCAGCTTGGCGGACCACACGGCCCAGAGACTGGAGCGGACGGACCCTGCCTTTCAGATGCTGGTATTTCCCTCAGAGCAGCTGGGCAACGACCTAGGTAAGCCAAAAACGCATACGCGTAGAACCCGCATTCTTCCATGCCGTTATCGAGCTCTCGGTCCGCCGGGAGCGTTACCGGCATTGTGCCAGTGGTGAAGTCAAGGTTGCTTCTTGCTTACTTCTGTTCAATCGCCATCCCCCCCCCCTCCGCCGCTGGGGACGCATGACAGTGTGCTTTCAGGATTTCCATGCTGCTAACTCATGCAGTCATGCAGTCATGTTTCATGCTGCAGTTGCAGTGTAGCCGTTGGCCGTTGCGTGTTCATTTGGTACTGACCTTCTTAAGAACTTAAATTACCTTGGCAAGTTGCCTGCCTTCTGCTCCGCAGGCCTGCAGCAGGCGTTCCTGCGCGCCCTTGGGGCCGGTGCGCAGATGCTGGTTGGGCTGGACGTGATTGAGCAGGCTGCGGGCCGCTTATTGAGGGTGAGTGTCGTGCAGGAGTGAACATCGTCTTTACGTAGCTGTGCCCTCATTCCGAGGGAGCACTAGCGATCCAGAAATACGATCCGAAGAGAAAAACGAGGTTGGAGGAGACCTTGGGGCCTGCTAGCAGTATGTGCGTCAAGCTGCAGTCGGCTGTTGGCTGTCACTAGTCCGCATGGCAGCGCTTTGTTCTTGCAGCTTGTCCTTTCCTAAGCCCACCCTACTTCCATTACGGGTCCCTTAAAATTACCCCACAGGACCCACGGGTCACTTCCGTGATGCCCAGCCTGGCCCTCTTCGTGGGTGGCTCCGAGCCCCTTGCGCACGAGCTTACGCGGTTGCAGGTGCGGATGCGGCAAATGGCCGTTGCATGTCTAGTGCTGTTGTTGCTAGTAGCCCATTGGCCGCTCCTCCGGCAACTGGCCTGACCCACCCCAAGTCCTCGATAAGCGTAAGCCCTGTTCTATTCGCAGCTCACCAACCATTTTAACGTTTCTTTTGCGGTGCCCCGTGTTGCATGCCAACGGAAATCTCCAGCGCGGGCTGCGGCCCCAGGATACCGGGTCATGGCGTACCCTGCTAGCCCGGTGAGTCACAAGTTGGGCCGTACGCTGGCAACGCAAGGAGACCGTACCAGCATTTGCATGTAGGCCGTACTCAGCTACCCGCACGCACTGGTATGGACGACCTTCAACATTCTGCATTCCCACTGCAGTTACAGTAAGGGGCTACCTGTGCTCATGCCTGTGTGTGTGGTTCTTTCCCCCTCCCCCCCTTCGTGGCTTCATATGGTTTGCCTAATTTGATCCGCAACCCACCCGCCGTCCCTCAGGAAGCTCCCCTGGACCCCGGACGGTCGCGAGCTCGAGCTGTGGGACAGGCTGCAGCTGCTGCTGGGCCGTCACGACTCGGATAACTTTTTGTTCGTGTACTTGGTGCTGATCAATCAGTACATCGCACCTGTACGGCAGGTGGGTTGCGGTTGTATTTTGCTTGGCGTACACCGGTTTATTGCCGTAGAGTACGGCAAAGGAACCGATAGTATTTCCTAGTGTGTTGTGCCAGGAATGCCAGGTAGCCGGTGCAAGGTAGCCGGTGCAAGGTAGCCGGTGCAAGGTAGTCGGATCATGTGCTGAGGAAAACGCGGCCGCAAGTCGCAACGTATGGTGATGTGTATATGTGTTACGTGCGCCTTTGTCAAAGGCTCCACCTGCTCCCGATTATGGCACCCGCTTCCCTCCTACAAACACAGGTGGCGGACACCACAAAGGGCTTTGACCTGCAGTCACTGGTCTGCATGATCCGACACTGCGGTTCAAAGTGAGCTGAGTCGCGGGACGGGAGCTGAGCGCGTGGGCCTCGCATGAGGCCTCGGGACTGCAGATCCCGCCCCTCCTAAATTATCCTGCACTATAATTTGCATCATTTGGCCTTTCCGGCACAGTTCCGTGTTGGGTTGCCTTCTCCATGCCACCTCCATTCCTACCTCAACAAATGACAGCATCCTCCTGTCCTCTGTCTCAATGACCCACGGATCGCTCTCTTACGGTGGTACTCACTCAGAGGCTTGCTTGTGTGCTTCTTCGCCCTTCCGGGCCTGTGCTGCTGTCTGCATGTCCGCCAGGGTTGTGGGTTGCTTGCAGGACGCCACCTGCAAGTCCGCTCTAGACTGCCTCAACGGGTGCACCTTTAACGACCAGGTGAGCTGCTACTTACTGTACGGCACCTGGACGGTTTCGTTTTCCATGATTTAATGGCCACCCATTAGCTCCCTTTGCCCATGCTTTACCTGAGCTTGTCTTTTGCATGCTAACATGGGTGTCATGTGCCTGGTTGCTTATCTCCTGAGCGCGAGCGAATCCAAACCACTACGTGCTCCCCAACCCTTTCCCTTCGTGATTGTTCCAAACCTAACCGGTAACCGCCGACCCGTCTGACAAGCTACCGGTACTAACCCAATCCAACCACCAAGGTGTGCCAGTACCGATGCATCGTGAGCTACGAGAGCCCCCTCCTGGAGCAGTTCAGCCTCTGCATCCTGCAGCTCCACAACTGCCGCAATCTGGATGCAAAGCCGCCGCTGCTGCCGGGTAAGCACCGGTGCCGTACAGCAGTAGGGCAGTTCTACAAGCTGCGGCGCAAGCAGAAGACAAGGGGGCAGCAACGGTGAGTACCTATGTACCCATGCACCCATGCATCACCCTACCTGCCCGCAGACCCAGCGCCCATGAGCTCCTTCCGCGGGGAGCCACTGAGCCACACCGCTGCGGAGGAGCTGTTCATTGGCTGGCTGGACAAACCGGCGCAGGGGGCGCCTGCAGGGGGGCACCTTGGGGAGCGGCCCGGCAAGGCGTTCAGCTGGTTGATTGCGGCAGGTAGGGCTGGGTGTGGGCTGTGGGATACGGGATACGGGGGTGGAAGATACCGGAGTAGTAGCGTGTTACCGTTAGTTCGTTTCTGTCCCTTCGCGCGTCGCTCGCTTTTTAGCGTTTGCCGTACCTCACTTTGCCGAAACTGCCGTACCGGTATCATTTTCACCCGCGCTCCAGCTGCTCCCATGCAGCCTCCCTGCGGCCGACTCTTCCTGCAACACATGCTGTCGCCATGCCAGCCACGTTTGCTTCTTCCTCTGTTACCCACCCTCTCCTTGTCCTAACCCTCACACACGGCCCCCGCCCCACTACCAATCGAGCCATGGTTTCAGATTCCAGCGCTTCACTTCTTCTACTATAAACTGCCCCACCACCACCAATTTCCCGCTGCCAGGCAAGAACCCCGCCTACGACTACTTCCCATGCCAGCACCAGATGTTCTACCGAGGGCGCGGCAGCGGGCAGATGTGGTACGAGCCGGTATTCAAAGCCATCACGCTGGACGGGCGACAAGTGTGGCGCCGCAGGGTGTACCGCGTGAGGCGAGGGAAGGTAAGGCTGTCGTCGAGGGAAGGTAAGGCTGTGACCGTTACCACATGCGAAGGTAAAAGGGGTGGGAACTGACACGCTGTATTATGACACGGCTTCACGGCTTCACGGGTGGGAAGGGGACAGGAGAGGTGAGAGAGGTGAGATGACACCAGGGTGCCGGCGTGAAGTTAAGTGCTGCTCAGTCGTGCTTGCGTTGAATGCGTTTATCTGGTTGTGGCTACCGGTATGTGTAGGCTCCAGGCACCTTCCATCTGTCGGTGCTAGACAACGGTGTGACCTCCAATGAGTTCTGGCGCATCCTGGACTGCGACGAGGAGCAGCTGGCCTACTGCCTGTTCTACTACAGCGGTGCGGCGTCCAAGGCAGGTGAGCTGCGGTGCGGTGTGGGAAGCACTAGGTGGGGGAAGCACTAGGTGGGGGAAGCACTAGGTGGGGGAAGCACTAGTTGGGGGGAAGCAAGGAGTGTAGAATGGGGTTTTGGGCCGAAGAGAGAGTGAGGGAGAGGGGGCCCGGGGAGACTATCTTGCACCCGATGCCCCGTAGCCCCGTTATACGAGCCATAACCATGCATTGGTTGTGATGCCGTGTGCTAGGGTAGCGGGTAACGCAGAACCCATCAACATTAGCACACGATGTGACGTGTCAGGAGATGTGCGTCCCATAACCCGTTGAGGCTGGTAGACATACCGGTAGTAAGCATCCTCCGTCGTTGCGAAGCCAAGGTACCAAACCAACATCCCTTTGCCATCCAACCATACAAATACTGCCCCCCCAGGTTTATCGTACAGCGGCGCCGTGCTGGGGACCCCCGACGGCCGCATGCCGGGCCCGCAGCACACGGAGCGGTTGCATGCTGCGCTGCGGAGGGCGGGGATCGAACCCTGGGAGCTCAGCTACGTGGACAACAGCGGCTGTGAGGAGGCACCGTTGGGGATCACGGGCCCGGTGGGGCGTGCTGTGGTGGCGGCGGGTGCGGGGTCGTGAGGCGGGGCCGGGAGTGGGCATGTAGCGGGAGCAGGAGAGGCGGGTTGCGGCGGCCGGAGGAACAATTGTGTGGTGTCCTTGTTGCCATTGCTTCATATCATGAGTGTAATATAGTTAGAAGCGGGGTTCCTTATCTGTACAGTACAGTAGCTATAGGCAGGGTAGACGAGAGACATCATGGTCCTCTAACCAAAACCAACCGTGCACCTTGCCAGCTGCAGCCAATGTTCGCTCGTGGCGGCTGACGGACCATGTCTCGTGCCCTGTGTGTGCTGGTCGGTTGCCCAGTGGCAGCTGACAGACTCCTGCATGTCACGCTACCCAGGCATGGCCCCCGTCTGCTCACGGCAGTGGGCCTTGTGCATCTCTGCGGGGCTTGTAGGTAGCTAGCCTCTGTACATTATCCTTAAATTGTGTACCTTTGCTTTCGTGGGCTTCGAAACCAGCCCGTGGATAAGGTGGACGTGTGCGCTATGAGAATAAATAAGAAACGCCGACGATCGTGTTACACCGGTTTTACCGTGCCCTTCGTTCTCCTACCAAGCTATTGCATCCCCCTAACCCATCACGGCTCTACACAATCATATCGCACGCGTCGTGCTTCCCCACCTCATTAGCCCTTGACATTAGCCCTCGGTAGCCCCCGCTGTCGTAATTGTTAACACAACCCCTCGGGGCCATTTTCACTGCAAGCGAGCGATGCCTACATGGCAGGCACATCGTCCTGGCCAAACCATGCTCTATGCGAAACCGTAAGCCAAGCAAGGCACCAAGACGACAGTAATGAAAGGAATTCGCCAAGCCGCATGCCGCCGAACTCCAACTTCCCAGCATTCGAAGCCAAATGTTGGTATCATGGGCTCGTTCATACCTCCCATGCTTCACCCAGCTGCGCTTGAAACAACAACGGCCACAACCCCAATCCCCTAAATCACAATCGCTCACTACTTGTTCAGCAGGCGCGCAAGAGCTCCGCAAGCCGGGCAACGTTATCTTCAGGAGAGCAAACACACAGCAGGGTTTGCCGCAGCCATGCTGATACCGGTACAAGCAGCACCAACCAACAGCAAACGAGAAACAAGGTTAGCAAAGGCCCCAAGAAGAAGTGGTGTACAAAAGGGTTGCTACACCACTTGCCACCATTGCCTAAACAAACAACCACCTTATAAACCTATTGGGGATTCATACCCAACCCCCAGACAACGGCTATCCACCTTCAAACCCCGTTCGAAATTCAATCCGAACCCCCAGACAACGGCTACAACGGCTATGAAACCAGCTACTAACAAACCCCACTCCCGCCCAAGGCTCTTGTTACCTGTTGTACCTGCAAACTGCATGACACAGTTACCGCAGTCTTACCATTCCGAGCATTCCAAGCAGGCATGGCGTTGACCACGACGCAGAAAGCTCAGAACGGGCCTAGCCATGCCGGGTTAGTTTCGCTAGGAGTCGAGACATCTCCTAGGATGATGGTCAGTCGTCGCCGTCACCATCACCGTAGCCGATGAGTCCATGCAGGGAGCCAGTAACCTGTGCGGTGGACGCGGGCTCGATCGCGGCAGAGGCGCCGCCGGAGACTACGGTGGCAGGGGCGGGATTGGCAGCTGTGGAAGCCCGGGCGGCGGTGACCCATGGGTCCATGGGACGGGGAGGGAGCAAATGACGGTCAGAAAGGGGCGCAGGGAGCGCGGAGGAGGGGGCGGGAGCGTCAGTTGGGGAGTTTGAGTGTGGTGCGGGGGCGTTGGAGCGAGCAGCAGAATTAGTAGCAGGTCGGTAAGGATACGAGTGGCGATGCTCCAGAAAGAATGGTACAACGTCTTATCACAACAAAAGATGACTTAGTCGGCCTCATAGCTGCAAATTTGGACGTTTCGTATCAGCCTGCAATTGTTTTCCTCTGCATTGCTTTCGGGCAACTCCTGTCGGGCAACTTCCCCTGCGAATGGGTCGCGTACCTCCTAGCCCAGCCGTCTGGCCCCCGTACGTTGCCGCCTGCGGCTGCTGTTGTTGTTGTCCCCCGGAGGAAGAAGAGGCGGGAACAAAGGTCACTCCACCCGCCCCATTTGCCATGTGGCTGCTCTTGGTGCTGTCCTGCATGCAGCTGCTTGTGGCGGCGGCGTTGTTACCGTTGCTGCTTGCAGCGTTGCTTGCGGGTTGCTGCTGTGTGCGCCCCATCGCCTGTGCGTACTGGGCGTACGGGTTGTCTGGCGGAGGGGGGGAAGGCCGAGCCTGCTCGCGCAGGGACGCAAGGGCCGCGTGAGAAGGGCCCGGCGGGAATGGCAGCAAGGAATGCCAGCGGTGTGGAGGTGGGGGCGGAGGGGGTGAAGAAGGGTGGGATAGGGAAAAAGGGAGGGCAGGAGGGAGGGCAAGGAAGGGGAGGGAAGACGCGCCCCATGGTGACGGGCGGGAGCCCCAAAAAGAGAGAAAGGAAGGGAAGGTCCAGTCAGTAAAATTGTCGCGAATATGGAAAAAGGGAAAGGGAGTACGAGGAGGGAAGACAAATGACGTCAGTAGCTGGGGAGGTCTAGCATTTACGGGGCTATAAGGAACTCAGGGGCCGATGAAAAGGTTGTCATGACTCCACGTCTCGGCTGTCGTTGCGCCAAGGGGGGTCGCAAAGCCGCTGCAAGGCAATCAGCAACCACCACCGCACCTGCTCCCCCTCACGAGCTTCCCGGAACTTGCGCTTCGGCGGACCCGATTGTTGTTGCTGCTGCTGCTGTTGTTGATGCTGATGTGCGGCAAGGGTGTGACTCCCCGCGGCATGATTGCCGGTTGTTGCGGACGGCTCTGATCCATACGACGAGTGCATGCCCGCGTAACTGCCTCCGCCCGGAGCACCCTGCTGAACTGCATGGGGTGCGCTTGCTGCCGCTGGAGGCGGTACGGCTGCCGCGGTTGCGGGCGGCGGGTGCATGCCGTACGGCGCCGGGGCTGCCGGCGCGGCGGGGGCAGCTGGCGGCGGCGCGGCGACACCATACCCAGCAGGTGGAGGGTGCTGGTGCGGGGGCGGGTAGGGGTTGTGCGCTCCTGGTGTTGAGGACTGCTGCGGCGGCGGCGGAGCTGCGTACCCGGGAGGAGCGCCGGGAGGTGGGTAGTGGTACGGCGGCGGTTGTGCCGTCGTACCAGCAGCCGGAGGTTGGTAACTGTACGGCGGAGGGGCGCCAGCGTACGGAGGCGGGGGCGCTCCGTACGGAGGCGGTGCACTGCCGTACGGCTGGGGTGGCGGGTACGGCTGACCCGGTGGGGGGTAGTACGGCGGGTGGCCTGGAGGAGGGTAGTACGGAGCTCCAGGGGGCGGTGCGGCTGCGCCGTACGGGGGCGGGTACGGCGGAGGAGCGCTGCCGTACGGTGGTGTCGGTGGTTGCTGCTGCTGCTGCTGTTGCTGCGCAGGCAGTTGGATGACGGTTGGCGGTTGAACGGTGTGCGCCAGCGAGGGGTTGCTCCGGCTGTAGTCCTCCACCACGGTGCGCAGGAGGTCCAACAGCAGGCTGTGTCGGGTGGGCGGTACGACAAAAGGGCGGGCATTGCAGCAGGGAGTGTCAGTATCAAACTGTTGTTGCAGCATACTGTAATGGGATTCCATTTGAAACAAAGTGTATTGCATGGCGAGGTGCACAACCTTTTTGTAAGAATCGCAGACTATGGCAGCAGCAAAACGTAAAACACCTGTACCCACAAAGCCCAACCCAAGGGCGCCACGCAAACCCCATGGGGGCTACCAACCAACCAACCACCATGACCCACCTCTTGGCGTCCTCTAGCGCCTTGGGTGAGGGGGCAGCGATGTGGACGTGCAACGGGTCCGGACTGCGGCAGCGGACAGTCGCACAGCGGCAGCACGTACGCGAGCACGTCGCACGTACGTCTCGTCACGGCAAGGTACAGGTGCAACAATGAGGGCGCAGTTATCCCAGCCAGCAACAACGCATAATAAAAAGTATAGTAAAGAGCATAAACCCGGCATGCTCTAATGATAGGGCCAGTTATATGGACTTCTTCTGGGTTGAGACCCCTAAAGAGGTACGGATGCGGAATTCCGTACCCCAACCTGCCCCGACGTACCCCTCCGCATCGCCCGAGCCCCGCCCGCGTAGCTGCACGGTTGCCCCCGTTGTTGTGGAGATGTGCTGCACGAAAGTGCCGCCTGCAAAACAGTAACAGAGCGCAGCATGAAACGCATGATCATCACGACAGGTAACACCGCATGAGGCTTGCGACTGACACGTCACGTCGGCGCTGTCGACAACAGTTCCTTCCACGACTCTTCGCGCATGCAGCCTTGGTACCCTCCAACCCGCACCACCCGTCGCCATCTTGAGGGCCCCATGCCGTCTGTCACCCTCACCCGGTCCCTTAATCTTCTCAGCCAACGGAAACGCCCCCGGCTGCGGGACGCCCGTGAACACCGAGCAGCTGCAGCCTCCCGCCGGCGCTGCTGCTCCCGCCCCTCCACTGCTGCTGTCCCGACCCGGATGCGACGGCGGTGTGCCGGCTGGCGGCGCCGTCGGGGGAGGGTAGCCGTACCCAGCAGGTGGCGGCGGGGCCGCTCCCGGTACGACAGGGGGCGGTGCTCCGTACGGTGGCGGCGGTCCGTAGCCCGCCGGAGGTGGTGGATGGTGGTGGTGGGGCCCCGCCGGTGGTGGGGCAACGCCGTAGGGAGGTGGGTGAGGGGGAGGAGCCGTGCCGGCGTGGTGACCTGCCGCAGGCGCGGGCCGGCCGGGGGGCATGCCATTCAAGATGCGCTGAATGTCGGAGATTGCGTTGCTGACCGCCTGCTGCTTTTGCTCGTCAGTCTGCAGGGTGTGGGGGGTGGGTCAGGGGATGGTGGTTAGGGGGTGCGAGGGCAGGCAGGAAGCTTTAGGCGTTTTCTTTCCGATGTGGACTGTTACAGAGGAAGGACAGGAAGACCACCAAGAAACCTCTGCGTTGGGCAGAGGCGGTACCCAGTACACGGCCCACTACCAGGCTGGTCCTAGCTGGTCTTCCCTTGGAGGGGCGTAGGTACACATGCCCGGTGTATGTGAGGGCCCCACTGTCCATCTGCGCGGCCTTACCGTTCCAGCGTTGGCCCCAGGCTTCACCAGGAGGTGCAACGGCTTATCCTTTCCATCCGGCGCAACACCCGGCGCATAGTATCGGCCCCTCGTAACAATGATAGTGCCGGTGCGAGACTGGATTTCATCCTGAACTCCGCGTTTGGTCAGGTGGATGCGGACCCCCGTAGCCGCGTCGTTGATATAGACCTCCCGTGAGTGATCGAATGGCTTTGAATCTGTGGCCACAACTGCTGAGTACGCAGCTATGACTGGCGCTGTGGGAGTAGGCTTCGCCTGCAGGGAAGCAGGACAATCATTAGGTGCGTCATGCGGTGGAAGGTGAGGTCTCAATTTTGGGCCCTTAGCCACATACAACAACAGATATTAGTGCTATGCTTATGGATTCGCGTCCTGTCCTTATGGTGCCTTACAGTAGAGTTTTCAACAAGCGCTATAGGGAGGAACCACGCTGCCTTGCGGTTTTCCACTGAAGGCAGCAAATGCTTTAGGGCGTGAATCTGAGTGACTTGCCTGGGCGCCAGGATGATATTTACTAAAGAGAGCTGCCGCAGCAGCTTGTGCAAGCGCAATATCTACAGATGGAGCCGCCGATCCCACAGCAGCTAAGCCACCAGAACCCGAAACCTGACCCAGCTGGGTAACAGTCTGAGGCAAGGTTCCTGGCCCCGGAATGTCCCATTTCCGCTTCTTCGCAGGCTGTTGGCTGTCTATTGCCTGCATTTGTAGTTATCGCATATACCTAGAGCAATAGTTGGTTGTAGACAATGTTTGTAACGGGTTGCATTTGGAAAAATGGTGAATTCGACGTGAGCCGATGAGGTCCAATGGAAATGGTTGGGGTCGTGGTTGTACTCATGGAACCCCACATGCTTTCTGATGCGCAAACTTTCTTGCAATTACGTCTTGACTTTCATTTAGGGTTTAGTTAAACTCCAAAAGCAGCCTGCGGATTACGTGCACGAAAGTCGTCAAGCAAAGTGCCAATAGGTCGTCGCTTTGTCAACGAGTCGCTATACTAAATCATTAATGTGAATTTGGCCGCCAGACGTCGAAAATATTTGACAGAAAGGTCGTGGAAAAGCCCCTAACGTCGAAAGCGGTTAAGCTTGCACACCTAACCGCAAGGCACGCACGCAATGGCGCTTTTAACGGCAGCAATCAACACTGGACAGGTCCGGTGTATGCTCATGTCAGAGACTTTGCGCTGTTCAATTATCTTTGACCCTCCACTGCCCCAAACTATCGCATCGCGCTGAACTTGCTTGCAGGTCGCGTTCCTGTTCGCCTTCATATGGTCATTCCTAGCATGGAGCTTAGCAGAATTTCTGCACTGGCTTAGGTAAAATTCCTGCGTAGCTGGCCGGACCTGAAGGTCCTGCACTCCATGCCCACATTCCGCCCCGTCCTCATCCCCGCCCCTCCGACCCTGTAGGCCCTACCCAGACCCCACGGAAGAAGATTCCCTTGAAGCACCCGATGCCGAATCCGCCAAGCTGCTGCTGCTTCCAACCGCCAAAGCCCGCAGCACCCACGACGCCAGCAGCGGCAGCAGTACGGCAGTAGCATCCGCCAGCGCACACGCCCTCACCGCATGCTGTACAACCGACCCACCGGATGCCGACAGCAAATCTTTCTCCCACTCAGCCAGTTCAGAGAAGGTCTTCAACAGTCGGATCTCAGCAACGGAACATAGTTTATACGCAAGCACTTCTACAATCGCTAGCATGTGGACTAGCATGGCTCAGTCAGGGCTGGTGTCATGTCTGCAACTCAATCGCCAGGCCCTGGTTCAGCATCGCCTCGTGCTGCGGGCTGTCGTTGAGTTCGGGGGCCTTATGCTGTGGTTCTTCCTGGCAGATCGTACGACAATGTTCCAGGAAGGGCCCAAGTCGTACAGTCGCGATCTCTTCATGCTTCTCTTCATGAGCCTGACGGCTGCGGCTGCTGGGAGCTCTCTGCAGGCATTACGCACGCCGGCGCTGTTGAACCGGCCGCAGACGGAGGAATGGAAGGGCTGGATGCAGGTATGTTCATTCTCCACTCGTACTAGGAAGGGCTAATACCCGTAACCAATCACGGAATCCGGTGATAGCCTTGTGCTTTTGTACGTGCTCTGGTGTTCTGGAGGGATGGGTTTGAGCAGGCGGACGAGTGAAAGGGGTTGGGTGCGGGCAGCCCTTCCTAACTCCCATCACCACTGACCCGTGGGTCACTCGGTGGTTGCCTACTGTTCTTCTCCTCCCCTCAGGTCCTGTTCCTGTTGTACCATTACTTCGAGGCCAAGGAGGCCTACAATGCCATCCGCATCTTTATCGCTGCATATGTTTGGATGACCGGATTCGGCAACTTCTCGTACTACTACAAAACCGGGGACTTTTGCATTGGACGGTAAGTAGCATTGCTGCTTTTGGTACGGCAACATGTACGGCAATGTGCGGCAACACCGGCTGGCGCGACACTCTGTCTGCATGGACGTCCTTCACCTTGGTCACCTTCTCATCCCCTGCTTACCATTCACGCGTTCCATTGTTGTGCTCGTGCCGCTGTCGCGCCGCCGCCCCATCTTCTCCGCGCTCCGCAGGTTCGCGCAAATGATGTGGCGACTCAACTTCCTGGTCTTCTTCGCCTGTGTCGTACTTTGCAACAGCTACATGTTGTACTACATCTGCCCCATGCACACCATCTTTACCGTACTGGTGTATGTCGTACTCGCCATCGCCCCGCACCTCAACAAACATCGGGGCTGGATGCTTACCAAGTAAGACGCGCAGCGCTATGCATACGTAGGAAAGGGGTGTGGACAAGGGGTGTTCCGACTGTGGTATTCCGATCAAGAAAGGGAACATAGCCAGGGTAGCATTGTACTACATATCTGTTGATTATTGGCTGCTCCCCTCTCAAGCGCCGCGTGTCCCTTTCGAAACTAAACTGGCCCTCCTTTTAAGTTGAGCCAATCCAGGTCCTGGTACGCCCGCATGCATCCTAGTACCTTCGCTCGGTCGGCTCACCTTCTGCTCGCCCCAACCTCCCTCTTATGGACCCTCTTGTTCTCTTGCCCTCTTCTCCCTTCCCTCTCCTCCCCTCCCTCTTCTTCATCCTCCCACGATCGACCCATGCAAGGCTGCTGCTGTCAGTGGCGCTGGTGTACGTCACATGGGACGTGAAGCGCGTCTTCACCGCCCTCTGGTCGCCACTCACCTGGCTGCTCGGCTACAGCGACCCGCGCAAACCCACACAAGACCCGCTGCATGGTGCGCTGCTGGGGGGCGCATGACAGGGACGGATACGTCAATAACCGTTTTCTCAAAACACAAAAACGTGGCGGGTGTCGGTTACTGCGAACTAACACCCCCGGTGTGTTCCGTATGTATGTACCGGTATGTGCCCGGGACCCGTTGCAGAGTGGTACTTTCGTTCCTCCCTGGATCGCTACGTGTGGATATACGGCATGCTGTGCGCCTGGATACACCCGCAGGTAGGAGTGACCCATGGGTCCGTCTTGAGGCCTGGCCTGCTGCTCTTCCACGTCCTTTCCTTGTTAAAAGCCAACTCCATGCTGTCATATCTCATGCATTCCATAAGTTGTAATACCTATAAAAATGCGTACCTGGACATCAAGAGCACCTTTCAACGCGAGGTGCATGTGACACTACACGCTGGCACCCCCCCCCCAGGTCGCCGCCTTCTTCAAGTTTGTTGACGACCAACCAGCCGTCCGCCGCTTCGCCTTACGCTCCTTCATCTTGGCGGCCTGCGGCGGTGCCGGTTACTGGTATTATTCCAGGATCTATGTACTGCCAAAATACGAATACAATGTCGTACATCCGTACACCTCGTGGATCCCGATTACGCTATGGATTGTCGTAAGGAACATGACGCCCTCGCTGCGGCTACACCACTTGCGGCTGTACGGCTGGCTTGGGTGCATCACCTTGGAAACGTATATTTCACAGGTACGGCAATCCCCAGGGCAAAAAGGTTTGCATGCATCTACCGTCATTATCACGCTCAGCGCATGCATGGCCACGATGTTCCCACCAGGCCCGGTACAGGTATGTGCACAACGGTTCGCGATCCTTTGGCTCGTCCCTTCCCACCCCTCCTTGGTCCTTAAACCCGCTCCGCTGCGAACCCCCCACCGCCATCCCCTACCCACCCGCTTCCCGCCCCACCCCAGTTCCACATCTGGATGAAGACGGTGTTGCCGAACGGGCAGCCCAAGGGCCTGCTGGTGCTGCTGCCCGGGTACCCGCTGGTCAATTTTGGGGTCGTGTCCGCATGTGGGTCGCTGCACGCCAAGTGGAAACGTGAATTCCGTGCTAATGCTTTCGGTTACGTCGTCATTTTGCAGTTCCGGTATCACACCATGCTACCTGCGCTGCACTTCATCTTTCTGATTAGAGCAGCTCGCTCCTGCAGCCCTTACCTGCAGCCTCGTTTACTGTTGCCTCTCCCTTGTGCCCTCCTGCTGCTGCTCCAGTGTACGTGCTGGTGAGCTACCGGCTGTTTGAGCTGACTAACGTGCTTAAAACCGCCGCCGTACCTCACTCCAACAACGGCCTACTGCTGCGCAACATGCTCCTCATGCTGGCGACCGGAGCGGCCGTGTGGGCTGTTGCGTGGCTGTCGTACAATATGCTGCTTACAACAATCAGTACGGGTAGTCAGCGAGAGACGTAACGGTATTTTCCTTTCGTTTGTAAATTTGGGAAGGGATGAGATTATGCCTCTCAAACAATATATGTGAAATGGTTTGATGCCCTGAAGGTTTTGGGAAAGCCAGAACCCACAGCTAGTACCGGTAGTGACGTCAATGCTGCCGGGTTCTCCTTGTGTAAAGTTGAGTAGGACAAGAGCAAGCAATTGGGAGAGGTTCCTTGTGTATATTGGTCGAAGTATTTCAACCACGCGGTCGTGATACCAATTTCCAAATTCCTTGCATGCTCGTACGGGTTGTTTGACGGTTGACATGCCGACCCTCGTGACCCATCTGCCATCCGTTTTGGCCCTAAACGCACGCACTTGGTGGTGGTCGTTTGAGTTGCTTCTTTGACGTAAGGGGAATGAATTATAGTATGATACCCTGATGTAAAGAGGTGCTGTTCTTAGCTGTTGTTCCGTGTGGGGACAGGGTAGAGATGCACTATATTCGTACTGCAGGTGCTGCGCTGTGATACCCCAACGACTATCCTGCGTCGTACCACTCCTTTGCCGCCGCGTCCTGGCAGGGAGTAGTACGACAATGTGTATGGCAACTTGCACGTGAGGCGCCCTTCCATGCTACCTTCTGTTATGACAATATCGACTGGCTTCCATGCGAACGGCATAAGCTATGCCCTCATGTTCCGGTATCCCTTCTTCCATTCATGGGCTAATGGCAGGTGCGTTTACTGACCGACATGCCGGCGTCAGCGTCCCATGCTAAGAAGTAATCATCAGCACTAGCCGTCGTGCATTGAAGCCACCTGCCGGATGCTTGCTGAAACAAACACGCACAGATAACATTTGACTCCTACCCCGAACCCATAACCCAACTGGAATCCAAAGCAACAGCCTCTTGCGACATGCCACAACCCATGCAGCTGCAATGTTCGATGAAACAATATCCTTCCGAACTTCAACGTGCGAGCTATTTAACTTCCGACGGTCACGCGACAATAACTCTACAGGTCTGTTTGGCTGCAACACCTCAAGTCCTCAAAGCACCCAACGCCCTTCCCTCCACGCGTACAGTTATACGACAACACTTCAGCGTTCGGACCCAACAGCACAACACGCCTTCCTTCAACTCCCTATCCTCATGAGATTGCCTACTAACGCCTTGCCTTCATCAAGCCACTCCTACAACCTACTAAGCAGTACTTACGCTTTACCTTCCTCCTGCTCCTCCTGCAACTGCCGCTATTACTACTGCTGCTGCTGCTCCGCGCCCCCCGCCGCCCCCCCCTGCTGCGCCGCCAGCAGCCCCTTCACGTGCGTCACCGCGCCCTCCACGTCACCCGCCACGTGCAGCAGACCGGGAGCCAGACCCGAGAAGAACTTCTCAGCCTCGGGCTGCGAGTGCGGGGTCAGGGAGGGACTTCACGCGGGAAGAAACCGGCATGAGGCGACATGCAAGGCAGCGGGGCAAGCAAGATGTGGGACAGGCAGCATGTGGAATGGGAATTCCATTGCTTGTGCAGTAGGCAGTTCAGTAGCTATCAGCTCATCCCTTCCCCAGCCGCACTCCTGACACCGCTTACGTTGGTCGCCAGCAGTACGACAGGTTTGCGCGCCTTGAGCGCCAGAGCCACCTCAGCTGCGGTACCGGGGCCCATGCCCACGGCCACCAGCACGGAGGCAGAGAGCGCGTTGATGTTGTCGCGCGCGGAGCCAAGACCCGTGAGAATGGGAATGTCCACAGCGTCTGGAGTGGAGCGGCGAAATTTGGTCACTTACTAGTGAGAACCGCACGAGTTGCGCGCACTACAGATTGCAGGAGAGTAAATTACTTATTTATGGGCAAAGGTAAGAAAACCGTACCGCTGATGTCCATCGCGTCGGGGCCGGGCAGGATGCCAATTGTGGTGCCTCCAGCGCTCTTTGCGCCACGACAAGCCGCATCCATGACGCCAATGTTCCTGCCTCCGGTCAACAGAAGCCATCCATGTGCCGCGATTTGCTTGCCAAGCTCCAGCGCCAGCTCAACGTGCTTATCGACGGGTTCCGTGTGCACCTCCGTCCTCCCAGGGCCCATAACACCAATGATGGGCTTGCGAGCGGCCATTATGAGTAGCGACTGCTCAGCAAATCGAGCGCTGTGTGACGTTGCGGTGTGTGTCTACCTAGGTTCCGAGGGGACACTTTACAACCTGAGGAGCTGAGAGCACATCTATGCTTTCGATAGAATCCGTTAACATCGCCACCACTTTGTACGGACTGCCCGAGTAACGAGTGAGTTGTAACGAAGAGATTGCGCGCAACGAGTTTGTTAGCATGCCGTACAACTGTAGGATCGTCTTGTTAGGGCTTGAAAATCAATTGGTAAAGCTTTGTGTTAACTCGCACATAATTGTGAGCCCGACCTCGTGCCCCCGCTTTGCGCCGGCCGCCTGAGAGCAACCGTCTATTTAACGCCTCGGGATACCAGCTTTATACGCGCGAGTGCATCCCGCACATGAACGCTGACAACTATTGAACCTTAGTAGCAACGCGACGATGTCTGTCACCGAGTTCTCGACCCATCAGCTGGTCGAAATTTGTGGGGACTCTGAGGACGGCTTCCGGGGAAGCTGGTGCGAGGCTGTGATACTCGAAACAAAAGGGAAAGAACGAATCCTCGTGCAGTATGTCAAGGTCAGTTCCCGCCGTTTTCGGCATTGCACTGCAACAACCCGCCCCTTTGAGCCGGTCATAGCGGCGGTTGTAGATGGCGGTTGTGTGTATTACTTGGTTTGCTGAAGTTGTCGTTCCTTTGTTCCCAACATCTTGCACGCCCAAGTTCGTCGACGACGACACCAAGCTCCCGCTTCGCGAGGCGGTTCTTCGTAAGCGCGTTCGTCCAGCACCACCTGTCGAGCTTGCCAGGTTCAAATCAATACAGGACCTAAAGGTCGGTGCATTTGGGCTTTCGCCGGCAGCGGGGGCTGCAGGGGGCTGTAGGTCGTTGCCGCCCTGCTCACTAATATCAACGGCTGGACTGCCACCGATTTGCGCTTACTGCTAGGATCATGCCTGGGGGTCCTACTTTCGTGAATATTCGTAGCATTTTTAACTTAAAAACTAGGCCTCCTGTGCTTTTTGTTTGCACGTACCCTACACGGACCAACGCAAGCCAGCGCCCAATCGCTCACAGCCGGGCTTGCACGCATGTTGCTTCCACACCGCCTTGCGAACCGAGCCTACTTGTGCATGTTGATCCCCCCCTACCCACATTGGACCTTGTCCACTCGCGTGTACCCATGTCACCCGCCACCACCACCTGCTACCCACAACAGCTCGGAGACAGCGTAGAGGTCTACCAGGACGATTGCTGGTGGCAGGGCGCCGTGGTGTACGTCGCGAGGGCTGGAGTGCAAGTCAACTTGTACGGTAGGAAGGCACACTTTTTCCAGTCCAGCCGCGGTTGTTAGGCTCAACTTGGTGATCTGGGTCAGGCTCCGAAGCACTCCTCTTGTCACACTTCTATAAGGACTATAACCGCTTTGCCATTTCTTGATGCATGCTGAAGCGCTGACCCTTGCCCTTGCTTCATGCATGCCAATTGCCAACACGCACGCAGAATCCAACGACTCCACCCTCTTCATCCGCGACCCACATGAGCTGCGGCCGCGCATGCAGTTCCAGACAGGCAGCTGGCGCCGGGTGGTGCCCAGCCGCCCCGCGTTGCGCAAGCTGGGGCTGCCGGCGAAGGAAGTGGAGGCGGCCGTGAAGGTGAGGTAGGGGATGTGAGGTAGGAAAAGTAACTGAGGAATGCAGCAACTGGCGAGGTGGGTTGGCGGGACCGCTCTCTTGCCGTCTTGCTGGGAGTGCGCATGCTGCAGGGTGCAGGCATGTGGGTTTCCTTCTCGTTAAGCCGTGACACGCTCCCCCCCCCGCCTTACCGGTACCCGCCCACCCCCCCACGCCCCCCACAGGCCATGCAGGCCGCACCCGATGTCCCCATGGGGCCGCCACGCCTGCAGCCGCCGCCCACCTACCCCACCACCACCACCACCGCAGCAGCAGGGACCTCAGCCACTGCCGTAGCAGCAGCAGCGGGTGCCGCTTTGCCGATGCCCAGTCAAACAGGCCATCCGGCCCCCAGCCACACGAGCCCCTGGGCTGCGAAACGCCGCTCCGCTGCTGCTGCGGCGGCGGATGCAGATGCGCAGGCCGCGAGTGGTGCAGTAGCGGAAGTGAAGAAGGGGCATGCTGCGGGCAAGGTTGCCGGCGGGGCGAGGGCTGGGGCACAGGCGGCGGGGGTGGAGAAGCAGCGAGCTGGGACGAAGCGGCGGCGGGACGAGGACGAGGAGGAGGAGGATGGAGAGGAGGACGGAGAAGACGAGGAGGAGGAGGAACAGGAGGAGAGGGCGGGCGGCGAGGCTGCCGGACCCTCCTCCGCAGCAGCAGCGGCTGCAGGTGCTGCTGCCGCTGACCCCGGCAGGCCCTCTCGCCCCCGGCGTGAGGGCAAGAGCCGGCTGGTGTACGTCAACGGTGTTCCCGTGCTCAAGGTACAACGGTGTACGACACTTTTGGGCTTTTGGATCTTCTCCTGGAAAAGTGGCTTTCCTGTGTTGGCCTTCCCGCACACAAAGGCCACCTTCCTCCCGCTTCCCCTCCTTCGCCTTTCCCTAGTCCCCACTCGGGTAACACCTGTTTCGTCCCCGGCCCGGGTGTATCTGCACCGGGTGTTCAACCGCAGGCCAACATGTACGGTCTGGAGGATGAGGACACCCTGGCGTGGCAGCGCGGCTTGCGGAATGGTGGGTGCGATCTGCTGCTGCTACTGCTACCCGTCCCTGTAGCTCCACCTGCTACCGGTGACTACTGCTTCTCCAGCTGCTGCCGCGGCTAGGCCGACACATTTTTCTTCCCGCCCCGCCTTCATACCTGTGAGGATAGCAGCTGGCAGGGTAGCCGGTAGTGCAACCTCCGCAACGCTTTCCTCCCACTTCCCACTTCCCTTCCCCCTCCCTATGGGATCCAGCCTAATGCGGAATATGTATCCCTGTTGATCTCCCTTTCCACGTTCAGGCCAAGCCGACTTGGGCGGTGTGCAGTTCGCCCCTCCTCCGGCCCCCTCGCGACAGCAGCCCCCCAAGGCCCCCAGGGCCCCCGCTGCGCCCCGGGAGCACCCGCCCGAGTACCTGGCCCGACAGGAACACAACAACGCCATCCGAGCAGATGCGCAGGTGGGGGGGGGAGGGACTGCACTGCATGTGCATGTGCATGCGTGTGTGTTATAAAGACTGCATGTGTGTGTATGAGGTGGTGGGGGGGGGTGCACGGGACTGCATGCGGGGGATTGCATGTGTGTGGGGGGGGTTGCAGCCTACCCTCCGCATGCGAGCGCGCTGGTGTCACCGGGCAGGTGAACTACCCCTACCTCCCTCACCCCTCCCATCACTTCCACCTCCCTCCCCCCTCCTGCTACCCCTCCCGCTCCCCAGGCCGGCCAGGTGTCCCGCGCGCGCTACCTGCTGCAGCACCTGGACCGCATCCGGCCCTTCATCACGCAGCAGGCGGAGGCCCACATCCGCAGGCTGGCAGCCGGCCCCGGTCCTGCAGCGCCGCAGCCCCCGGCCCCGCCTGTCACCCAGCAACCCGAGCAAGTGCTGGCGGTGAGTGCCGGTGGGGCGTGCCTGGCAGTCAGCCTGTGAGTCTGAGTCTAAGCCTGAGCCTCATCTCCCTGCTTCCCTTTCCTCCCGTCCTTCCTCTTCTCCCCGGCCCTCCCCGCCTTCTTGCGGCTCAGTTTGCCTAATCCCCGCCTGCCTGGCCCCCCCAACCCTTCTCGTCCCTCCCAAAACAGACGCTGCGCGAGTACCAGCTGGAGGGTCTGGCCTGGATGGTGGCGCAGTGGGAGCGAGGGGTGAACGCTATCCTGGCGGATGAGATGGGGCTGGGGAAGACGCTGCAGGTGGGGTGGGGTGGTGGGTGGGATGGGGGGGGTGATGGGTGGATGGATGGATGGGGGGAAGGGGGCACGGCATGCACAGCTGTCAGGGCCGCAAGTAGCCGGGGTGGGGTGATTGATGGAAGGGGGGGTTTGTTTTGCCATGAGCCTGCTACTACTAATCCAGTTCATAGCGTTCCAACCCCTGCGCACATAACCTCCCTTACCCCCCCCCCCCCCGCCGCCATGGAGCTTACAATACGGTTTGTTATTGATTATTGCTACTAACTACAATAAATTGCTATCCCTAAAATCCAGCCTAAGGCGGATTACGTCTCCAAATTAACCCCCCCGCCAGACCATCACCTTCCTCGCGCACCTCAAGTTCGTGTGCGGGGTGGGCGGACCGCACCTGGTGGTGGTGCCGCTGTCGGTGCTGTCCAGCTGGATGAGGTGGGGGGGGCGGGGGGGCGGGGCTGACCCATGGGTCAGTTGGCGCCGGATGGGGGTCCAAGGTTATTTATCACAGGCAGTTTGGGAGCTTCTACGGGGTTGACCCGTGGGCTTCCGCCATGTCCTTCGACCCATGGGTCGTCCCTGTGTAATTTATCAGTGGTCTCTTCAGCACCATCTAAAGCTGAAGCTCTTCTCACACCCTTCCAGCCTCCACACGTCCCCTTCACTCTCATCCGCTGCTCCCGCCGCATACCTCGGCTCCCTCGCCCCCACACTCCCCTCCTCCCCTCCCCTCCTCCCCCTGCTCCCCTTCCCTTCCCTCCCCCTCCTCCTCCCCTCCCCCACCCCCCCAGCGAGTTCCGCAAGTGGTGTCCCTCGCTGCGGGTGGTGCGGCTGCACTCGGTGGACCAGGAGGAGCGGAGGAGGCTGGTCAAGGAGGTGGGGGGGAAACATTAAATAAGTGAAACAACGAGTCCCAATCCTATGTCCCGACTCATGCAGTGAGCGCATTCGGAGAAGAATGGGTTGGGGGGTAGGTAGGGGGGATAGCTTGGTGGGAAGCATGAGATGTGTTTGTTAAGAAAACTGGCCGCGAGTGGGAGCGTACTGGACTGTCGGAAGATGATGTCACCCCCAAAACGCCACGGGGGACGAGGAGTAAACGGGCTTCCTCACCTGACCCTCCTTCGTGACCCCCCCAGTCCATTCGGGATTGGGACTGTGTTGTTGCACTTTTTTAGAATTCCCCCCCTCCCCCCCTCCTTCCCGGTCCCCCCCCCCCAGGTGTTGGGCAACCCCGCCAGCTTCGACGTGGCGGTCACCACCTACGACATGGTCAACAGCCAGCACTTCGGGCACAGCCTGAAACACACGCTGGTGGGGGGGGGGGGCCGGGGGGGAAGAATGAAGAATACCCTATCTCCCTATGTGTAGGAACGGTGGGGGCGTAGGGCTTTCAGACAGAAGCTGCTGGTAGGGGGCGGCTTGGGGCTTGAGGAGGGGAGTAATGGTGGGACCGGGCTGCTGCGCCTGCTAGTCTAACGCGCCTTTGGTGCTAGAAACACCAATAAACTACAATGCTGCAGTAATATTAATTATCTATGTGAATCAATGAAATGTTAGACAACAACCAATAAAATGATAAAACTAAAGTATGACATACGCCCGCAAACCTGCCGCCAGGTGTGGCGCTACCTGGTGCTGGACGAAGGTCACAAGGTGAAGAACGAGGAGACGCGCGTGTCGGACGGCATGCGACACATCTCCCGACAGCAGGTGCTGCTGCTGACGGGGACACCCATACAGGTGGGGGCGGTCGCCGGGGCGGGAGAGGGGGGCGGGCTGACCCATGGGTCGTTACATGCGTGGGGTTCCACAGCCTATGTACGGGCCGTGCTCGATGCACTTCCATGCATTAGTGGCATCCTTCCTGTACCTAATTACGGTTTGTTCTCCTGCGATGCGAGGTATGGCTACGTGTTATGCAGCAGCAGCTGCTGTACCTAACCTTCGTCCCGTTGCATCACGGCGTGTCTTGCTTTCCCCCCGTCACCACCCACCTCCTGACCACCCGTTCCTCCCCCCTCCCCTCATTCAACACACTGGGTATCCTTCTTCCCCCACCCTACCCCTCCCTAGAACAACCTGCACGAGTTGTTCGCGCTGCTGTCCTTCCTGTACCCAGACGTCTTCACGGACGCAACGCGATTCGACGAGGCGTTCAACCTGGGAAAGAACAAGGTGGGTTGTTTCTTTGGAGGGGGGTGGGCCTAACTCGGGCTAGGCTGGAAGGGCCGTGGCAACCGCGATGCTACCCATGTTGGAGCCTCGCACTGCAGCCTTGGAGTCACACGGTTTAGTTTCCTCCGCTCCTCCTGCAACCCCTGCCCCCCCGCCCATTCCCCCCCCCCCCCAGGTCGACCGCGCCGCCCTCACCGCTGCGCACTACCTGCTGCGCCCCTTCATGCTGCGGCGGCTGAAGGAGGAGGTGGAGGTGAGCCTGCCGCCGCGGCTGGAGACGCGCATCCAGTGCCCGCTGGCGCCCATGCAGACGTTCTGGTACCGCCGGCTGCTGCTGCGGGAGGGGGCGATGCTGGCGCAGATGGAGGCGGAGGAGGTGAGGTGGGGAAAATGGTCAGGGGGGAGGGGGAGAAGGGGTAGGCACACAAACTTTGCAGCGGAAGGGGTTAGCAGCATCTAGCGTGAGAGTGCAAATTCATAGGACAGCCCAGGGGAAGCTTCAATCCTCATCAGACCCCATGCGAAGTACCCCCATTCGCCGTATCCTAATCCGGCCCTCCCCTCCCGTCCCGCCATGCACCACCCCTGGTTACCTCGGCACCCGGCACCCGGCAAGCAGGCAGGAGCTCCCCACCCGTCCTCGGCACAGCAGCAGCCGCCCCAGCTGGAAGACGGCGGCGGCGGCGGCTGCGGAGGAGGAGGAGGAGGAGGAGGGCTCAAGCAAGATGAGGAAGAGGGGCAGGAAGAGGAAGAGGAGGCGGGCCCTGCGGGTGCAGGTGGCAGCGGAGGTGGTGGTGGCAGCGGTGGTGGCCGGGCGTCCAACTGGAAGAAGGCCATGAACCTGCTGCTGCAGCTGCGCAAGGTGGGCGTGTGGGGGGGGCGCGGGTACTGAGAACAACTGAGTCACGCGACACTGTGTTTTACTGAACTGAGCCACGCGCTGGGCGCGTGTGTGAGGAGCGAGGTGTATGCCGTACGTGCGTCAGGCCCCATGGTGCCGTACCGCCGTACGTGTGCAGCAACACACGCTTTCTGTGCTGCGTGGTGAAACCCGCCTTCTCCCTTCCCTGCCAGGTGTGCAACCACCCCTTCATGTTCCCGGATGCGGAACCCGACTTTGACGGCGGAGCGGGGGGGGACAGCGGGGTGCCGGAGGAGCTGGTGACGGGATCGGGTGGGTGGAGGGGGTGGGGGGGAGTGGGGGAGGGGAGGTAGGGGTCCCAATTGCATGCCCCATTCGTGCTGCTGTAGCACGGCTGTGCGCCCGGCTAAGCCGAATCCCTGTTCTGCCCCCAACTCCCCCATGGACTCTTCCTCCCCCCCATACCCACTCCCCCCATGCAGGCAAGATGATGGTGCTGGACCGGCTGCTTGCTAAGCTGAAGCAGCGGGGACACCGGGTGGTGCTGTTCAGCCAGGTGGGGGGGTCGGGGGGAGGTGTGTGTGTATTTTGGGGGGAGAGGGGCATGCACGTGATGTCGGGAGTTGCGGGTGTTTTTGCCGCTTGCCACCCCAAACGTGCTGCCCGTCTCCCTGTTGCCGCACTTGCCGTACACTTATATCGTTTGCCGTACACCTTTTGTTGTTTGCCGTACAGTTCAACATCATGCTCGACATCATCGAGGACTACCTGACCGCTCGCGGCTACTCCTACCGCCGCCTGGACGGGAGCACCAACCGCATCAAGCGCATGATCGACATGGAGCAGTTCAACAAGCCCGGCTCCGACATCTTCATTTACATCCTGTGCACGCGGGCGGGGGGGCTGGGAGTCAACCTGCAGGTGGGGTGAGCGGGACGACCCGCGACCCGTGGGTCGGTCCAAGGGGTCCAGAATCCGTAATGTTCGGTCTTGGTATTAGTAGTGTGAGACAGTTGCTGGGAAACCAGACTGGTCTAAACACACTAAGTATCAGCAGGCATGGGCGATAGGTGATGACGGTGACCCACTCTCTCCTCTCTCCGCTTCAACTCACCACCCCTCATCCTCCCCCCCTCCCCCCCCTTAGACCGCCGACACCTGCATCCTGTACGACAGCGACTGGAACCCGCAGTGGGACCTGCAGGCCATGGCGCGTGTGCACCGCATCGGGCAGACGCGCCCCGTGCACGTGTACCGGCTGGTGAGTGAGGGCAGCGTGGAGGAGCGCATGCAGCGCCGAGCGGAGGCGAAGCTGTACCTGGACCAGGTGGGTGGGAAGACCATACCGAACCATAGGAAACCACAAGTTAGGGCAAAGCAATGGGGGGGGGTAAAGAGGAAACAACTAACTGACTGAGGTGGGGGTGGGGAGTAGGTGCGACAGGATGGGGGATGGTTGATGGGCGGCAGCCGAGGGTTTCGAGATGCTGCCGCGCACCGCCGCCGCCTGGCTGTCCATGCGCTACGAGGTAGGCGATCTCGCGTGCGCTTTCAACGCTCTGCCTTCCTGGTTGCTTCCGGGCCTGCGTTGCATGCTTGCGTCGCGCGATCGCCTTCCTGTATTACTACCTGCATAGCAGCTTCATGTAGCCAGGCGTTTCTTCCTCTACGGTCTCCAGCAAGAGCCTTTTCACCCCGTGCTCCTGCAGCTTGATGAGGACGGCAACCTCGCCAGCTTCAGCCGCGCTCCGGGTAGCCCCACCCGGCCCTTCGACCGTGACGGAGCGCGCGCTGTTGCGGCGCTGGTGGCGCAAGCGCGGCGCCTGTACGAGCAGCGCGCCACGTACCGCGCCAAGCTGCGCACAACCGGCCAGCAGATTGAGCACATGCAGGTGGGCCTGGGTTCTTGGAGGCGCGTGGTTGCAGCGGTGTCAGGGCGGGAAATAAGAACATGCCTCTGGGACCTTGTGACGTTGTGAGTCGTCCATTAACCCTTCATGCGGTTTGGTGTATCACTTCAAGACCTTGGGACCACCCTTCAGTTTTCAGAACCAATAGGATGGTCGCAAGTCGAGCTTGCCCACCTCTGTTGACTACGGAATCCACTCGCCATTGCTGCCCTGCAGGCCGTGCTCGACAACGTGGAAGCCGACTTCAACCTCGTCAACTCCATGATTGACCAGATGAACGCCGAGGCGATTCGTCTGACTATCGAGACCGGTCTGCCGCCGCTGCTGCCGCCGGATGCTCCGCCGCCGGACGCCGCTGCACGGCTCAGCGAGCGCGTGGAAGGCGTGCGGGCGCTGCTGCAACGGGTGATTGAGGAGCTGCTTGTGAATGAGGCGGAGAAGAGGTGGGTGAGGGGAACCGCGCTTGGTCACTTCATCAGGCCGTGGTTCTGAACGGCCCAAGGCTCCGTGCAGAGCCCCTCCTCCTCCCGATTATCTATCCAACCGCAAAGTTGGGAGATACTAGCAGCCTTGCTTGCAAGCTTGCGTTAATTTCCTGTTTTGTTTTATGCTGCTTCCTCCCGAGCAGGGCTCTGGCCGACCAGCTGCTCAGTAGCGACTGCCAGGAGATGCCAACCGTGGACCGACAGGTACGCCGCTTCCGACGTTCGCGTAGCAAGGAAATCTTCTATAGGATAAGTAATAGCAACGCAACGTAGGAAGGCGCAGTGCCAGCGATGACGATGCGTCTTTTTCCACTCTTCAAACCACGTGTCTTGCTCATTTCTCCCCTCACGTCTACCACGAGTCCTAGCTGGAGGGGAGTGGACCTGCGTAGTGCGCTCGCAATGACCTCATCTGTCGTTCTGCTCCTTCTTCACACTCTTACTCCGCAGGCCATCATTGAGGCGTACATGGACAAGCTCAGGCAGCTGTACGGCACGTCACGCCGCGTCGGTGGCAACCTTGTCAACGGCGCAAACGTCAACCGCTCGCCACAGCACGCTCGCCGCGCACGTAAGGCCCCTAAGCTTCGCTTGTTAGGTAGCCGTTCACCAGTCGCGTGCTCAATTGCTGCTTATACCTGTTACTTACGTTTCCTATCTACCTTGCAGCCGTCGCGCCGTCGCCTCAACCGCCCAAGGAGCGCATGCCGATGCCCATGGCGCCGCCCATGGACCGCCGATCAGGATATCCGCAGTCGCCAAAGGCCAAGGTAAGGAACTTGTTGTGGCGTATGCTCAACTGTCCGACCGTAGTGCTTGAGCTACCAGCATAGTAGTGGAAACCATGTTCAGAAACCACGATGGCTTCTACAACTGGCCATTTGAGCAGCGCTGCTGTGTTGCTCGTCTCCTTGGCACCGTCTGTGCACCCTTGTTGACGAACCTCGGCTCACCCAACCCTGCGTGCAGGCCGCAACTCGCACGCACCACCAGCCGCACCCGCCCTCGTCGGATTCCAGAAACGAGGAGGAGCGCCGCGCTGCCGATAAGGCTGCCCGTGCCAACGCGCTGTCGGAACAAGTAAGTGCCTTGTACGCTTGCTTGCTTGGGGCTTCTTGTCTTTACACTTTTCAGTAGCCCGTTCCCGTTGCTTTCATGTGTACGCTGTTGCGTTTGCTGATGTTGCACTGCGGCCACTTCAATAACCCTTTGACCACAGTTCTCTGATGTGCTGCATGGAAAGGCTGGCCCTCGGCCCCACCGCGCCAAGCCACCTTCAGAGGCTGGGTCGCGTCCGGCGACTGACAAGGTGCGCTGAGATGACAGCTTTTTCAAGCGGGGGGCAGTGCCGTATAGCGCTGGCGGTTAGTAGCCACGTGCCTTTAGACCTGATATTGGCAAGAAGCAGTTCCGCTGGCTTTGACTCAGTACTAAGCACTGTCTCATTCATATCCTTTACGCAGGATTCGAGCAGGAGCGCACGCGAGCGGCCGTCTTCAAAGGAAGCTTCTCTGGATCAGATGCCTCAGGCCCAAGCTGCTGCTGCTCCTGAGCCCGACTTCACCCTCAGGCCGACCCCAGCACCGGAGCAGGAGCCGAAGCTCATGTCCAAGTTTGTACCGGAACCAGAACCAGAGCGGGAGCCCGAACCGGAGCCGCAGCCCGAACCGGAGCCTGAGCGGGAGGCCGAGCCCGAGCCTGAGCGGGAGCCTGAGCCGGAGCGAGAGCAGGAGCCTGATCATGATGCGCACCAGCATCATGCCGCAAAGGTATACCCTGCCACTGATGAGCGATCGTTGTATGCATGCTACGTTACATTGTGTGTGATTGCTATGTTGTCGAATTGTCAGGTACCTGTGCCCCTTGCTTGTTGTCATACCGTCAACTTCCTTTTGGATAGCAATAACCTTACTACGATCCCAACACTACAGGAGGCTGCGTACGACGAGCCTGCGGCTGAGGCGGAGGCCGCCGCAGAGACCGACGCGCACGCCGAGCAAGCAACTGCCGATGAAGAAGCCGCTGATGGACAGGACGCCGAGGAACACGAGGGTGGTCAGGACGCCGAGCCGGAACAGGAGGGTGACGCGGCCGGTGGAGATGAGGAGGAAGCGGCCAACGCTTTGGCTTCAAGTGCAGGCGAGGAGGAGGGCAAGGAGGACGGCGATGCCGGCGACGCTGGTGACGCCGACGAGGCTGACGAGAAGGCATCTAAGGATGAGGGGGCGCCGGCTGCCGAGGCTGATCCAACGTACGAGGACGACGCTGCATACGAGGAGGACGCCGGCTTCGAGGAGGATGCTCAGGAAGAGGACAAGGCGCCGGCAGCTGAGGCTTCTGGTGGTGCCGAGCCTCCGGCTGCTGACGATGAGTCCGCGGCGAAGGCGTCTGCTGCGGCTTCAGATGACGAGGGCGCACGGGAGGATGAGGCAGCGGAGAAGGAGGATGCGCCGCAGTCTGACGATGAGGGTGCACGCGAGGACGAGCCGGCAGCGAAGGCGTCTGCACCTGCGTCGGATGACGAGGGCGCTCGCGAGGAGGAGCCGGCGGCCAAGGAGGATGCGGAGCCGGCAGCAGACGAGGAACCGGCATACGGTGATGAGCCTCTGGGTGATGAGGAGGAGCCGCATGCTCCTAAGTCTGCCCCTGCTGCCGAGGGGGAGCCGGCCTACGAGGAGGAAGGAGAATCGGCGGCAGAGGAGTCAGCTGCTCCGACGGTAGATGAGAAAACCGTACACGAAGAGGAACCGGCAAGCGTGGGCCAGCCAGCAGCTGCAGCGGAGGCGGACGACGAGCCTTTCTATGAGGAAGGCGCTGCTCCCGAGGTGGAGGGGTTGTTCCCAGCAGATGATGAGGACGCCCCCGCTGCCGAGAGGGAGACTGCGTCGACGGTTCCGGAGCCAGCGCCTGCTGCTGAAGAGGAGGCGGCTCAGCCAGCAGACGATGAGCCTGCTTACGACGACGCACCAGCGGAGGCGGCACCGGCAGCAAAGGAAGATGCGGCCGCTGATGAGGATGAGCCAGCGGCAGAAGAGGCTGTGTCGGCGAAGGATGACGAGCCAGCGGACGGCGAGGAGGCGCCGGCAGCGGAGGCGTCTGCCCCGGCTGCTGAGGAAGAGCCAGTGGAAGAGGCTGCTGCTGAGGAGGAACCCGCGTCTGCAGACGAGCCAGCGGAAGCGCCGGCTGCCGAGGAGGCTTCACCCGCGGCAGATGAGGAGCCGGCAGCCGAGGAGGCGCCGGAGGCAGCTGAAGAGGCGCCAGAGGCAGCTGAGGAGGCACCATTGGCGGAAGAGAAGGCCGATTCGCCGGCAGATGAGGAGCCGGTCGATGACAAAGCTCCCGAGGCAACACCCGAGGCGGCACCGGCGGCTGATGAGGATCGTACGTATGATGAGCCTGCAGCCGATGACGCCGATAAGTCATCAGCGGCTCCCGAGGAAGCAGCGCCGGAGGAGGGGGCTGAGCCTGACTCCGAGCCTAAGCCGACGGAACAGGAGGAGGCCGTGGCGGTCGAGGCAGATGCTGAGGAGCAGCTGCGGTCCGAGCTGGAGGCTGCGGAGACGGCGGAGATGGAGGAGCAGATGGCGAAGGAAATGGAGGCGGATGCCAAGGAGTACGGGGCTGCAGCTGAGGCCGATGAGGTGAGGCGGGGATGTCCCTCAGGTGCTAAGCGGGCGAGGGGACGGCTACCGCATGCGCTAGCTAAGCGTTGCTTATTACTGACTGCCGTCATGTATGATTAATCCTTTGCGTTTCTGCTTGCCGGGCCTTGCTTGCCTTCATGGCTGTCGGTAAATCGCCGTGCTTTGGTGCCGCCTACAGGCGGATGCTGCGAAGCCCGAAGTTCCTGAGCCGGAGCCAGAAGCCGAGCGCAGTGCAGGTGCAGAGCCCGAGGCGCCAGCTGAGCCGGAGCCAGCAGCGGAGACCGAGCCGACAGCTGAGCCAGCAGCTGCAGAGGCAGAGGCTGAGCCGGAGGCCGAGACCAAACCAACGGCTGAGCCCGAGGCAGAAGAGCCGTCCGCTGCACCCGAGCCCGAAGCAGCGGAGCCACCTGCTGAAGCTGAACCGGCTGCTGAGCCCGAAGCAGGGGAGCCGGAGGCTGAGCCCGAAACTGCTCCTGAGCTACAAGCACCGGAGGCAAAGGCGGAGGCTGAGCCCGAGGCAGAAGAGCCGTCCGCTGCACCCGAGCCCGCAGCGGAGCCCGAAGCAGCGGAGCCACCTGCTGATGCTGAACCAGCTGCTGAGCCCGAAGCAGGGGAGCCGGAGGCTACACCTGAAACTGCGCCCGAGCTCGAGGCACCCGAGGCGGCGACTGAGCCCGAGCCGGAAGCTGAGTCGACACCGGCGGCTGAGCCTGAAGCAGAGGAGCCGTCCGCTGCACCCGAGCCCGCAGCTGAGCCCAAGCCAGCTGATGAGACCAAACCAGCTGCCGAGCATGAAGCAGCGGAGCCGGAGCCGGCGGCAGAGCCTGAGGCTGCGGCAGCACCTGAGCCGGAGCCAGAGGCAGCTGAGTCTTCGCATGCAGCAGCCGAGCCGGAGCCAGAGGCTGCGGCAGAGACGGCTCCTGAAGCCGAGTCCGAGCCTGCGGCCCCAACTGAGGCTGAGGCCGAGCCTCACGCCGAGGCCAACGCGGAGACTGCGGCAGCACAAGACGCCGAGCCTGAGGCCGAGCCGGCGGCTCAGCCTAAGACGGCGCCAGATGCTGAGGCAGACGCAGGGTCGCAGGAGCCTGAGCCAGCGGCCGAGCAGGAACCCGAACAAGAGGCTGAGGCGCATGCGGGTTCTGCGGCTGAGCTGGAGCGGGAAGCCTCGCAGGCGCCTGTGGATGCTGAGGTGGAGGCGGCACCAGCAGCGGAGCCCGAGGATGGTACCGCATCGGACCATGCTGCAGGGGCCGGTGCGGATACCGAGCCGGATGCCCATGCCGCGCCTGAGGTGGAGAAACAGCAGGAGCCGGAAGCAGCGGAGCCTGCGCCAAAGGAGGAGCCCGAGGTGGATGCCGCTGCTGTTGTGGACCCCAGCGCTGCGCAGGAGGAGGCAGCTGCACACCACAGCAAGAAGGACGCCGAGGAGCCAGAGGAGAAGGCGCATGCGCTGGATGAGCAGGAGGGTGCTCCAGCGGAGGACACGCCTGCCACTGAGGAGAAGGCGCCCGAAGCTGATGAGCCGGAACCGAAAGCTGAGTCGCAGCCGGAGGCGGAGCCAGAGCCAGAGTCCCAGCCAGAGCCGAAAGCCGTGCCGCAGCAGGAGCCCGAGGAGGAGGAGGAGCCAAAGTCGCCGGTTCGCGTCCACTTGCGTCCGGACAGCGCCCAGCAGAACAGCGTACACATGCGCATCAGCATGGATCCTGAGCAGCCGGTAGAGGGCGCTTCCGTGGGCGCTGAGTCTGCGGAGGCCGAGACCGCGAAGCCGCTGGACCAGGCTGCAGAGGCCTCAGCGGCAGCTGACGCTGAGACGCATGCTGCGGCTGAGCCAGAGCCGGAGCCAGAGCCGAAGGCTCCGGCTAAGGAAGAAGCCCCGACTAAGGAGGAGGCCCCGGCGGCTGAGGAGGAGGAGGAGGAGCCAAAGTCGCCGGTTCGCGTCCACTTGCGTCCAGACAGCGCCCAGCAAGACAGTGTGCATATGCGCATCAGCATGGACCCCGAGCAGCCGTTGGAGGGCTCTGCCGCGGGTGCTGAGACTGCGGAGGCCACGAAGCCGCTGGACCCGGTTGCTGAGGCCTCTGCGGCAGCTGAGACGCATGTTGCGGCTGAGCCGAAGCCGGAGCCCAAGGCCCAGGCTAAAGAGGGGGCCACGGCGGCCGAGGAGGAGAGGTCGCCGGTGCGTGTGCACGTGCGGCCGGACAGCGCCCAGGAGGATAGCGTGCGCATGCGCATCAGCACGGATGCGGTTGGCATCGTAACGGCCGCTCCTGCTGCTGCTCCTGCGGCCGCTGTGGACGATGACGCGGAAGCGGCGTTGCGGGAGGAGCTGCAAGCAATGGAAGCTGCGGAGATGAAGGCGCAGATGGCCGCGGAGATGGCGAAGGACGCGGCTGGAGACGACTGAGCGGCCAAGAGTGGAGGTGTACATGTAGGATGGTGGAGGTTCTTAGCGATGTAAGACGCAGGTGCATCGTGTGAGTGTACGGTAGGCGGTCGCGCGCAGGATTCTTCCGCAGGGGCTGTTCTTTCAGGGCACCCGAAGGAACAATCCGATTGGCATGTTGCATGCAGCCGAGGCATTACTGTGTGAGGAGGAGCATGTGGCATCAGCCGCGACACGTCGGGTGATGTGAACGCGGCATGGTTCGCGAGCTCAAAAGTGATTTTGCAGGGTGTGGATTTTTACGCTGGATGGCGGTGTGTGTTTAGATTCAAGGTTCGGGTACGACCAACGCGCATTCAGTACGCGGATATGCTAGAGCCCTGCGCCGGCTAAGGTGTGACGTGCCTTGCTTTGTTTGGGGCCTCCTTTTGATAGATTTGCAGGGGAGCTCTTGTGTTTACGAGGCTGACTTGCCGCTGTGCTACTTGCTGGAATAAGAGACCCGGCGGATGGTCCTCAGACAATGTACGGCTGCTCTAAGCCATGTTCTATATGCAGGGTTATGGGGGGCTGAACTTAATCGCGGGATTGCACAGTCTGCCTAGCAGGCGTTGCCGCGGAGATGGATTCTACTGCGCGTGTGTGGTGCGTGAAGCGTGATGCATCTTGACTAGTAGCGTGCCGTGACGACGTAGACGTTATCTACTTGACTAAGCTACAAAAGCGGGTACTTGATTGTGTGACTGTGTGACTTGCGGCAAGCTTATCTTGAATACTTGTGCCTTAGCAAGCCCGTTTACCTTTTGCGGACTCCTAGGAGTGCTGGGAGTACGATAGTCGTGCGGTCCTGCCTGAGAGTCGCAGTCCTGCCGAAATGCCGGGTGCACATGTTGGAATTCGTATGAAACCATGGCGGCTTGCGCTCTGCAGGAGGCTAGAGTACGACATGCATGCATGTGATGCACCGACATCGTTCGACCATCCGTTCGCCCTCTCGACATGCTGTGAGTTTAACCCTCGTGACGTCCTATGTATATTTGGATTGCGTGGCCGTTTCGTACAACGGACACCAATATGTGTACGTTACCTGACCCGCGTTAGCAAGGTTTGCACCTAGATTGTGGTGGACGGGTAGTATATTGTAAATGCCGTCCCTGCAAGCTCGACATGGTGCGTGCTCAAGTCGGGGCTGCATTGGGAAACGGGGGACAGGCGTAAGGTTTTCGGCAGCATTACTGCAGTTAGCAGGTAACCGCAGCCCAACCGGCAGCATCACCGGCGGCCGCTATTAGCCAATGCTCGGTGTGGGTGCACGCTGTATGCACGGAAAGCCCTGGGAACAGAGAGTTTCCTTTCTGCGTACAGCTGGAGCGCAAGACTGCCCATATGCCTCCTGTCGTGCAAGCTGCGGTGCAACACCCAAACGCCGCTGAAGCCCAGAACGCTTTAAGATTCACGCTCCGGCCGGTATACGCTAAGTAACTACGCTAACTATAAGTGTAGAGCTTTGCTATGCTGAGATACTTTCATTCGCCTCGCTCGTTTGCAAGCTATCGGCGACTTTGCCACTTGTGAAGGCTGAACCATAACCCTTGCGCATATACACAACATCAGCTATTTGAGAGATTTTACTTCCAGACACTTGAGTTGACGCGGACCGGGATGCTTGCGCGAGGCAACCTTCTGGGAAAGCCGGACGGGACTACAAGGAGGCATGAAGCAACAGCTGGATATCGGCAAAGTACTCGTAGGGCCTCGCGCACGTTGTGCGCAACACGCAACGGTGGTGCCGAGGCGCATGCCCAGCACATTGGAAGCTCCGACAGGCTCGACATCGATTTGCAGATGACGCATTCTAAAACTCACAATATTTCGACACGATTGCCGACACCGCGAGGAAACACCCTGCTCGTCTCGCATGAGGTCCGTTTCCTTGCTCTAATTTTATCTCCATTAACAATATCCTTTAACCGCAACCATTTGTAGCTAATAAAAAAGATGAAGAGTATAGTGTGCTGGGACTGTTTCAAATACTGGCTTGGCCTTAGCTTTCAGCATGGAGTTGCAACACCCACCGAACGCTTGATGGTTACAAGGCTGTTGTGCAGCACGCTACCCCACAACAGCTTTATCCGTTGACCCTGAATATGATTAGCGCAGGTTCGCGCTCGAACCCTACTCTTTGGGCAATTTTGTCCCTCCCTCGGGAACATTTACCTTTCCAGCTAGCCACGCACCAAATACAGCTTGTCCCCGTCTGCACCTGCTGCTGCAGGTCCTCCTGACAAGTGACACCAGCGATTATGAGGAGAACCGCTCCTCACCCCGCTTCCTAGGCCACCCCGGCGACCTTGCACAAAGTCAAGGCGCCTTATCAGGAGACGCCGCACAGCAGCAGCAAGGGCTCCACCGAGGTAAATGCCCGGAACAGCAGCAGCAGCAGCAGCAGCAACAACGACAAAACGGAAATACACCCGCCTCCTTCCGGCCTCCAAAGCCGCCCAGCGGACCAGCCGCCGCCTTGACAAGCTCAGTGGTGGCATCCGTACGGCGCCGTACAAAGCTAGGCGGCCCCGTACCGCCGGTTCATAAAACTGCATCACAGCCGCGGCAATTATGTTGCATACCGGCGGCTGCGGCTGCGGCTGCATCAGCTGGGCACAACGCAGGGGGCTTGGACGGCATCATTGATGACGCTACAGGAGTGGTACAAGAGCAAGCAGCAACTACTGAGAGGCTACTTGAAGGGCTGCTTCCCCGCCGCTTGTTGGGCAACAGGGCTCCATCCTCTCGTATGGCCTTCGCTGTCGTACTTTCTGTCGCCTTGGTGGCAGCGGCATTGGCCGCGGCGGCAGCTGTCATTACCGGTACGGCGCCATCCTCACTAGCGGGCCCCGGCATCGGCACGACCGGCGGGGGCCCCATCAGCCGTAGGTCGTGGTACGGATTGCCGTACAAGATGCCGTACATGCACGCCGCTAGTTGGGTAGCTGCAGCCATGCGGCCGCTGCGGCGCGGAGGTTCCGGCCTCAGGGGGGCCGCCGCGAGCCCTATAGGCAGCAGCGGCAGTACCGGTACCAACACCAACACCATCAGCAGCAGTGCAGCTGCTTCCAGCAGGGGCCATGTCATAATGGGCGGGAGCGGGCTTCACAAGGCAAGTGGCATGCGGCCTCTTGCTGCTGTGGCCGGGGATGGTGGTGGCGGTGGCGGTGGCGGTGCTGCTGACCCAAGTACGGGAGCTGCTGCCGCTGCTTCTGCTGCTTTTGCTGCTGGAGGAGAGGAGCTTCAGCAGAGTTCCATCCGTCCTCCTTCAGATCGTGATTATGAGTGGCGTGACTCTGCAAGAGTTCGTGTCATCACAATCGCGTCGGGTAGGGCTGTCAGGCGAAAGCAACAAAGTACAGCACAGAGATGAATGGATAGGGCATGGATCCCGCGCACCAAATGAGTGAGATCCGTGCGGCTTCGCTCCTGAAAACAAGCTTCCTACGTTCTTAGTTCCCCAGCTTCCAACCGGTTTGCCGCTTCTTGAATCTGTTATCGCACCCCTTGTTTCGTTTTTTTGGCTGGGGGCTCCTGCCCTCGTCTCCGCCCCGCTTCCCTCTCCAGGCGGCCCCAGCCCCTACCGCACCGACTGGGGCAGCTTGGCGGACCACACGGCCCAGAGACTGGAGCGGACGGACCCTGCCTTTCAGATGCTGGTATTTCCCTCAGAGCAGCTGGGCAACGACCTAGGTAAGCCAAAAACGCATACGCGTAGAACCCGCATTCTTCCATGCCGTTATCGAGCTCTCGGTCCGCCGGGAGCGTTACCGGCATTGTGCCAGTGGTGAAGTCAAGGTTGCTTCTTGCTTACTTCTGTTCAATCGCCATCCCCCCCCCCTCCGCCGCTGGGGACGCATGACAGTGTGCTTTCAGGATTTCCATGCTGCTAACTCATGCAGTCATGCAGTCATGTTTCATGCTGCAGTTGCAGTGTAGCCGTTGGCCGTTGCGTGTTCATTTGGTACTGACCTTCTTAAGAACTTAAATTACCTTGGCAAGTTGCCTGCCTTCTGCTCCGCAGGCCTGCAGCAGGCGTTCCTGCGCGCCCTTGGGGCCGGTGCGCAGATGCTGGTTGGGCTGGACGTGATTGAGCAGGCTGCGGGCCGCTTATTGAGGGTGAGTGTCGTGCAGGAGTGAACATCGTCTTTACGTAGCTGTGCCCTCATTCCGAGGGAGCACTAGCGATCCAGAAATACGATCCGAAGAGAAAAACGAGGTTGGAGGAGACCTTGGGGCCTGCTAGCAGTATGTGCGTCAAGCTGCAGTCGGCTGTTGGCTGTCACTAGTCCGCATGGCAGCGCTTTGTTCTTGCAGCTTGTCCTTTCCTAAGCCCACCCTACTTCCATTACGGGTCCCTTAAAATTACCCCACAGGACCCACGGGTCACTTCCGTGATGCCCAGCCTGGCCCTCTTCGTGGGTGGCTCCGAGCCCCTTGCGCACGAGCTTACGCGGTTGCAGGTGCGGATGCGGCAAATGGCCGTTGCATGTCTAGTGCTGTTGTTGCTAGTAGCCCATTGGCCGCTCCTCCGGCAACTGGCCTGACCCACCCCAAGTCCTCGATAAGCGTAAGCCCTGTTCTATTCGCAGCTCACCAACCATTTTAACGTTTCTTTTGCGGTGCCCCGTGTTGCATGCCAACGGAAATCTCCAGCGCGGGCTGCGGCCCCAGGATACCGGGTCATGGCGTACCCTGCTAGCCCGGTGAGTCACAAGTTGGGCCGTACGCTGGCAACGCAAGGAGACCGTACCAGCATTTGCATGTAGGCCGTACTCAGCTACCCGCACGCACTGGTATGGACGACCTTCAACATTCTGCATTCCCACTGCAGTTACAGTAAGGGGCTACCTGTGCTCATGCCTGTGTGTGTGGTTCTTTCCCCCTCCCCCCCTTCGTGGCTTCATATGGTTTGCCTAATTTGATCCGCAACCCACCCGCCGTCCCTCAGGAAGCTCCCCTGGACCCCGGACGGTCGCGAGCTCGAGCTGTGGGACAGGCTGCAGCTGCTGCTGGGCCGTCACGACTCGGATAACTTTTTGTTCGTGTACTTGGTGCTGATCAATCAGTACATCGCACCTGTACGGCAGGTGGGTTGCGGTTGTATTTTGCTTGGCGTACACCGGTTTATTGCCGTAGAGTACGGCAAAGGAACCGATAGTATTTCCTAGTGTGTTGTGCCAGGAATGCCAGGTAGCCGGTGCAAGGTAGCCGGTGCAAGGTAGCCGGTGCAAGGTAGTCGGATCATGTGCTGAGGAAAACGCGGCCGCAAGTCGCAACGTATGGTGATGTGTATATGTGTTACGTGCGCCTTTGTCAAAGGCTCCACCTGCTCCCGATTATGGCACCCGCTTCCCTCCTACAAACACAGGTGGCGGACACCACAAAGGGCTTTGACCTGCAGTCACTGGTCTGCATGATCCGACACTGCGGTTCAAAGTGAGCTGAGTCGCGGGACGGGAGCTGAGCGCGTGGGCCTCGCATGAGGCCTCGGGACTGCAGATCCCGCCCCTCCTAAATTATCCTGCACTATAATTTGCATCATTTGGCCTTTCCGGCACAGTTCCGTGTTGGGTTGCCTTCTCCATGCCACCTCCATTCCTACCTCAACAAATGACAGCATCCTCCTGTCCTCTGTCTCAATGACCCACGGATCGCTCTCTTACGGTGGTACTCACTCAGAGGCTTGCTTGTGTGCTTCTTCGCCCTTCCGGGCCTGTGCTGCTGTCTGCATGTCCGCCAGGGTTGTGGGTTGCTTGCAGGACGCCACCTGCAAGTCCGCTCTAGACTGCCTCAACGGGTGCACCTTTAACGACCAGGTGAGCTGCTACTTACTGTACGGCACCTGGACGGTTTCGTTTTCCATGATTTAATGGCCACCCATTAGCTCCCTTTGCCCATGCTTTACCTGAGCTTGTCTTTTGCATGCTAACATGGGTGTCATGTGCCTGGTTGCTTATCTCCTGAGCGCGAGCGAATCCAAACCACTACGTGCTCCCCAACCCTTTCCCTTCGTGATTGTTCCAAACCTAACCGGTAACCGCCGACCCGTCTGACAAGCTACCGGTACTAACCCAATCCAACCACCAAGGTGTGCCAGTACCGATGCATCGTGAGCTACGAGAGCCCCCTCCTGGAGCAGTTCAGCCTCTGCATCCTGCAGCTCCACAACTGCCGCAATCTGGATGCAAAGCCGCCGCTGCTGCCGGGTAAGCACCGGTGCCGTACAGCAGTAGGGCAGTTCTACAAGCTGCGGCGCAAGCAGAAGACAAGGGGGCAGCAACGGTGAGTACCTATGTACCCATGCACCCATGCATCACCCTACCTGCCCGCAGACCCAGCGCCCATGAGCTCCTTCCGCGGGGAGCCACTGAGCCACACCGCTGCGGAGGAGCTGTTCATTGGCTGGCTGGACAAACCGGCGCAGGGGGCGCCTGCAGGGGGGCACCTTGGGGAGCGGCCCGGCAAGGCGTTCAGCTGGTTGATTGCGGCAGGTAGGGCTGGGTGTGGGCTGTGGGATACGGGATACGGGGGTGGAAGATACCGGAGTAGTAGCGTGTTACCGTTAGTTCGTTTCTGTCCCTTCGCGCGTCGCTCGCTTTTTAGCGTTTGCCGTACCTCACTTTGCCGAAACTGCCGTACCGGTATCATTTTCACCCGCGCTCCAGCTGCTCCCATGCAGCCTCCCTGCGGCCGACTCTTCCTGCAACACATGCTGTCGCCATGCCAGCCACGTTTGCTTCTTCCTCTGTTACCCACCCTCTCCTTGTCCTAACCCTCACACACGGCCCCCGCCCCACTACCAATCGAGCCATGGTTTCAGATTCCAGCGCTTCACTTCTTCTACTATAAACTGCCCCACCACCACCAATTTCCCGCTGCCAGGCAAGAACCCCGCCTACGACTACTTCCCATGCCAGCACCAGATGTTCTACCGAGGGCGCGGCAGCGGGCAGATGTGGTACGAGCCGGTATTCAAAGCCATCACGCTGGACGGGCGACAAGTGTGGCGCCGCAGGGTGTACCGCGTGAGGCGAGGGAAGGTAAGGCTGTCGTCGAGGGAAGGTAAGGCTGTGACCGTTACCACATGCGAAGGTAAAAGGGGTGGGAACTGACACGCTGTATTATGACACGGCTTCACGGCTTCACGGGTGGGAAGGGGACAGGAGAGGTGAGAGAGGTGAGATGACACCAGGGTGCCGGCGTGAAGTTAAGTGCTGCTCAGTCGTGCTTGCGTTGAATGCGTTTATCTGGTTGTGGCTACCGGTATGTGTAGGCTCCAGGCACCTTCCATCTGTCGGTGCTAGACAACGGTGTGACCTCCAATGAGTTCTGGCGCATCCTGGACTGCGACGAGGAGCAGCTGGCCTACTGCCTGTTCTACTACAGCGGTGCGGCGTCCAAGGCAGGTGAGCTGCGGTGCGGTGTGGGAAGCACTAGGTGGGGGAAGCACTAGGTGGGGGAAGCACTAGGTGGGGGAAGCACTAGTTGGGGGGAAGCAAGGAGTGTAGAATGGGGTTTTGGGCCGAAGAGAGAGTGAGGGAGAGGGGGCCCGGGGAGACTATCTTGCACCCGATGCCCCGTAGCCCCGTTATACGAGCCATAACCATGCATTGGTTGTGATGCCGTGTGCTAGGGTAGCGGGTAACGCAGAACCCATCAACATTAGCACACGATGTGACGTGTCAGGAGATGTGCGTCCCATAACCCGTTGAGGCTGGTAGACATACCGGTAGTAAGCATCCTCCGTCGTTGCGAAGCCAAGGTACCAAACCAACATCCCTTTGCCATCCAACCATACAAATACTGCCCCCCCAGGTTTATCGTACAGCGGCGCCGTGCTGGGGACCCCCGACGGCCGCATGCCGGGCCCGCAGCACACGGAGCGGTTGCATGCTGCGCTGCGGAGGGCGGGGATCGAACCCTGGGAGCTCAGCTACGTGGACAACAGCGGCTGTGAGGAGGCACCGTTGGGGATCACGGGCCCGGTGGGGCGTGCTGTGGTGGCGGCGGGTGCGGGGTCGTGAGGCGGGGCCGGGAGTGGGCATGTAGCGGGAGCAGGAGAGGCGGGTTGCGGCGGCCGGAGGAACAATTGTGTGGTGTCCTTGTTGCCATTGCTTCATATCATGAGTGTAATATAGTTAGAAGCGGGGTTCCTTATCTGTACAGTACAGTAGCTATAGGCAGGGTAGACGAGAGACATCATGGTCCTCTAACCAAAACCAACCGTGCACCTTGCCAGCTGCAGCCAATGTTCGCTCGTGGCGGCTGACGGACCATGTCTCGTGCCCTGTGTGTGCTGGTCGGTTGCCCAGTGGCAGCTGACAGACTCCTGCATGTCACGCTACCCAGGCATGGCCCCCGTCTGCTCACGGCAGTGGGCCTTGTGCATCTCTGCGGGGCTTGTAGGTAGCTAGCCTCTGTACATTATCCTTAAATTGTGTACCTTTGCTTTCGTGGGCTTCGAAACCAGCCCGTGGATAAGGTGGACGTGTGCGCTATGAGAATAAATAAGAAACGCCGACGATCGTGTTACACCGGTTTTACCGTGCCCTTCGTTCTCCTACCAAGCTATTGCATCCCCCTAACCCATCACGGCTCTACACAATCATATCGCACGCGTCGTGCTTCCCCACCTCATTAGCCCTTGACATTAGCCCTCGGTAGCCCCCGCTGTCGTAATTGTTAACACAACCCCTCGGGGCCATTTTCACTGCAAGCGAGCGATGCCTACATGGCAGGCACATCGTCCTGGCCAAACCATGCTCTATGCGAAACCGTAAGCCAAGCAAGGCACCAAGACGACAGTAATGAAAGGAATTCGCCAAGCCGCATGCCGCCGAACTCCAACTTCCCAGCATTCGAAGCCAAATGTTGGTATCATGGGCTCGTTCATACCTCCCATGCTTCACCCAGCTGCGCTTGAAACAACAACGGCCACAACCCCAATCCCCTAAATCACAATCGCTCACTACTTGTTCAGCAGGCGCGCAAGAGCTCCGCAAGCCGGGCAACGTTATCTTCAGGAGAGCAAACACACAGCAGGGTTTGCCGCAGCCATGCTGATACCGGTACAAGCAGCACCAACCAACAGCAAACGAGAAACAAGGTTAGCAAAGGCCCCAAGAAGAAGTGGTGTACAAAAGGGTTGCTACACCACTTGCCACCATTGCCTAAACAAACAACCACCTTATAAACCTATTGGGGATTCATACCCAACCCCCAGACAACGGCTATCCACCTTCAAACCCCGTTCGAAATTCAATCCGAACCCCCAGACAACGGCTACAACGGCTATGAAACCAGCTACTAACAAACCCCACTCCCGCCCAAGGCTCTTGTTACCTGTTGTACCTGCAAACTGCATGACACAGTTACCGCAGTCTTACCATTCCGAGCATTCCAAGCAGGCATGGCGTTGACCACGACGCAGAAAGCTCAGAACGGGCCTAGCCATGCCGGGTTAGTTTCGCTAGGAGTCGAGACATCTCCTAGGATGATGGTCAGTCGTCGCCGTCACCATCACCGTAGCCGATGAGTCCATGCAGGGAGCCAGTAACCTGTGCGGTGGACGCGGGCTCGATCGCGGCAGAGGCGCCGCCGGAGACTACGGTGGCAGGGGCGGGATTGGCAGCTGTGGAAGCCCGGGCGGCGGTGACCCATGGGTCCATGGGACGGGGAGGGAGCAAATGACGGTCAGAAAGGGGCGCAGGGAGCGCGGAGGAGGGGGCGGGAGCGTCAGTTGGGGAGTTTGAGTGTGGTGCGGGGGCGTTGGAGCGAGCAGCAGAATTAGTAGCAGGTCGGTAAGGATACGAGTGGCGATGCTCCAGAAAGAATGGTACAACGTCTTATCACAACAAAAGATGACTTAGTCGGCCTCATAGCTGCAAATTTGGACGTTTCGTATCAGCCTGCAATTGTTTTCCTCTGCATTGCTTTCGGGCAACTCCTGTCGGGCAACTTCCCCTGCGAATGGGTCGCGTACCTCCTAGCCCAGCCGTCTGGCCCCCGTACGTTGCCGCCTGCGGCTGCTGTTGTTGTTGTCCCCCGGAGGAAGAAGAGGCGGGAACAAAGGTCACTCCACCCGCCCCATTTGCCATGTGGCTGCTCTTGGTGCTGTCCTGCATGCAGCTGCTTGTGGCGGCGGCGTTGTTACCGTTGCTGCTTGCAGCGTTGCTTGCGGGTTGCTGCTGTGTGCGCCCCATCGCCTGTGCGTACTGGGCGTACGGGTTGTCTGGCGGAGGGGGGGAAGGCCGAGCCTGCTCGCGCAGGGACGCAAGGGCCGCGTGAGAAGGGCCCGGCGGGAATGGCAGCAAGGAATGCCAGCGGTGTGGAGGTGGGGGCGGAGGGGGTGAAGAAGGGTGGGATAGGGAAAAAGGGAGGGCAGGAGGGAGGGCAAGGAAGGGGAGGGAAGACGCGCCCCATGGTGACGGGCGGGAGCCCCAAAAAGAGAGAAAGGAAGGGAAGGTCCAGTCAGTAAAATTGTCGCGAATATGGAAAAAGGGAAAGGGAGTACGAGGAGGGAAGACAAATGACGTCAGTAGCTGGGGAGGTCTAGCATTTACGGGGCTATAAGGAACTCAGGGGCCGATGAAAAGGTTGTCATGACTCCACGTCTCGGCTGTCGTTGCGCCAAGGGGGGTCGCAAAGCCGCTGCAAGGCAATCAGCAACCACCACCGCACCTGCTCCCCCTCACGAGCTTCCCGGAACTTGCGCTTCGGCGGACCCGATTGTTGTTGCTGCTGCTGCTGTTGTTGATGCTGATGTGCGGCAAGGGTGTGACTCCCCGCGGCATGATTGCCGGTTGTTGCGGACGGCTCTGATCCATACGACGAGTGCATGCCCGCGTAACTGCCTCCGCCCGGAGCACCCTGCTGAACTGCATGGGGTGCGCTTGCTGCCGCTGGAGGCGGTACGGCTGCCGCGGTTGCGGGCGGCGGGTGCATGCCGTACGGCGCCGGGGCTGCCGGCGCGGCGGGGGCAGCTGGCGGCGGCGCGGCGACACCATACCCAGCAGGTGGAGGGTGCTGGTGCGGGGGCGGGTAGGGGTTGTGCGCTCCTGGTGTTGAGGACTGCTGCGGCGGCGGCGGAGCTGCGTACCCGGGAGGAGCGCCGGGAGGTGGGTAGTGGTACGGCGGCGGTTGTGCCGTCGTACCAGCAGCCGGAGGTTGGTAACTGTACGGCGGAGGGGCGCCAGCGTACGGAGGCGGGGGCGCTCCGTACGGAGGCGGTGCACTGCCGTACGGCTGGGGTGGCGGGTACGGCTGACCCGGTGGGGGGTAGTACGGCGGGTGGCCTGGAGGAGGGTAGTACGGAGCTCCAGGGGGCGGTGCGGCTGCGCCGTACGGGGGCGGGTACGGCGGAGGAGCGCTGCCGTACGGTGGTGTCGGTGGTTGCTGCTGCTGCTGCTGTTGCTGCGCAGGCAGTTGGATGACGGTTGGCGGTTGAACGGTGTGCGCCAGCGAGGGGTTGCTCCGGCTGTAGTCCTCCACCACGGTGCGCAGGAGGTCCAACAGCAGGCTGTGTCGGGTGGGCGGTACGACAAAAGGGCGGGCATTGCAGCAGGGAGTGTCAGTATCAAACTGTTGTTGCAGCATACTGTAATGGGATTCCATTTGAAACAAAGTGTATTGCATGGCGAGGTGCACAACCTTTTTGTAAGAATCGCAGACTATGGCAGCAGCAAAACGTAAAACACCTGTACCCACAAAGCCCAACCCAAGGGCGCCACGCAAACCCCATGGGGGCTACCAACCAACCAACCACCATGACCCACCTCTTGGCGTCCTCTAGCGCCTTGGGTGAGGGGGCAGCGATGTGGACGTGCAACGGGTCCGGACTGCGGCAGCGGACAGTCGCACAGCGGCAGCACGTACGCGAGCACGTCGCACGTACGTCTCGTCACGGCAAGGTACAGGTGCAACAATGAGGGCGCAGTTATCCCAGCCAGCAACAACGCATAATAAAAAGTATAGTAAAGAGCATAAACCCGGCATGCTCTAATGATAGGGCCAGTTATATGGACTTCTTCTGGGTTGAGACCCCTAAAGAGGTACGGATGCGGAATTCCGTACCCCAACCTGCCCCGACGTACCCCTCCGCATCGCCCGAGCCCCGCCCGCGTAGCTGCACGGTTGCCCCCGTTGTTGTGGAGATGTGCTGCACGAAAGTGCCGCCTGCAAAACAGTAACAGAGCGCAGCATGAAACGCATGATCATCACGACAGGTAACACCGCATGAGGCTTGCGACTGACACGTCACGTCGGCGCTGTCGACAACAGTTCCTTCCACGACTCTTCGCGCATGCAGCCTTGGTACCCTCCAACCCGCACCACCCGTCGCCATCTTGAGGGCCCCATGCCGTCTGTCACCCTCACCCGGTCCCTTAATCTTCTCAGCCAACGGAAACGCCCCCGGCTGCGGGACGCCCGTGAACACCGAGCAGCTGCAGCCTCCCGCCGGCGCTGCTGCTCCCGCCCCTCCACTGCTGCTGTCCCGACCCGGATGCGACGGCGGTGTGCCGGCTGGCGGCGCCGTCGGGGGAGGGTAGCCGTACCCAGCAGGTGGCGGCGGGGCCGCTCCCGGTACGACAGGGGGCGGTGCTCCGTACGGTGGCGGCGGTCCGTAGCCCGCCGGAGGTGGTGGATGGTGGTGGTGGGGCCCCGCCGGTGGTGGGGCAACGCCGTAGGGAGGTGGGTGAGGGGGAGGAGCCGTGCCGGCGTGGTGACCTGCCGCAGGCGCGGGCCGGCCGGGGGGCATGCCATTCAAGATGCGCTGAATGTCGGAGATTGCGTTGCTGACCGCCTGCTGCTTTTGCTCGTCAGTCTGCAGGGTGTGGGGGGTGGGTCAGGGGATGGTGGTTAGGGGGTGCGAGGGCAGGCAGGAAGCTTTAGGCGTTTTCTTTCCGATGTGGACTGTTACAGAGGAAGGACAGGAAGACCACCAAGAAACCTCTGCGTTGGGCAGAGGCGGTACCCAGTACACGGCCCACTACCAGGCTGGTCCTAGCTGGTCTTCCCTTGGAGGGGCGTAGGTACACATGCCCGGTGTATGTGAGGGCCCCACTGTCCATCTGCGCGGCCTTACCGTTCCAGCGTTGGCCCCAGGCTTCACCAGGAGGTGCAACGGCTTATCCTTTCCATCCGGCGCAACACCCGGCGCATAGTATCGGCCCCTCGTAACAATGATAGTGCCGGTGCGAGACTGGATTTCATCCTGAACTCCGCGTTTGGTCAGGTGGATGCGGACCCCCGTAGCCGCGTCGTTGATATAGACCTCCCGTGAGTGATCGAATGGCTTTGAATCTGTGGCCACAACTGCTGAGTACGCAGCTATGACTGGCGCTGTGGGAGTAGGCTTCGCCTGCAGGGAAGCAGGACAATCATTAGGTGCGTCATGCGGTGGAAGGTGAGGTCTCAATTTTGGGCCCTTAGCCACATACAACAACAGATATTAGTGCTATGCTTATGGATTCGCGTCCTGTCCTTATGGTGCCTTACAGTAGAGTTTTCAACAAGCGCTATAGGGAGGAACCACGCTGCCTTGCGGTTTTCCACTGAAGGCAGCAAATGCTTTAGGGCGTGAATCTGAGTGACTTGCCTGGGCGCCAGGATGATATTTACTAAAGAGAGCTGCCGCAGCAGCTTGTGCAAGCGCAATATCTACAGATGGAGCCGCCGATCCCACAGCAGCTAAGCCACCAGAACCCGAAACCTGACCCAGCTGGGTAACAGTCTGAGGCAAGGTTCCTGGCCCCGGAATGTCCCATTTCCGCTTCTTCGCAGGCTGTTGGCTGTCTATTGCCTGCATTTGTAGTTATCGCATATACCTAGAGCAATAGTTGGTTGTAGACAATGTTTGTAACGGGTTGCATTTGGAAAAATGGTGAATTCGACGTGAGCCGATGAGGTCCAATGGAAATGGTTGGGGTCGTGGTTGTACTCATGGAACCCCACATGCTTTCTGATGCGCAAACTTTCTTGCAATTACGTCTTGACTTTCATTTAGGGTTTAGTTAAACTCCAAAAGCAGCCTGCGGATTACGTGCACGAAAGTCGTCAAGCAAAGTGCCAATAGGTCGTCGCTTTGTCAACGAGTCGCTATACTAAATCATTAATGTGAATTTGGCCGCCAGACGTCGAAAATATTTGACAGAAAGGTCGTGGAAAAGCCCCTAACGTCGAAAGCGGTTAAGCTTGCACACCTAACCGCAAGGCACGCACGCAATGGCGCTTTTAACGGCAGCAATCAACACTGGACAGGTCCGGTGTATGCTCATGTCAGAGACTTTGCGCTGTTCAATTATCTTTGACCCTCCACTGCCCCAAACTATCGCATCGCGCTGAACTTGCTTGCAGGTCGCGTTCCTGTTCGCCTTCATATGGTCATTCCTAGCATGGAGCTTAGCAGAATTTCTGCACTGGCTTAGGTAAAATTCCTGCGTAGCTGGCCGGACCTGAAGGTCCTGCACTCCATGCCCACATTCCGCCCCGTCCTCATCCCCGCCCCTCCGACCCTGTAGGCCCTACCCAGACCCCACGGAAGAAGATTCCCTTGAAGCACCCGATGCCGAATCCGCCAAGCTGCTGCTGCTTCCAACCGCCAAAGCCCGCAGCACCCACGACGCCAGCAGCGGCAGCAGTACGGCAGTAGCATCCGCCAGCGCACACGCCCTCACCGCATGCTGTACAACCGACCCACCGGATGCCGACAGCAAATCTTTCTCCCACTCAGCCAGTTCAGAGAAGGTCTTCAACAGTCGGATCTCAGCAACGGAACATAGTTTATACGCAAGCACTTCTACAATCGCTAGCATGTGGACTAGCATGGCTCAGTCAGGGCTGGTGTCATGTCTGCAACTCAATCGCCAGGCCCTGGTTCAGCATCGCCTCGTGCTGCGGGCTGTCGTTGAGTTCGGGGGCCTTATGCTGTGGTTCTTCCTGGCAGATCGTACGACAATGTTCCAGGAAGGGCCCAAGTCGTACAGTCGCGATCTCTTCATGCTTCTCTTCATGAGCCTGACGGCTGCGGCTGCTGGGAGCTCTCTGCAGGCATTACGCACGCCGGCGCTGTTGAACCGGCCGCAGACGGAGGAATGGAAGGGCTGGATGCAGGTATGTTCATTCTCCACTCGTACTAGGAAGGGCTAATACCCGTAACCAATCACGGAATCCGGTGATAGCCTTGTGCTTTTGTACGTGCTCTGGTGTTCTGGAGGGATGGGTTTGAGCAGGCGGACGAGTGAAAGGGGTTGGGTGCGGGCAGCCCTTCCTAACTCCCATCACCACTGACCCGTGGGTCACTCGGTGGTTGCCTACTGTTCTTCTCCTCCCCTCAGGTCCTGTTCCTGTTGTACCATTACTTCGAGGCCAAGGAGGCCTACAATGCCATCCGCATCTTTATCGCTGCATATGTTTGGATGACCGGATTCGGCAACTTCTCGTACTACTACAAAACCGGGGACTTTTGCATTGGACGGTAAGTAGCATTGCTGCTTTTGGTACGGCAACATGTACGGCAATGTGCGGCAACACCGGCTGGCGCGACACTCTGTCTGCATGGACGTCCTTCACCTTGGTCACCTTCTCATCCCCTGCTTACCATTCACGCGTTCCATTGTTGTGCTCGTGCCGCTGTCGCGCCGCCGCCCCATCTTCTCCGCGCTCCGCAGGTTCGCGCAAATGATGTGGCGACTCAACTTCCTGGTCTTCTTCGCCTGTGTCGTACTTTGCAACAGCTACATGTTGTACTACATCTGCCCCATGCACACCATCTTTACCGTACTGGTGTATGTCGTACTCGCCATCGCCCCGCACCTCAACAAACATCGGGGCTGGATGCTTACCAAGTAAGACGCGCAGCGCTATGCATACGTAGGAAAGGGGTGTGGACAAGGGGTGTTCCGACTGTGGTATTCCGATCAAGAAAGGGAACATAGCCAGGGTAGCATTGTACTACATATCTGTTGATTATTGGCTGCTCCCCTCTCAAGCGCCGCGTGTCCCTTTCGAAACTAAACTGGCCCTCCTTTTAAGTTGAGCCAATCCAGGTCCTGGTACGCCCGCATGCATCCTAGTACCTTCGCTCGGTCGGCTCACCTTCTGCTCGCCCCAACCTCCCTCTTATGGACCCTCTTGTTCTCTTGCCCTCTTCTCCCTTCCCTCTCCTCCCCTCCCTCTTCTTCATCCTCCCACGATCGACCCATGCAAGGCTGCTGCTGTCAGTGGCGCTGGTGTACGTCACATGGGACGTGAAGCGCGTCTTCACCGCCCTCTGGTCGCCACTCACCTGGCTGCTCGGCTACAGCGACCCGCGCAAACCCACACAAGACCCGCTGCATGGTGCGCTGCTGGGGGGCGCATGACAGGGACGGATACGTCAATAACCGTTTTCTCAAAACACAAAAACGTGGCGGGTGTCGGTTACTGCGAACTAACACCCCCGGTGTGTTCCGTATGTATGTACCGGTATGTGCCCGGGACCCGTTGCAGAGTGGTACTTTCGTTCCTCCCTGGATCGCTACGTGTGGATATACGGCATGCTGTGCGCCTGGATACACCCGCAGGTAGGAGTGACCCATGGGTCCGTCTTGAGGCCTGGCCTGCTGCTCTTCCACGTCCTTTCCTTGTTAAAAGCCAACTCCATGCTGTCATATCTCATGCATTCCATAAGTTGTAATACCTATAAAAATGCGTACCTGGACATCAAGAGCACCTTTCAACGCGAGGTGCATGTGACACTACACGCTGGCACCCCCCCCCCAGGTCGCCGCCTTCTTCAAGTTTGTTGACGACCAACCAGCCGTCCGCCGCTTCGCCTTACGCTCCTTCATCTTGGCGGCCTGCGGCGGTGCCGGTTACTGGTATTATTCCAGGATCTATGTACTGCCAAAATACGAATACAATGTCGTACATCCGTACACCTCGTGGATCCCGATTACGCTATGGATTGTCGTAAGGAACATGACGCCCTCGCTGCGGCTACACCACTTGCGGCTGTACGGCTGGCTTGGGTGCATCACCTTGGAAACGTATATTTCACAGGTACGGCAATCCCCAGGGCAAAAAGGTTTGCATGCATCTACCGTCATTATCACGCTCAGCGCATGCATGGCCACGATGTTCCCACCAGGCCCGGTACAGGTATGTGCACAACGGTTCGCGATCCTTTGGCTCGTCCCTTCCCACCCCTCCTTGGTCCTTAAACCCGCTCCGCTGCGAACCCCCCACCGCCATCCCCTACCCACCCGCTTCCCGCCCCACCCCAGTTCCACATCTGGATGAAGACGGTGTTGCCGAACGGGCAGCCCAAGGGCCTGCTGGTGCTGCTGCCCGGGTACCCGCTGGTCAATTTTGGGGTCGTGTCCGCATGTGGGTCGCTGCACGCCAAGTGGAAACGTGAATTCCGTGCTAATGCTTTCGGTTACGTCGTCATTTTGCAGTTCCGGTATCACACCATGCTACCTGCGCTGCACTTCATCTTTCTGATTAGAGCAGCTCGCTCCTGCAGCCCTTACCTGCAGCCTCGTTTACTGTTGCCTCTCCCTTGTGCCCTCCTGCTGCTGCTCCAGTGTACGTGCTGGTGAGCTACCGGCTGTTTGAGCTGACTAACGTGCTTAAAACCGCCGCCGTACCTCACTCCAACAACGGCCTACTGCTGCGCAACATGCTCCTCATGCTGGCGACCGGAGCGGCCGTGTGGGCTGTTGCGTGGCTGTCGTACAATATGCTGCTTACAACAATCAGTACGGGTAGTCAGCGAGAGACGTAACGGTATTTTCCTTTCGTTTGTAAATTTGGGAAGGGATGAGATTATGCCTCTCAAACAATATATGTGAAATGGTTTGATGCCCTGAAGGTTTTGGGAAAGCCAGAACCCACAGCTAGTACCGGTAGTGACGTCAATGCTGCCGGGTTCTCCTTGTGTAAAGTTGAGTAGGACAAGAGCAAGCAATTGGGAGAGGTTCCTTGTGTATATTGGTCGAAGTATTTCAACCACGCGGTCGTGATACCAATTTCCAAATTCCTTGCATGCTCGTACGGGTTGTTTGACGGTTGACATGCCGACCCTCGTGACCCATCTGCCATCCGTTTTGGCCCTAAACGCACGCACTTGGTGGTGGTCGTTTGAGTTGCTTCTTTGACGTAAGGGGAATGAATTATAGTATGATACCCTGATGTAAAGAGGTGCTGTTCTTAGCTGTTGTTCCGTGTGGGGACAGGGTAGAGATGCACTATATTCGTACTGCAGGTGCTGCGCTGTGATACCCCAACGACTATCCTGCGTCGTACCACTCCTTTGCCGCCGCGTCCTGGCAGGGAGTAGTACGACAATGTGTATGGCAACTTGCACGTGAGGCGCCCTTCCATGCTACCTTCTGTTATGACAATATCGACTGGCTTCCATGCGAACGGCATAAGCTATGCCCTCATGTTCCGGTATCCCTTCTTCCATTCATGGGCTAATGGCAGGTGCGTTTACTGACCGACATGCCGGCGTCAGCGTCCCATGCTAAGAAGTAATCATCAGCACTAGCCGTCGTGCATTGAAGCCACCTGCCGGATGCTTGCTGAAACAAACACGCACAGATAACATTTGACTCCTACCCCGAACCCATAACCCAACTGGAATCCAAAGCAACAGCCTCTTGCGACATGCCACAACCCATGCAGCTGCAATGTTCGATGAAACAATATCCTTCCGAACTTCAACGTGCGAGCTATTTAACTTCCGACGGTCACGCGACAATAACTCTACAGGTCTGTTTGGCTGCAACACCTCAAGTCCTCAAAGCACCCAACGCCCTTCCCTCCACGCGTACAGTTATACGACAACACTTCAGCGTTCGGACCCAACAGCACAACACGCCTTCCTTCAACTCCCTATCCTCATGAGATTGCCTACTAACGCCTTGCCTTCATCAAGCCACTCCTACAACCTACTAAGCAGTACTTACGCTTTACCTTCCTCCTGCTCCTCCTGCAACTGCCGCTATTACTACTGCTGCTGCTGCTCCGCGCCCCCCGCCGCCCCCCCCTGCTGCGCCGCCAGCAGCCCCTTCACGTGCGTCACCGCGCCCTCCACGTCACCCGCCACGTGCAGCAGACCGGGAGCCAGACCCGAGAAGAACTTCTCAGCCTCGGGCTGCGAGTGCGGGGTCAGGGAGGGACTTCACGCGGGAAGAAACCGGCATGAGGCGACATGCAAGGCAGCGGGGCAAGCAAGATGTGGGACAGGCAGCATGTGGAATGGGAATTCCATTGCTTGTGCAGTAGGCAGTTCAGTAGCTATCAGCTCATCCCTTCCCCAGCCGCACTCCTGACACCGCTTACGTTGGTCGCCAGCAGTACGACAGGTTTGCGCGCCTTGAGCGCCAGAGCCACCTCAGCTGCGGTACCGGGGCCCATGCCCACGGCCACCAGCACGGAGGCAGAGAGCGCGTTGATGTTGTCGCGCGCGGAGCCAAGACCCGTGAGAATGGGAATGTCCACAGCGTCTGGAGTGGAGCGGCGAAATTTGGTCACTTACTAGTGAGAACCGCACGAGTTGCGCGCACTACAGATTGCAGGAGAGTAAATTACTTATTTATGGGCAAAGGTAAGAAAACCGTACCGCTGATGTCCATCGCGTCGGGGCCGGGCAGGATGCCAATTGTGGTGCCTCCAGCGCTCTTTGCGCCACGACAAGCCGCATCCATGACGCCAATGTTCCTGCCTCCGGTCAACAGAAGCCATCCATGTGCCGCGATTTGCTTGCCAAGCTCCAGCGCCAGCTCAACGTGCTTATCGACGGGTTCCGTGTGCACCTCCGTCCTCCCAGGGCCCATAACACCAATGATGGGCTTGCGAGCGGCCATTATGAGTAGCGACTGCTCAGCAAATCGAGCGCTGTGTGACGTTGCGGTGTGTGTCTACCTAGGTTCCGAGGGGACACTTTACAACCTGAGGAGCTGAGAGCACATCTATGCTTTCGATAGAATCCGTTAACATCGCCACCACTTTGTACGGACTGCCCGAGTAACGAGTGAGTTGTAACGAAGAGATTGCGCGCAACGAGTTTGTTAGCATGCCGTACAACTGTAGGATCGTCTTGTTAGGGCTTGAAAATCAATTGGTAAAGCTTTGTGTTAACTCGCACATAATTGTGAGCCCGACCTCGTGCCCCCGCTTTGCGCCGGCCGCCTGAGAGCAACCGTCTATTTAACGCCTCGGGATACCAGCTTTATACGCGCGAGTGCATCCCGCACATGAACGCTGACAACTATTGAACCTTAGTAGCAACGCGACGATGTCTGTCACCGAGTTCTCGACCCATCAGCTGGTCGAAATTTGTGGGGACTCTGAGGACGGCTTCCGGGGAAGCTGGTGCGAGGCTGTGATACTCGAAACAAAAGGGAAAGAACGAATCCTCGTGCAGTATGTCAAGGTCAGTTCCCGCCGTTTTCGGCATTGCACTGCAACAACCCGCCCCTTTGAGCCGGTCATAGCGGCGGTTGTAGATGGCGGTTGTGTGTATTACTTGGTTTGCTGAAGTTGTCGTTCCTTTGTTCCCAACATCTTGCACGCCCAAGTTCGTCGACGACGACACCAAGCTCCCGCTTCGCGAGGCGGTTCTTCGTAAGCGCGTTCGTCCAGCACCACCTGTCGAGCTTGCCAGGTTCAAATCAATACAGGACCTAAAGGTCGGTGCATTTGGGCTTTCGCCGGCAGCGGGGGCTGCAGGGGGCTGTAGGTCGTTGCCGCCCTGCTCACTAATATCAACGGCTGGACTGCCACCGATTTGCGCTTACTGCTAGGATCATGCCTGGGGGTCCTACTTTCGTGAATATTCGTAGCATTTTTAACTTAAAAACTAGGCCTCCTGTGCTTTTTGTTTGCACGTACCCTACACGGACCAACGCAAGCCAGCGCCCAATCGCTCACAGCCGGGCTTGCACGCATGTTGCTTCCACACCGCCTTGCGAACCGAGCCTACTTGTGCATGTTGATCCCCCCCTACCCACATTGGACCTTGTCCACTCGCGTGTACCCATGTCACCCGCCACCACCACCTGCTACCCACAACAGCTCGGAGACAGCGTAGAGGTCTACCAGGACGATTGCTGGTGGCAGGGCGCCGTGGTGTACGTCGCGAGGGCTGGAGTGCAAGTCAACTTGTACGGTAGGAAGGCACACTTTTTCCAGTCCAGCCGCGGTTGTTAGGCTCAACTTGGTGATCTGGGTCAGGCTCCGAAGCACTCCTCTTGTCACACTTCTATAAGGACTATAACCGCTTTGCCATTTCTTGATGCATGCTGAAGCGCTGACCCTTGCCCTTGCTTCATGCATGCCAATTGCCAACACGCACGCAGAATCCAACGACTCCACCCTCTTCATCCGCGACCCACATGAGCTGCGGCCGCGCATGCAGTTCCAGACAGGCAGCTGGCGCCGGGTGGTGCCCAGCCGCCCCGCGTTGCGCAAGCTGGGGCTGCCGGCGAAGGAAGTGGAGGCGGCCGTGAAGGTGAGGTAGGGGATGTGAGGTAGGAAAAGTAACTGAGGAATGCAGCAACTGGCGAGGTGGGTTGGCGGGACCGCTCTCTTGCCGTCTTGCTGGGAGTGCGCATGCTGCAGGGTGCAGGCATGTGGGTTTCCTTCTCGTTAAGCCGTGACACGCTCCCCCCCCCGCCTTACCGGTACCCGCCCACCCCCCCACGCCCCCCACAGGCCATGCAGGCCGCACCCGATGTCCCCATGGGGCCGCCACGCCTGCAGCCGCCGCCCACCTACCCCACCACCACCACCACCGCAGCAGCAGGGACCTCAGCCACTGCCGTAGCAGCAGCAGCGGGTGCCGCTTTGCCGATGCCCAGTCAAACAGGCCATCCGGCCCCCAGCCACACGAGCCCCTGGGCTGCGAAACGCCGCTCCGCTGCTGCTGCGGCGGCGGATGCAGATGCGCAGGCCGCGAGTGGTGCAGTAGCGGAAGTGAAGAAGGGGCATGCTGCGGGCAAGGTTGCCGGCGGGGCGAGGGCTGGGGCACAGGCGGCGGGGGTGGAGAAGCAGCGAGCTGGGACGAAGCGGCGGCGGGACGAGGACGAGGAGGAGGAGGATGGAGAGGAGGACGGAGAAGACGAGGAGGAGGAGGAACAGGAGGAGAGGGCGGGCGGCGAGGCTGCCGGACCCTCCTCCGCAGCAGCAGCGGCTGCAGGTGCTGCTGCCGCTGACCCCGGCAGGCCCTCTCGCCCCCGGCGTGAGGGCAAGAGCCGGCTGGTGTACGTCAACGGTGTTCCCGTGCTCAAGGTACAACGGTGTACGACACTTTTGGGCTTTTGGATCTTCTCCTGGAAAAGTGGCTTTCCTGTGTTGGCCTTCCCGCACACAAAGGCCACCTTCCTCCCGCTTCCCCTCCTTCGCCTTTCCCTAGTCCCCACTCGGGTAACACCTGTTTCGTCCCCGGCCCGGGTGTATCTGCACCGGGTGTTCAACCGCAGGCCAACATGTACGGTCTGGAGGATGAGGACACCCTGGCGTGGCAGCGCGGCTTGCGGAATGGTGGGTGCGATCTGCTGCTGCTACTGCTACCCGTCCCTGTAGCTCCACCTGCTACCGGTGACTACTGCTTCTCCAGCTGCTGCCGCGGCTAGGCCGACACATTTTTCTTCCCGCCCCGCCTTCATACCTGTGAGGATAGCAGCTGGCAGGGTAGCCGGTAGTGCAACCTCCGCAACGCTTTCCTCCCACTTCCCACTTCCCTTCCCCCTCCCTATGGGATCCAGCCTAATGCGGAATATGTATCCCTGTTGATCTCCCTTTCCACGTTCAGGCCAAGCCGACTTGGGCGGTGTGCAGTTCGCCCCTCCTCCGGCCCCCTCGCGACAGCAGCCCCCCAAGGCCCCCAGGGCCCCCGCTGCGCCCCGGGAGCACCCGCCCGAGTACCTGGCCCGACAGGAACACAACAACGCCATCCGAGCAGATGCGCAGGTGGGGGGGGGAGGGACTGCACTGCATGTGCATGTGCATGCGTGTGTGTTATAAAGACTGCATGTGTGTGTATGAGGTGGTGGGGGGGGGTGCACGGGACTGCATGCGGGGGATTGCATGTGTGTGGGGGGGGTTGCAGCCTACCCTCCGCATGCGAGCGCGCTGGTGTCACCGGGCAGGTGAACTACCCCTACCTCCCTCACCCCTCCCATCACTTCCACCTCCCTCCCCCCTCCTGCTACCCCTCCCGCTCCCCAGGCCGGCCAGGTGTCCCGCGCGCGCTACCTGCTGCAGCACCTGGACCGCATCCGGCCCTTCATCACGCAGCAGGCGGAGGCCCACATCCGCAGGCTGGCAGCCGGCCCCGGTCCTGCAGCGCCGCAGCCCCCGGCCCCGCCTGTCACCCAGCAACCCGAGCAAGTGCTGGCGGTGAGTGCCGGTGGGGCGTGCCTGGCAGTCAGCCTGTGAGTCTGAGTCTAAGCCTGAGCCTCATCTCCCTGCTTCCCTTTCCTCCCGTCCTTCCTCTTCTCCCCGGCCCTCCCCGCCTTCTTGCGGCTCAGTTTGCCTAATCCCCGCCTGCCTGGCCCCCCCAACCCTTCTCGTCCCTCCCAAAACAGACGCTGCGCGAGTACCAGCTGGAGGGTCTGGCCTGGATGGTGGCGCAGTGGGAGCGAGGGGTGAACGCTATCCTGGCGGATGAGATGGGGCTGGGGAAGACGCTGCAGGTGGGGTGGGGTGGTGGGTGGGATGGGGGGGGTGATGGGTGGATGGATGGATGGGGGGAAGGGGGCACGGCATGCACAGCTGTCAGGGCCGCAAGTAGCCGGGGTGGGGTGATTGATGGAAGGGGGGGTTTGTTTTGCCATGAGCCTGCTACTACTAATCCAGTTCATAGCGTTCCAACCCCTGCGCACATAACCTCCCTTACCCCCCCCCCCCCCGCCGCCATGGAGCTTACAATACGGTTTGTTATTGATTATTGCTACTAACTACAATAAATTGCTATCCCTAAAATCCAGCCTAAGGCGGATTACGTCTCCAAATTAACCCCCCCGCCAGACCATCACCTTCCTCGCGCACCTCAAGTTCGTGTGCGGGGTGGGCGGACCGCACCTGGTGGTGGTGCCGCTGTCGGTGCTGTCCAGCTGGATGAGGTGGGGGGGGCGGGGGGGCGGGGCTGACCCATGGGTCAGTTGGCGCCGGATGGGGGTCCAAGGTTATTTATCACAGGCAGTTTGGGAGCTTCTACGGGGTTGACCCGTGGGCTTCCGCCATGTCCTTCGACCCATGGGTCGTCCCTGTGTAATTTATCAGTGGTCTCTTCAGCACCATCTAAAGCTGAAGCTCTTCTCACACCCTTCCAGCCTCCACACGTCCCCTTCACTCTCATCCGCTGCTCCCGCCGCATACCTCGGCTCCCTCGCCCCCACACTCCCCTCCTCCCCTCCCCTCCTCCCCCTGCTCCCCTTCCCTTCCCTCCCCCTCCTCCTCCCCTCCCCCACCCCCCCAGCGAGTTCCGCAAGTGGTGTCCCTCGCTGCGGGTGGTGCGGCTGCACTCGGTGGACCAGGAGGAGCGGAGGAGGCTGGTCAAGGAGGTGGGGGGGAAACATTAAATAAGTGAAACAACGAGTCCCAATCCTATGTCCCGACTCATGCAGTGAGCGCATTCGGAGAAGAATGGGTTGGGGGGTAGGTAGGGGGGATAGCTTGGTGGGAAGCATGAGATGTGTTTGTTAAGAAAACTGGCCGCGAGTGGGAGCGTACTGGACTGTCGGAAGATGATGTCACCCCCAAAACGCCACGGGGGACGAGGAGTAAACGGGCTTCCTCACCTGACCCTCCTTCGTGACCCCCCCAGTCCATTCGGGATTGGGACTGTGTTGTTGCACTTTTTTAGAATTCCCCCCCTCCCCCCCTCCTTCCCGGTCCCCCCCCCCCAGGTGTTGGGCAACCCCGCCAGCTTCGACGTGGCGGTCACCACCTACGACATGGTCAACAGCCAGCACTTCGGGCACAGCCTGAAACACACGCTGGTGGGGGGGGGGGGCCGGGGGGGAAGAATGAAGAATACCCTATCTCCCTATGTGTAGGAACGGTGGGGGCGTAGGGCTTTCAGACAGAAGCTGCTGGTAGGGGGCGGCTTGGGGCTTGAGGAGGGGAGTAATGGTGGGACCGGGCTGCTGCGCCTGCTAGTCTAACGCGCCTTTGGTGCTAGAAACACCAATAAACTACAATGCTGCAGTAATATTAATTATCTATGTGAATCAATGAAATGTTAGACAACAACCAATAAAATGATAAAACTAAAGTATGACATACGCCCGCAAACCTGCCGCCAGGTGTGGCGCTACCTGGTGCTGGACGAAGGTCACAAGGTGAAGAACGAGGAGACGCGCGTGTCGGACGGCATGCGACACATCTCCCGACAGCAGGTGCTGCTGCTGACGGGGACACCCATACAGGTGGGGGCGGTCGCCGGGGCGGGAGAGGGGGGCGGGCTGACCCATGGGTCGTTACATGCGTGGGGTTCCACAGCCTATGTACGGGCCGTGCTCGATGCACTTCCATGCATTAGTGGCATCCTTCCTGTACCTAATTACGGTTTGTTCTCCTGCGATGCGAGGTATGGCTACGTGTTATGCAGCAGCAGCTGCTGTACCTAACCTTCGTCCCGTTGCATCACGGCGTGTCTTGCTTTCCCCCCGTCACCACCCACCTCCTGACCACCCGTTCCTCCCCCCTCCCCTCATTCAACACACTGGGTATCCTTCTTCCCCCACCCTACCCCTCCCTAGAACAACCTGCACGAGTTGTTCGCGCTGCTGTCCTTCCTGTACCCAGACGTCTTCACGGACGCAACGCGATTCGACGAGGCGTTCAACCTGGGAAAGAACAAGGTGGGTTGTTTCTTTGGAGGGGGGTGGGCCTAACTCGGGCTAGGCTGGAAGGGCCGTGGCAACCGCGATGCTACCCATGTTGGAGCCTCGCACTGCAGCCTTGGAGTCACACGGTTTAGTTTCCTCCGCTCCTCCTGCAACCCCTGCCCCCCCGCCCATTCCCCCCCCCCCCCAGGTCGACCGCGCCGCCCTCACCGCTGCGCACTACCTGCTGCGCCCCTTCATGCTGCGGCGGCTGAAGGAGGAGGTGGAGGTGAGCCTGCCGCCGCGGCTGGAGACGCGCATCCAGTGCCCGCTGGCGCCCATGCAGACGTTCTGGTACCGCCGGCTGCTGCTGCGGGAGGGGGCGATGCTGGCGCAGATGGAGGCGGAGGAGGTGAGGTGGGGAAAATGGTCAGGGGGGAGGGGGAGAAGGGGTAGGCACACAAACTTTGCAGCGGAAGGGGTTAGCAGCATCTAGCGTGAGAGTGCAAATTCATAGGACAGCCCAGGGGAAGCTTCAATCCTCATCAGACCCCATGCGAAGTACCCCCATTCGCCGTATCCTAATCCGGCCCTCCCCTCCCGTCCCGCCATGCACCACCCCTGGTTACCTCGGCACCCGGCACCCGGCAAGCAGGCAGGAGCTCCCCACCCGTCCTCGGCACAGCAGCAGCCGCCCCAGCTGGAAGACGGCGGCGGCGGCGGCTGCGGAGGAGGAGGAGGAGGAGGAGGGCTCAAGCAAGATGAGGAAGAGGGGCAGGAAGAGGAAGAGGAGGCGGGCCCTGCGGGTGCAGGTGGCAGCGGAGGTGGTGGTGGCAGCGGTGGTGGCCGGGCGTCCAACTGGAAGAAGGCCATGAACCTGCTGCTGCAGCTGCGCAAGGTGGGCGTGTGGGGGGGGCGCGGGTACTGAGAACAACTGAGTCACGCGACACTGTGTTTTACTGAACTGAGCCACGCGCTGGGCGCGTGTGTGAGGAGCGAGGTGTATGCCGTACGTGCGTCAGGCCCCATGGTGCCGTACCGCCGTACGTGTGCAGCAACACACGCTTTCTGTGCTGCGTGGTGAAACCCGCCTTCTCCCTTCCCTGCCAGGTGTGCAACCACCCCTTCATGTTCCCGGATGCGGAACCCGACTTTGACGGCGGAGCGGGGGGGGACAGCGGGGTGCCGGAGGAGCTGGTGACGGGATCGGGTGGGTGGAGGGGGTGGGGGGGAGTGGGGGAGGGGAGGTAGGGGTCCCAATTGCATGCCCCATTCGTGCTGCTGTAGCACGGCTGTGCGCCCGGCTAAGCCGAATCCCTGTTCTGCCCCCAACTCCCCCATGGACTCTTCCTCCCCCCCATACCCACTCCCCCCATGCAGGCAAGATGATGGTGCTGGACCGGCTGCTTGCTAAGCTGAAGCAGCGGGGACACCGGGTGGTGCTGTTCAGCCAGGTGGGGGGGTCGGGGGGAGGTGTGTGTGTATTTTGGGGGGAGAGGGGCATGCACGTGATGTCGGGAGTTGCGGGTGTTTTTGCCGCTTGCCACCCCAAACGTGCTGCCCGTCTCCCTGTTGCCGCACTTGCCGTACACTTATATCGTTTGCCGTACACCTTTTGTTGTTTGCCGTACAGTTCAACATCATGCTCGACATCATCGAGGACTACCTGACCGCTCGCGGCTACTCCTACCGCCGCCTGGACGGGAGCACCAACCGCATCAAGCGCATGATCGACATGGAGCAGTTCAACAAGCCCGGCTCCGACATCTTCATTTACATCCTGTGCACGCGGGCGGGGGGGCTGGGAGTCAACCTGCAGGTGGGGTGAGCGGGACGACCCGCGACCCGTGGGTCGGTCCAAGGGGTCCAGAATCCGTAATGTTCGGTCTTGGTATTAGTAGTGTGAGACAGTTGCTGGGAAACCAGACTGGTCTAAACACACTAAGTATCAGCAGGCATGGGCGATAGGTGATGACGGTGACCCACTCTCTCCTCTCTCCGCTTCAACTCACCACCCCTCATCCTCCCCCCCTCCCCCCCCTTAGACCGCCGACACCTGCATCCTGTACGACAGCGACTGGAACCCGCAGTGGGACCTGCAGGCCATGGCGCGTGTGCACCGCATCGGGCAGACGCGCCCCGTGCACGTGTACCGGCTGGTGAGTGAGGGCAGCGTGGAGGAGCGCATGCAGCGCCGAGCGGAGGCGAAGCTGTACCTGGACCAGGTGGGTGGGAAGACCATACCGAACCATAGGAAACCACAAGTTAGGGCAAAGCAATGGGGGGGGGTAAAGAGGAAACAACTAACTGACTGAGGTGGGGGTGGGGAGTAGGTGCGACAGGATGGGGGATGGGGTGGGGTCGGTGGGGGAATGGGGAGTGGCAGGTGGGCGAATGGGGAGTAGGGGAAGGGTAAATGGGAAGTAGGACTTGGCAGGTGGGGGAATGGGCCTAACAACGCGGTCCGAGGAGAGAGAGCCGTTGGGGTAAAAACGCGGGGAGGGGAAGTGATGTATGTAGGTATAGTCCTAGACCAACTGGAGAGGAGTGGTAAGAGAACAGCTTCCTTCCCCTCCCTCCCCAACACCCCCCCTCACCCCTCCTCCCCCTCCCCTCCCTCTCCCCCCCCCCCTTCCCCCCCTCCTCCCTCACCCCTTCCAGATGGTGAACCGCGGCAGCACCGGCACCTCCCAGCAGCTGGAGGGGCTGCATGCGGGCGAGGTGCTGGCCATGCTGCGCTTCGGAGCGGACCGCATCTTCCGAAACGAGGCGGGCGACATGCCCAGCGAGGAGCAGCTGGAGGCAATCATGGACAGGTGGGGGGGAGGGGGGAGCAGGGGGAGGGGGGGGTCAAGGGCCACACCAAACCATAGGAAACCAGAGGTTGGGGTAAGACAGGGGGGACAGGGGGGGCAGGTGGAGGGGGGGTTAAGAGGAAACAGGGGGAAAGGGAGGGGGGAGGAGGAAGAAACGGACGAGCTGTATCCTGTATGACAAGGCTCGTCGCCATGGGGTGAGGGGAGGGGAACAGGGGGAGGGGTGAGGGAAGGGAGTGGTAAATGTACCAAAACCATGGCGGCCGCGAGTCGGAGGGGGAAGGCATGGGATAGAAGCAGCAATGCCATGGGGGGTGTGGCGAGGGTTTCACGCCGCTACGGGGAATGTAAAAGCTCCGCCCGCTTTCCTTGTCCACTTCCCCCCCTCCCGCAGGTCTCGCATGCAGGGTGGGGTGTCGGCCGCTGCGGCTGCCGCTCCGCCGGCCGCAGCAGCAGTCCTGAAGACGGAGCCCTCCGGCGAAGCAGCGGCAGCGCTGGGAGCAGCAGCAGGCGGAGGTGGAGCAGGTTCCTCGGTAGCAGGAAGAGGAGCAGGAGGCGGAGGAGCAGAGGGCGACATGGGCAGTGGTGCTGCAAGATGCAGTGGCGGGGGAGGAGGCGGTGGTGGCGGCGGTGGGCTGATTGCCAGCAAGCACACGGCTGCGGAGTTCAATGCGGAGACGGCTCCCGTGGACACGTTTGTGTTCCAGGTAGGGGGGGTTGGGGGGTGGGGGTTGGGGGAGGGGTGGTCAGAGGTATACCAGAGCCGCAAGTTAGGGCAAAGCAAGTTGGGGCAAGCCGGGGGGGGAGGTGGGGTGGGTGGGGTACGTGGGTCTGGATGTCCGGCAGCACCCTCCTCCACGTCATGGAGGGCTCAGCCCGGTGCCTGCTCCCCTTGCCGCCCGCCCCCCGACCTCCTCCTCCCCTTCGCTCGTCTCTACCCCCCACGTGTACACGCCATTCCACAACCCCCATCCCCCACCCCACCTCGTCACCTGGGTTCGTTCCCTTCCTGCCCGACCTAATCCGAATCCAACTCGATCCAAATCCCTCATCAGGGCAAGGACTTCCGCGCGCTGCGTGCGGCCTCAGCCCAGGCGGGAACCCTGCGTGACATTGCGGGCGCATTCTGGGCGGAGCAGCAGCAGCAGGGGCAGGGGCGGTCGCAGCGGCAGCGGCGGGAGCGGCTGGTGTGTGTGGATGGGTTCCAGGTGCTGCGAGACAACAACTACACCATGGAGGTGTGAGGGGGAGGGGTGATGGGAGGGAGGGAGGGAGGTAACGAAGGATGGAGGTGAAGGGGAGGGGGTGAAAAGGGGAAACTGATGAGCTGCCTGACGAGGCTTCACCATGGGGGCAGGGAGGGAGTGAGGGGAGGGGAGGGGGAAGAAGGATGACCATGCGTTGAATGATCGGGGGAAGGGATGGGGGTGACCTGCCAACCAGCTGGACTAACCCCGCTCACAGCTTTCTCCCTCTCCTACCTCCCTCTCCGGCCTACCTCTTCGCCCTGCCTCCTCCCCCTCCTCCTGCCCTCGCGCCACCCCCACCTCCCCATCCCCTTACCCCTGCCCTCCCACCCCGCCTTCCCCCCTAACTCCCCCCCCCCCAGGAGGGCATGTTGCACTTCGAGGGGCAACAGCGAGGCAAGGCGGCAGCGGCGGACGCCAAACGCAAGCCCCAACGAGCCGGCGTGGATTACGGTACGGCGGGTTACAACACCACCACCGCCTCCCCTCGCACCGCCCGTCCGCTTGGATCCACTTATACTGGAAGCCCCACACATTCCCTCCCTTCCACAGTCTCTCCACCTTTCATACTAACCTCCAGCCCGACATCACCTTCTCCCTGCCCCTCCCCCGCCACCTTCTTTTCCCCCTTCGTCCGCCACCTTCCTTTCCCCCTCCTCTTATCCCCCTGAAGCTGGGCGGGAATAATCACCCCATGACCTCTACCCACAACCTCCTCCCACCTCCTTATTCCCTTTGCCTTGCCACCATTTGTGCTTTGGCGTTGCGTTTATCCCCTCCCTCTCCCCCCCCCCACCGCTCCCACCACACATTGGAATTTCTTTTCCCCCCCTGCTCCCCCCCCCCCAGAGCACATGGACTTCTGCCTGGTGTGTTGGGAGGGGGGCGACCTGCTGTGTTGCGACCACTGCCCCGCCGCCTTCCACCCCGCTTGTCTGGGGCTCAGCGAGGGGCAGACGGCGCTCCTGGCTAAGCGCAATTGGAGCTGCCCGCACCACTCGTGCGTGACGTGCGAGCGAAACACGCAGCGAGCGGGGGGGCTGCTGTTCAGGTGGGGGGGAGTTAGGGGAACTGACGAACTGTGTGGCGTGGCCTTAGGTTGTTCAGGTGGGGAACAGAAGGATACCCAATGCGGTAAGGGAGCTGTCGAGCTGCCCTTGCTGCTGTCGAAGGAGGGGGGGACGTTTCTGGAACCGGCAGGGGCTTCCAGCACCGCAGTTCCCGGTGTGGGGGGGATAATGCCGGCACCACAGCCCGTGTGTTCCCGCGTCAACCGCCCCGCCTGACTTCCCTCGCCCCACCCCATGGACACCCGGCACATGTATTCCTATTAATCCCCGCCCCTGACGCAGGTGTGAGATGTGTGAGAAGGCCTTTTGTGAGGACGACCTGCCACCCCAGTATCACATGGTGGGCTAGGGCTGGGGTTGGGGTGGGAAGATGAAGATATGGGTCGGGGTGAAAAGCTTGGGTAAGGAGGATGAGGAAGTTACCAACAGGGTGACAAGGGCTCCACCATGTGTTGGGTGGGTGGGGGCCCGCGTGATAAGTATGTGTGGTAGTGTGGTAGGGTTCTTACGGCTAATGAACGCCCTCCTCAGACACAACCTCCTCAGTTACGCTCCCCCCCTAGGTTCACCTCAACACCATGCCCGGTTGCCCGCCGCCCCTCCACTACCCCCAGTCCCCCCCTCACTCCTAATTCCTCCTTATTTCTCCTTGCTTTTACCCCCACCACCCACCACTCCTCCGTCGCCGCTGCGTGCAGGTGGGCGAGTGTGAGATGTTCAAGGCACTAGGGCAGGTGCACCCGCGCCAGGCCTGCTTCATCCACTGCAGCAACCGCTGCAGGTAGGCGGCAGGGAGGGGGTTTGCTGACCCATGGGTCTCTCCTTGCTTACCTGCTGCTGCTATACCCCTATTCCCTCTGCCTTACTTTCGTCCTTCCTTCCACTGACTGCTAGCACAGGTGTAATGTGATGCCTTCATGTCGTTGCGTTTCCTTTCAGTTGTGTATGTCAGCTACCTCAGCCTGTCAAGCCCCCATTCCCCCCCAATTCCCACTCACTGCCTCCCGACCCCTCCCTCCCACCTGCTCCCTCCCCCCCCCCGCCCCCCAGGGAGCTTGCATCGGAGCTGCGTCCCCTCATCCAGCACTCCATGGCAGCCCGACCAGCGGGCGACACACCCGCAGCGGAGGAGGCGACAGAGCGGGCTGTCGCCACCACCACAGCAGGAGGAGCGAAGGGAGGGAAAAGGAAGGGGGCGAAGAAGGGGGAGAAGGCTGTTGCAGCTGGCAAGCAGAAGGTGGAGGCCGGGCGGGCGGGGGCGGGGGCGCAGGACGGGCGAGGTAAGGGACAGGGCGGGGGAGCGGGCAGCGGTGCGGCGGGCGGCGGGGCAGCGAGCAGCCGTCCAGCGAAGAGAGCCAAGGCATGAGGGGCCGGTGAGGTTGGGGCGGTGAGGCTAGGCGTGTGATTGCTTTCCGGGCCGGGGGTGTTGTTTGCATGGGGACGAGGATTTGCGGACCTGTGTGGGGAGAGCTGAGTGTACTCTTGTGTTCCTGGGTGCGTTCAGTGGTGCGGCTGGGTGCGTGCGGTAGGGCCGCACGGTGGTGGCACATCCCGCATAAGGGGCGTTGCCACCCTTCAGCTTCCGGGTGCCGCGATGAGAGGGCGGAGCGCGGAGTTTGCTATGTTTATAGAGGCGTGCATGCAACAAAGCATTCGTGACTTGAGCGGCAGATAGCGGTATAGGCGGTGTACATAGGAGAAGGGAGCAAGTTGATTGGGGCAGCTATGAAGGCTCTGCTAGTAAGGTTAACCTGCATCTAACGAGCAATGTTCCCATGCATGGAGACGACGGCGCCATCTTGTTGAGCACACCGCCAATGAGCTTGGTAAGAAGATTTGACTGCCCGGACTGCCCGGAGCCGTACCAGTACCAAAGTAACAATGCTGTTACGTGGCAGCCTGAATTTGTAGAACTGTACTGATCTGTACTGCATACTCCCTGCTAACTGTTATTCGACCCTTCCGGAAACGGGAAGCGGGAACGTTGTGAACTAGCGTTTTAGGTGTCGCCGTTAGGTTTGATGCAGCTTGAGATGCTTCTGACCGTTCACGTTTTGTAACAGTGGAGCGCGTACCTGCTCAGCACAAGGCCCGCTCTCAGCGAGGCTAACCCGTAACTTGGGATAGGGGGCTCAGTAGTACAGAGAAAATGGTTGGATGATGAGCAGGGCACAGGCATGGAAGGATGCAAGCACAGCACAGGCATGCGGCTGCCATGCAAGTTACCACACGAACATTCCAATGTACGAATGGGGCACGTACACAAGTGCACCAGCACAGGTATCCTGTTACCCCCATCTTGTCCACCGGTAAGGTGTGAGGTGCCTAAGAGGAGTGTAGGGCCCATTACGCCACATGCAAAGGCACGGACGATATGACATGTTATATCGCTGGAGTGCCGTTACTAGCCGTGTGTAGCTTTCGATTATCATCCCTGTCCCTGCTCACACATGCAATAAAGTCCAAACCCCGCAGTACGTGCCCTGAAGCATTACTCACCGCCAAGGGACGATGTGTATTGAGTATGAGGGGACGGTGAAAGAGTTTAGGCTCCTCTATCCCTTGCCTTTTACATATGTGTAGGCGCATCAGATCTTATTCAAGAATTTCTAGCACAATAACACGCATACAAAGGGTATGCAATACACCGCCAACCGCATGGACAAGCCACCTGCACTCTTCAGAACCACAGCCTATGACAAGCGGTTGGTCATAAGTAAATGACCTCATGAATTTAAACCCCTAACTACACAATGTGCCACAGTAGCCAACCACACGCCGCAGCTTAGAAAAGCAAAGTGTAGGGGTTCCCGGCGCACATGAGTCGCAGGCAATTCTACACACGTACACACGACAGCGCTCCTGCTGCCAGTAAAATCTTCTGCGGTATCGTAACGACAGCTGAATCCCATACCCGCCCTACCTCACTTGCACAACACTACCAGGGTAGTCACCATCGTCAGCCGCCGGTCCCGGCAACACCAATCGGGAACTGACGCGTCACGGAGGACGCCCCCCACGATGGGCTTCATAAACCTCCCAAAGGTCTCTGCCGGGTTTTAAGCACGAGGTTAAGTTTCACGAAGCGCCCCATGATCAGTGATCCCTCCTGAAAGAGAACCTAGTCCGTGAAAAGGAAGAGGAAAGGCAATGCAATCCAGAAGCCGCCGCGGATACACAGCGGCACACGCTCGCATTAATCATCATCATTCTCCAAAAGTACACTTCAATTTACGTAAGAACACAACCTCACACACATGTTCTGACGCCGATGCACGGTTCTTACCGTCACCACCACGGGTAAAGCCAACCCTGGACTGGAAAGAAGACACAAGGCACGCGATGCAAACAAAACCCTGGTAAACAGATTCATGGTGCATTGGCAGCCGTTTCGCTAGAACAAGACACTTCTCCCCATCAGCCCTATATGCGCTTCACGCAATGTCCATCCAAGACACCCACAAATGCAGTTTCAGGCCTTCGCCAACACACCGTACGTTTACCGCGCCCATCATCTGCCATCATTTGCATCTTCTTCAATGCCCTCTGCTCTTCATTGTCACCTGACGGAATTAAAAAACAAACCCCGTTCACCGCCGCCACGCCCCGTCGCGCCACACGCTCCTCCCCTCATTCCTCGACCGACACAACCCACATTATCCTAACCCCACATAACCCTAGATATTCCCTTAAATACCTGTACCAAGTATTAGAAGAAATGCTTGCAAAACCCATCACCGGTCCACCTCGCTGCGACTACGACGCTCCAGGTTGCCCGACACCGAGTGCCGCGTCGCGCTGGACACGTGCACATCCGACTTGGCGGTGCCCAGGCTGAGCAGCGTGTGCCGCTCCTCCTCCCGCTGCAGGTGGTTATGGTGGGCGTGCTGATGGTGGGGGTGGGGGTGTTGCGCATGCAACAAACCCGCGCCTTCGTGCCGCCCAAACTCGATCTCCCCATGCGTCCTGCTTCCGCCGGCGGCGCCGCCACCGGAGCCGCTTCCGTTGGCCCTGTGCAGTGCCTCCACCTCCATCGCCACTCCCGAATCCACCAGGGACCGTCCCGAGGGCCCCACCGCATGGACAGCAGCAGAGTGGTTGGCGAGGTGAGGCGCATGGGCGCCTCCGGCAGATGTCGCCTCGATGGATACGGAGGGGGAGGTACGTGTGGCGTGGGCGGTGCTGTGCTTGGAAGGGGTGCCGAGGGGGGGAGTGCGAGTGCCGTGGGCGCTGCTGTTGGGGATGCCGCTGCCGTGGGTGCGGAACATCTCGCGGAGGGTCTGACGCCAGCCGCCGCGGCGCCAGGGCTGGGTGGTGAAGATGGATTGGATGCCCGCCATGTCTGGGGTGCAGCAAGTGGGTGGGGTGGGGTGCGGAGGAAAGAGTAAGTAGCTGATGCAAATCAGATGGCTGGCGAACCAAAACGGCATAAACTTTTATAACGACCCATGGGTCGGCAGCAGCTGCGTGTCACTCACCCGCCATGGTATCCGGCATGGTGGTTCCCAGCGTCTCCGGCAGCGTGAAGATGGCTCCTCCAGCCACCAGGGATGCCACTCCGAAGATGATGAAGGGCATGGCGCCCTGACCCGTTGTGGCGCCCAGCAGCACGATGAAGGGCGCTGCGATGCCGCCCACACGAGCCGCCTCGTTCTCGGCGCCCAGCACTGCGCTGCGAACCTGTGGAGGAATGGGTGCGCAAGAGACAGTAGGTAAGCTTGGAAGGGAAGCACACTGCCCTCTCGCCGCATACAGGCATGGTAGCAGTGAAGCTGATGGCCGACCAAGAGGCGCAGCGGCGCCTCCCACATCCCAACACACCACCAAACCTCCCGCAACCATCTTGCTTCTCGCTCTGCTCGCTCCCTTACCAGCGTCGGGAACATCTCGCTCGTAAATATGGACGCGACCGTGAAGGCTCCTGCGCACCCAAATTTGCCCATGGCAGCCAGCACGGAGGACCCGATGCCCGGCGGCACGAAGGCGCACCCCAGGCAGGCCGCGCCTCCCAGCAGCATGCCCGCCGCCATGGTGTTGTGGCGGCCGTAGCGCTCGATCATCCAGGCGGCCAGGATGTTGGAGGGCAGCTCGGCGGCGGCAGCGATCATGAAGGAGACGTAGATGGAGCCTGTGTTGGATGGGAGCAGCAGGCCACAAATCGTGTTTGGAGAGAAGTTGTGGAGGGCGGGTTGAGTGGTACAGGCATCAGCTTCAAACAAATGACTCGCAGTGGGCCCATGCGCCACTCATGCGAAGAAGTGCGCAGTACATCCACGCCCTCGGCCGACAGCAAATGTCAGCACAGTTACGCGTTCCCGTTGTGTTTTGGCATACACATGCGCCCATCCGCCCGCCCGCTCCTCACCCGGCAACCCTCCCAGCGCCAGCGAGATGCCGTAGTAGGCCAAGCAGATCACCAGCCACACGTACGCAAGCACCAGGAAGCGCCGCAGCATGTGGCGGTCCTTCCGCAACATGGCGGTCAGCGTAACCGGCTTCTGGGGGCTAGCGGGCGCACCCGCAGCAGGAGCAGGAGCAGCAGTAGCGGAGGATGAGGAGGACTTGAGGGGAACGCCCTCCTCGACGGCTACAGCAGCAGCAGCGGTTGCGGCGGCGGCGGCGGGTGAGGGATCTGGGTCGGCAGCGGCGAGGGGCTCGGAGGGCATGGCACGGCCGTTGACGGCTGCGATGCGCGCGATGATGGCGGTGGCTTCCTCGCGACGACCACGGACCAGCAGCCAGCGGGGGGACTCGGAGAGGGTGGGCCACAGCAGCAGCAGCACGGCGTTGAGGACGGAGCAGGTGAAGCAGAGGGAGCGCCAGGGGCGGGCGACGTAGGCGACCAGGACCAGCAGGAATTCACCTGTTTGGGATAGGAGTAAGAGGAGGTTTGTTTTATGGGATGAGGGGTTATGGGATGAGGGAATTGGGTGGGTGCAGGGGACAAGGAGGATGCATGCGATGTGGGTCGGGGGGTGGAGGGGCACGGGGCTGATGAGGTAAAGGGCGTAAGACGCCTCCCGGGTACTTGGGCGATCTGGGTCGGTGGGCAAAGCCACCGCCACGCGAGCTGATAAAGCCCCGAAGCCTCTTACTACCCTCAGCGTGCTTTGTGATACCGGTACACTTTACACGTCGCGGGAGCCCTACACGGCATAACGCATTTCCGCACTCTAGCAGCAAAGCCTGTCGTGCTACTGTGCTGCCATCATGACACGTATCCGACGTATGCAGCCCAGTAGTGTACCCACCCGCGATGAAGAACAGCTGGGTGGCCACCCCAGCAGTGCCGCGCCAGGAGGGCCCGATGCTCTCGGTGGCTAGGATGTAGGTGGTGAGCGCCTGGCCCGCCGCGCCGATGCCAGTGATGAGGCGGAAGATGAAGTAGGCGATGTAGTTGGGGGACAGGCCGGCGGCCATGGTGAAGAGGGCGCCTATGGCGGTGCAGCCGAAGAGGACTTGCTTGCGGCCGCGGGTGTCGGCAAGGCTGGGGATGGGAAGAGGGGGTGGGAGAGGGGGATGTGCGATGTGGGAGGAGGGTAAATGTTGAAGGGAGTGAAGAGGGTTGCGGTGGCACAGGAGTAAGATGGTATGGAGAGTTGGGTAGCGGGAATGGAGAAGGCCATGACCGTAGATAGGGAGGGTTCGGTCATAACGGCCGTGAGGAAAGGATGACCCAAATCAGCACACACCCATAAGCCTGATTCCCCGTTGCAGCAAGCCACCGGTATTCCCCGGTAATGGAGAACGTGCCCGGTAGTGGAGAACGTGTGGAACGGATATGGGTTATGGTTCCCTGCTGCCAACCTCCCCCACCCCAGACGTAGGATGTCCCATAACGACACCAAATACCACTCGTAACCCTCCAAACTCTACTGGCCTCAACCACACGTACCCTCCAAAATAGCCGCTGCCAATAAGATAGCCCATGAAGAAGCCAGAATTGGCGAACTGGCTCTTCCAGGCGGCACCACAGATCAGGTTGAACTGGCTGATAATGGACTTGGATGGCTGCGTCCATGACCAAGAATCGCGGGGAAGGTCACACACTTCACGTGTAGGGTCCTTGAGGGCGAACACCTCGGTACATCGTGAATCGTTGGCGTCGTTGCAATGCCACCAGTGCTCCTTGATAGGTGATGGTGAGGCGTGGAAGACCATGAGGAGAATGAGCAGAGCTGCAGGGTATGGCGACGAGCGAAGCGTGTCACAAGCAGGTTTGCCTCCGGAGCTGATACTGGCCATGTTCACAAGCAGTAGGCGTTGCCTCAACCAACAGCACCTTACCGTTGCCGACCCAAAAGAGAGATGCTATTAACATCGTCCGAATCTGACTTCGTCCGAACTCGCCGACGTATTTCGTCAAGGCATCGTCGAAGCTTAAGCCACCCGGTGGTGACGTCCCGGCCGCCATGGTGGTGCCTTCCCAACAATTGTAACCGGGTCAACCGCTGCACCAAGCGGCGCCGCAAATCTGTAGAAGACGGCTAACCCGACGGGCACCCTTCTAGTTGTAAAGGGAATGTAATAACTACAGTACTTCAGATCACAGGGCTCTCAAGATACTTAACGTTCGGCGACTGTTCTGGCAGCCTAGGAAACGTGAGGAGGTGCTCACAAGTAAACTGTAGTCGAAAGGAATGAACACAGTCAAAGCAAAAGTTTAACGCGAATAGATACGTTGACAGAATAAGGTATGTTGGTCACGACTAGTTACGCATCTTCGCTACCGCAGGAATACAGTTTGTTACTTCCGAAGAGTTATATATTCAGGGGTCTCGATTGTTGCGTACGTAGGATATCGAGGCTGCATGCCAACGGCCACGTCAGGATTGTACGGCTGCATTATCTTCGCTTTCCAGAAACAATTGCAACAACTCAGCGTTTAATCGCGTATAGTACCTCTCCCTTATAAAGACCCTGCTACCTGACCTTGCCTGCCACTCTGTGTGCCACTGTCATGATTTCCCTTCAAAGACTCCTGCACCAGATAACATGGTTGCCTTTACTTTGCCCCTTCTTGCATAAGTCTCTACGTCAATTAAGCGTTGCGACGCCCGACCCAAATAGTTTGGAGGCTAGCTCTAGTTACCGGTATACGCGCTTGCCTTTGCCGCTCGGCACCACCCCATCCCTGCACCATGTTGTGCCTATTGACAACAAGGGCCATCCAGTGCAAACCTGGTGATCGCTAGCGTACTGGGGCTTTGCAGTTGTTCCTTTGCCGGTCCGTGGGTCTGCTTTGAGCTGTCTACCTGCAAATCGACTGCAAAGAAGCATGCCTTGAAAACTGTTTTCATTCAGGGTAGGTATGTTACTGCGACAATTGAGAAGGCGCCAAGCATTGCGTGTCGTGAACATATCGTCACCGCAGAGGAATCCGAAAACCCGCCGCTCTGTGCTCGCTCCAACATGCACGGATGCTATATATCTTAAGTGTTTAGTGCGTCTTACATTACATTGTGGATTTGCGTTGAGGAGCACACTTTTCCAACTTGCAAGACCTTCAACGGCGTACCGTTCCTCAATACTTACCTTACCTCACTATCAAATCCTTTACATCGTATCAAATGGAGGCAACTTTCTGGGATCAGCGCTATGGTGAGGACGACTTTGTCTATGGGCGCGAGCCCAATGTCCATGTGCGCCAAGCAGCAGAGCGCTACCTGAACGCCTCGCCCTGCCATGTGGTGGAGCTGGCGTGCGGAGAAGGGCGCAATGTGGCTTACTTGGCAGCGGTGGGTTACGCAACATACGGGCTTGCGTGCGGAACTGCCCCGCTGTCGTACAACCAGTCGCCAACCAAGCGGATCCCTCGGTCCAGACGTTTCGGCCAGACCATTAATTGCTTCTCAACGTTCACTGCCTCACGACAAAACACGCACTTCACTCCTAGGTCCACCAGCACCCCACCTGCCCCACCAGCACCTCTACGCGTCACCTGTTTTAGTACCGGCTTTGGATCCAATCGTACGGCATTAGTCCACCTAGCGCCTCTACATAGAGGCCTACAGGCGCCCCCTAGCACCCGCATCCCACGCAGCCACCGCTACCACCACCGCTACCACCACCTGCCAATCCCGAACCCACATCCCCCACCATCTACGGCACTCCACGCGAGCCACGCCCGCACCCGCACCCGCACCCCCAACACAACCCTCCCCCTTACCGCTTGCCATACGTCCATTCCCCAACATATGTTTCCGCATGAATGCCTCGACTTGCCTAACTTGTGAGCCAGGGTTGCTGTTCAGCATAACTCCGCCCGCGCCTAATCATCTCCCTTCCTAGCCGCTTTTGGTCTCCTCCACCACCACCTCATCCTCTACCTCATCCACCACCTCATCCTCTCCCTCATCCTCTCCCTCATCCTTCTCCCTCATCCTTCTCCCTCATCCTTCTCCCTCATCCTTCTCCCTCATCCTTCTCCCTCATCCTTCTCCCTCATCCTTCTCCCTCATCCTTCTCCCTCATCCTTCTCCCTCATCCTTCTCCCTCATCCTTCTCCCTCATCCTTCTCCCTCATTCTTCTACCTCATCCTTCTCCCTCATCCTTCTACCTCATCCTCTCCCTCATCCTTCTCCCTCATCCTTCTCCCTCATCCTTCTCCCTCATTCTTCTCCCTCATCCTTCTACCTCATCCCGCCAGGCGGGTCACACCGTCACGGCAGTCGACTTCTCCCAGGCCGGTCTCGACAAGACCCTGCGCCTCACCGCGGCTGTGGGCGGCCCTGATGCGGCGGCCCGTGTCACCCCCGTGCGTGCTGACATCCTCGGCTGGCGCCCCGCGGGCGGCCCCGGCAGTGTGGATGTGGTGGTGCTCAGCTTCTGTCATGTGCCGGCGGCGGAGCGGGCGGGTTTCATGGCGGGGGTGGTGGACATGTTGAGACCGGGTGGGTGGTGCAGGGTTGGTGGGTGGGTGGGTAGGTGGGTGCTGCAGCGAGGGAGAAGCCAAGCCGGGTGGGTGGTTGCGGATAAGCGTTTTTGCGAATGACTGTGGCTGAAACGGACTGTGTGATATTCCCCATTCCACCCCCTCCTTCCGCGCTCACTGCATGAGTCGGGCTATGGGATTGGGATTCGTTGTTTCACTTTTATATAATTTTTCCCTCCTTCCGCCCCCCCCTCCACCACCAGGCGGTCTGCTAGTGCAGGAGGTGTTCCACCCCGACCAGATCCACAAGGGCTACCGGGCCACCTCGGGCGGGCCGCACCAGCCCGACATGATGGTGACGCTGCAGGTGGAGGGAGGTGGAGGCAGGGAGGGAGGGAGGGTCGTGGAGGGAGGGAGGAGTAGTGAAGCACATCACCCGCTTCCAAGTGGAGGGGTGGTGAGAGGGGGTTACTGCAGCACGCAGGGCGGGTTTCGTGCAATGTTGTGCGCCAATGTCTGTGTTGGCCGGCACACCTGGCTGGTTCACCGCATCACAACCCCTGCAGTCCTGCTCCCTAGCCCACCGCCCTCCCTCCCTGTCCCTACCACACCCTCCCAGGAGTTGCGCTCACAGCTGTCAGCCGCGGGCGGTACCGAGCTGGAGGGGCAGGAGCTGGAGTATGTGCTGCAGGTGGGAGGTGGCAGCGTGGCACGCTGGTAGATGAAGCGACAGGGGAGGGCTGCTATTGATTTCGACTATACCGATTCCGAGTCCTCCCTTGCCCTGTTAATTACCGGTACATCAGGGTACATGTCCTTTTATCTGTCACATCAACACTGACAGTCAATCCTGGTATGCCGTACGCATGTACTGCTGTTGCCGTACGCCGTACATGCAGGAGGGGCGGTTGCATGCGGGCCTGGGCGCCGTGACGCGCTACGTGTGGCGCAAGGCGACGGAGGCGGCGGCCTGACGTGTAGAGGCCCGTGTGCTGCGATCGCCCACTGCTCGCCGGCCCCCAACCTGCCATCTAGCTATAGTGTAATTGCTACAATAACCCACTACCCAGTGCTACAGCTTCGTGCCACAGCTATGTTGCGCTACCATCATGAGCTCATGAGGCAGCCTGGGTTGTCCAAAGTTGCATTGCCACATTGCAGGGCCACGGCACGGGCGGACATGGGCTGTGCGCAATGCCTCTCATTACGTTACCAGTAGCACCGGTAGCATCAAGCAAACACTCGCATCCCGCAACGACGACAGCCACATCCACACCACCACACCACGTAAGTCACGAATAGCTTTTCCGTTACACAGTTGTCCCCGTGTCGAGGGTCGTGCCCGGTGCTGACAACCTGCACCTGCAGGTGCCCACGTTGCAGGCAACACCCATGCGAAACACCGCTCCGACACAAGCAGCAGCAGCACACGAACCACGAACCCACATAGCGCATGGATCGATGGATGTGGGTCGCCCAGCTGCGGCTGCTGTTGTTCCCGACAGCGCGCCTTTGCCATCACCAAAAGAGGGCCCGGGTGCAAGTAGATTCCATCTCCAACCTCAAGAGCCCCATCACACCCATAAGCCATATCAAAGCAAAACCCTAGCTACCGTAACTAAACCCGCCTGCCCTAAACAGCCAAACGTGACGCAATGGCCTTGCCGCAAATCTTTACTTGCTGTACTTCCAACCTGTACGGTACTTCCAAAGCAGGCCGTCCCAGTTCTGCGCCACCAAGCCACCATGCCTCACCGCCGCCCCTTCCCCTGCCGCCCCTTTACGCCCCTCTTCTTAGTCGCTGTCCCGCCCGGCTTCCCCTCCCTGGCCCCTCCGCTCCCCTGCTTCTGCACCGCCCCCTTGCACATCCCCGCATGCCCCGAAGCCCAGTGTGCATTCCGACACACCGTGCTACAATACCTCACCGCCCCACAACCCCCGCCACATGCCTCGCTCCCACCACCCGCCATCAGAACCGCCTCGCTGTTTCCGCTGCAGTTGATGCAGCCGGGATTCGAGCAGGGGCTCAGGAGCCACCGCAGCGTGCTGGGAGCAGGCAGGACCAGCGTGCCATCCGGCCTCATCAGCAGTTCGGGTTGCATGGAGGCGTCATCACCACCACTATCGATACCACCATCGTTGCTGTCACCATTACTGTTGCTGGGGTCAAGCGGGCCTGGTTGCTTGGTTGTTGGCGATTGTGACGGCGGTGGGGAGGACGCGGCCGGTGGGGGCTCTGGGATCGCAGCAGCAGCAGCAGCGGAGCCGGAGCCACCTGCAGGTGGGCCGCGAGAGCCCGAGCTGCTGGCTTCAGACAGACAAACCCTGAGGTCCGCAATTAGAGCTTCCAGCCGCGTGCAGACGTCTTCCCACGGGGGCCTCCCGTATGGCCAGTCAGGCTCCGTTCCTTCCTTGCAAGCGATTAAGCGTTCCACGGTCTCCTTGGCGGAGCAGCTGCCACCATTGCACGCTTCAGCGTTTTCAACCTGCGACGAGAACACTCTGATTACCAGCAGGTTACGTCTCCGGCCGCCTTGGCGATCCGGCTTGCCTATTTTGCGGGCCCATTGATCCTCTAAGGCCTGTAACCCATGTTCGTTCACAAAGTCCAAAAGCATCTGATCGTCGAGTTGTGAAATGCGAGGAACTTCGATGTGCCGGAATGCGAGGTCTAGAGAGTCCATGCACACTAACACCCGGCGCCATTCCGCTGATGCCATCGCCGCCACCGCTGCCACGCCGCTGCCGTCGGCAGTCTCCGCCGCCGGCTCATCAGCCCCTGCCGCGGCCTCACCACGCAAGCCCCCCTCGACGCCGCCTGCTGCCCTGCCCCGCCCCTCCGCCGCCACTGCTCCTCCGCCACCGCCACCATCGTCGCCGTCGCGGCGCGCACCTGGCTCAGCCAGCAATGGCATTACCCCGTTATCCGCAACCATTCCAACACCCGCCGATAAGAACTCCAAACAGCGTTGGGCCGGCGGCAGGACGTTGATTGCATCCGGATTGCACTCAAACAGCGCGTTGGCTGCCTTCAGCGCATCCGGAAGCAGGTGCACTGCTGCGAATGCCAGGAGCTGCATCATCTGCGTGACATGAGGTAGCGCAGCGCGTGTTGCGGCAGCCATGGACCCATGGGCTGGTACCGACCCATGGGTCACGACCGCAGGAGAACCGCTTGCGTCGTCTTGGCTGGTAATTGCCGTACTGCTTTCTGGCTGGGGTGGGTCCTGGCATGAAGGGTTGCCGGAGGCATGACCGCTGCTTCTGGCGTGCTCGTCATTGGGCTCGGGGCCAGTGTCAGCAGCTGCAACTTCGCTGCCACTGCTGCTGCTTCTGTTGTCGCTGCTGTGGGCTGGGTTACTGCTGCTGCAGCTCATGACATCGGTAGCGCGGCCGTCACCGCCGCCGCCGCCGCCGCTGCTGCAGATTTCATGCGCTTCACCACCATCCCGGCTTCGTTGTCCTTCGCTGCTGCTACGGACCGCAGCAGCGGTCACAGGTTTGACGTTGCTGTTGCCGCCACCCTCAATAGCAGCGCCGAAGACGTCCGCTTTCTTGCCACCATACGTCCAACTCACATCATATGCATCCCCCTCTAGCCACGCCTCCCCAGCGCCCATTGCTAGCAACGGCCCAACCGCCGCCAGACCCTCCCACGCATGTCGTAGCCAATCCGGAACCACCTTCCCATCACCGCTGCTACTGCTGCTGCCGCCAGCAGCCGACGCCTGTTGCTTCTCGTCCTTCGTACGACCCACATCGGTCTTAGCACCTGCCGTACGCCATTTGGCCGCCAGGACTCGCAGTACCTTTGCCGTCGTGACCATGAGTGCTGCCACCTGATGTGGGTCGGCGAAGGCTAGCGTCTGCCGGCACAGCGTGGGATTGCCTAGGAGGGGCCCCAGGGCGGCAACCAGAAAGCGCGGCTCTCGGGGGAGCAGTCGGGCAGTGCTGCGGAGGAGGGCTTCCACTGCATCTGGCAGGCCGGCAGACAGGGCAGCGGAGACGTCCAGGGAGGAGGGTGCCGGCGGGATGCAGAGGAGGCCTGCTTAAGGGTGGCGGGGGGAAAGCAGCAAAAGGGATCAGTAATTGAAGTAGTGGTTTAGGCAGGAGGAATTGAAAGAGGGAGGGAGTAGTGTTTTCCCCAGCTCCCCTTGCTCCTCATCGCTGTTGCCCCGCCAGCCCAGTCCTCACCTCCTCCCACAGCGCCACCGCTCCCATGCGCCTTCCCCCGCCAGCTGCTGCTGCCGCTGCTGCTGCCGCTCTCCAGCCGTACCAGCGCCAACAGGCTCGTTGCCGAATCCACGTACGACACAGATGACGAGGAGGATGAGCAAGACGCTGCCGTTGCGAGCCCCCGCAGCTGCGCGCACAGAACCGTCCACCACTCCCCAACACGCCACCGCATGGCATCGGACGGGTGCTGCTGCTCCCGCTGCGACATCGCCGCAGAAGCTGCAGCAGAGGGAGTCGAAGGTGGTGCTGAAGGTGCTGAGGTTGAGGCGGCGGAGGTTGCGGATACGGGTGCAGATGAGCAAGGCTGCCGAACATCCCAGTAGGGACGAAGTACCTGTCGACTCGTCCGCAGGGCCTCCACCACGAGCTCGACCAAAGGCGCATCGGCCAAGCGGACCTGAGAAGCCTGCTGCTGCGTGCAGGCGGCGCGGGCCGCTTTACCACCTCTCAACTGCCCTGCCGCCGCCGCCGCCGGTGCAGCTGCTGCTGCTGCTTCGCCAGCTGGGGCAGCCAGCGCGCACCACTGGCGCTCTCCCAGCCGCGCGAGTCGCATGCACATGCGGTGCAACATGTGGGGCTTCAGCATGCGCGGCTGGAGCTGCGGCAGCCGCTGCGGGTCTGCGCTGGGTACGCTTGAGAGGTGCCAGGGATGGTGGTCGGGTAGCTGCTGGTGCGCTGCAGCTCTCTCCAGACCCAAGGGGACCCGCCACAGGCGCAGCGCGCACAGCACAAGCTCCGGAGATACCGCCAGCGGCGGCTGCGCCCCGGGAGCCCCCGCAGCGTTAGCACCCCCTCCGCCCTTGCGCTTCGACTGTCGGCTGCCTCCAGAAGCTTCTCCCTTCGCCGGCTCTTCCTGCGTCCTTTGCTGACCGCCTTGACCTCCCTCGGCGGTGGGTGAGGAGCTCGCCGGGGGCCGCGGCGGCGGTGGCGGCACCCGCACCTGAACCAGCCCGCTGCAGCTGCCGCTCTGGTGATCCTCGCCCCAAAGGGGCAGCTGCAGTGCGTCTGCAGGTATGCCGTACAGTTTGCCACCTCCGTCCCCGTCTCTCTCACCGTGGCCCTCCTCCGCAGCGGCGCAGAGCTGCACCGTGTGGCTCAGCAGCAGCCACTGCACGCAGGGGCCGGAGGCGGCCGAGAACGGCAGGGAGTGCGGCAGAGTGTACGACAGCGCGTCAGCCGAGGCTGTGTACGGCAAAGTGTTCGGCAAACCGTTATTGAGCCGGGGTCCCGAGTCGCATGTTGCCGCCTTTGGCAACGAAGATGGCGGCACCAGTGGCGGCGGCAGCGGCGACAACGCTTCCGCTCCCACCGGCAATACCTCCAGCAGGGTTGCGAGGCCGCGCATGAGACTTACGGCCTGCCTTAGCTGCCCCTGCCGCAACTGCAGCAGCTGCTGCGCTTGCTGACGCTGAGGGGTTGGCGGGCCGCCGGCAGCGCTGCTGCTGCTGCCTGCATGGGTCGCCGCATGCAGCAACAGCCGCGTCACATGCTCTAGCAGGTTACTGTTTTGCAGCTGAGAGTGGAAGAGCTGCACCACGCTGGAGGAAGCAGCAAAGCTGCCACCGCTGCCGCTGCCACCGCTGATGCTACTCATGTTGCATGCGCCGCCTCCGGTGCTAGAACCCCTAGCCTCCTGCCCACTAGGCGCGGCACGACACTCGGTGCCTTGCACTGCTGTGTTGGAACTGATTGGACTCATAGCGACAGTCGTCCCGGAGGCGGGAAGCCGCGGCAGAGGAGGAGAAAAGCTGTAGCGCTTGACTGCGAGGGTAAGGCCCATCAGGAGTTCTCCTAGCTCTTGAAGCAGATCGAAAGCGTCCCGGACGACACGGGACGAAGGGCCGGCTGGTGCTTGCTGTAGCTCCTGATACGATGCGGATATCAGACGGCTGTAGCACGGAAGTGTATCGGCAGTCAGGAGTGCGCGCAGTATTGGCTCCAGGGTTTCGAGAGGCAGAGGTGTCGAGGGCGGCGGTGAAGGGTTGTCGCTTGTCGGTTGCGGGTCTGGCAGACCGCAAAGCAGGGCAACGTCTTTTGCCAGCAATCGTCGCGCGCTGATGAATTCCTCGTCTGTGAGATTCAAGCTTGATTCAAACATGCCTGCAGGAACGGCAGCTGATGACATCGGTGCGCTGTTGGCTGCTGATGTGGGGCTGCTGCCGGTAGCCATCGAGCCGTTGGACGAGGACTTGCGCAGCGCAAGCGCAAACAGGGCCAGCAACCCAGATGTCGTGCGACGGTCGGTGCTAGCCGCTAAATATAGCAGTGACCGGCCGCAGCCTTGAGCGCCGGATGTCTTCCGCTTAGCATGGTAACTCTGCAGGTCGTTTAGGGCCTGAACAGCAACCTTCCTGCGGGTATAACTGCTGTCTTTTTCGTCGATGCCAGGGTTGTGAAGTCCATGCAGAAGGCACGTTGCGGCATGTGCAATGCTGTGTGGGACTGCAGCGGGAGGGCTTCTGGCAGCCGTCTGCGCCGCAGCTGTCGCGCGCCGTGCCTTTGGTGGCATACGGATGGCCTAGAGGTAATGCTTGCTAAGAAATGGGATATTAATTCGGGTCTAGGTGCGGCCGATGCTGCACCCTATTCAAGCGGTGATGCTTCCACTGCTGCCCCCAAAAACATGCGAAGTGCGACATCCATATGGATTCAAGTAATGTCCGCGAGTCAAGGCTCGCAGTCAACGGTTATGGCCGCCAGTCGCAGTGTCGCCGAAGTTATTTCAGTAATTGTAATAGTATTACTGCAGCTTATTCGAAGTAAGCCTCGCACGGTCATTAAGGGGCTAATAGGTCGGCACGGCCAGCCTTATTGTTGGCTCCGGAACCCTAGCTGGTAAGATATGCATGTCAGCATGGGCTATTTTTTGGCCTGCTCACCGTAACAAGCCATACCTGGAATGTACACCGATTTCCTGCAACTGTTTAAGAACCTACAATCATAGTAGTTGCAAAATTTAAGCCTTGTGGTGTCCGTTGGCCATAGTCCGTCGTGCTGTCCGGCTTACTCCACCACATTTACAGCTATAACGTTGGCCTTTTCACCGAAGTTTGAATTGCCACTACAGGAGGGCATACAAAATTTCTTGGTTTCTGAAGGGCAAGCGTTGTAACCACTCGCAGTCAAAACGCACGTGCCGGGCCTAAATAACGCATCCTTACTTGCGTACTGGGTGTTCGCACAGCCAAAGCAGCCATGCAGCAGGTGGCATCGTCGGGTAGCGTGCCACTTGGCATGTCCCTCCCAGCCTGCAGGCGCGTAAGCCCTAGCTTACGACTTGGTCATGGAAGCTACATTTGCAAGTCTCGCTATATGTCGCATGCCGCAAATCTAGTTTTCGCTGGATTCGGGCGTTGTGTCGTAGTTTGCCCGCATGGAAATAGGTGCAGCCAGCTTCCAGCCCTCGCACGAGACGCTCCGCAAGGCGCAAGCAGCTCCACAGGCTCACATGCGGCCTCATCGGGCGAAGAGATCATCGTTCTGGGCCTTTCTCCGGAAGCCCTGGTTACAGCCACTCCCATCGGAGGAACGCCGAACACGAGCTCGTCGCGAGGGTCGTCTCGAGCTTCACAAGATACGGGGTCTTACAGTATCGACTCTCAGCTGCCAGTATTAGTGGACGCACAGGCGGTGTTGGCTTCTAGTCAAGCCAATCAAGATGCGGCCGCGCGATCGCCATTGCAGCCCAACGAAGTACACACCCCCAGCGCAAGCGGCCAAGACGCAGATGCGCCACATCCTAAACTCCTCCTTCCTCAAACAGACGCGCTTTCTGCTGCTGCCCTGTCAAGCTCCGAAACCGTATCCACCCGGACATCGCATCTCTCGGCGGGCGAGCTTAGCAGGCAGGCCTCGAATCCCGCGTCCTCCTCCTCAGGACGGCCCTCTCCAACCCAACCTCAGCAGCCTCTAACAGCCCATGAGCAACCCCAACAGGAGCCACATCCACTTCCTCAAAACCGTCACCAACAACAACAGGAAGCGCAGCAGCAGCAGCAGGAGTCGCACCAGCCGCTGCAGCAGCAGCAGCAGCCAGGGCTGTGGCATCAGCTCAGCAGCACCCTACGCGGGCTGCACTGGGGCAAGCTGTGGGCGCTGGCGCTGCTGTTCATCAGCTACGTCCACCAGGCCACCACGGGGTTCGCGCTGCCCGCGATGTTACCCATGATCTCCAACGAACTCCACCTCACAGACCTGCAGGTGCGGAAGGGGAAGGGGGAGGGGAAGGGAAGAGGGAAGGGGAAAGGGAGGAGAGCTTCACGTGAGTGTGGAGTCTAATGAAGGCGCACGCGATTTTGGTTGCAGCTGCTGCAGCAGCGGTTAAAAGCAAAGGCTGCAGCGGCAGCAGCAACTGTTTAGTCTTTTGCAGCTCCTCTGTGCGTTGGTTGGCGCCTCCCTGTCCATAGCCCTAAGTCTGTATACTCCCCATGATATCATGAGTAAACCGCCCCCGCACTGCCTCCTGCTTCCTCCCCTCCCACCTCTCCTCCCACCCCTGTTAGGGCGCCCTCCTCACCACCGGCTACAGCTACCTCTACGCAGTAGCCCTGGTGCCCATCGGCATCCTCGCCGACCGCATGAGCCGACCCAAGCTCCTAGCCGCGGGTCTAGCCCTCTGGTCACTCCTCACCTGTACGGCATCCACCTGCCGCTCGTTCGGGGAACTCATCCTGGCACGTGTGGGGTTCGCAGCGGCGCAAGGCGCGCAGAACCCGGTGTGTTTTTCGTTGATTCCGGAGCTGTTTCCCGTCAACAAGTCGACTGCGTTGTCGTTGTACAACTGCGCGATCTATGTGGGACGAGCACTGAGCTTTGGGGCGGTGCTGCTGGCGCGGCACCTGCACGATAACGACCAGGTGGGCGGGTTTGGGTGGTGAGAAGAGGGATGCGGATGAGTGCAGGTCGACATGGTACCTTGCATACCGGTACTCTTCGCCTCGCTTCCCCTCACCTGCGTGAGGACAGCTGCTGGTGATGCTGCAACATAACCCCGCCTCCCTGCTCCTCGCCTGCCTATAATAGCTGCTGCTGATGATGATAATACAACAATGCAACCTAACCCCATCGTTCTTACCTCCTCGCCTCCCCCCTCCTCGCCTCCCCCTCCTCGCCTCCCCCTCCTCGCCTCCCCCCTCCTCGCCTCCCTCCTCCCCGCCTCGCCCCTCCCTCCCCGCCTACCCGCCCCTCCCCCACCCCCCAGGCCCACCTGGCAGCTCGCGGCGGTCTGCGGCTGCACACCCGGCTGCGCCAGCTCGACCGCGCCGACCTGCACAGCCTGTCCATCATGCACACCGCGGGCGACATGGCGGCGGCAACACCCGACCGCGAGTTCAACTTCCCGCTGTGGGAGTACGGCAGCGACCTGCCGGACTCTGCGTGGCGGCAGGTAGGAGGCGGGGGGGGAGGAGGAGGGGGGGGGGGGAGGAGGAGGGGGGGGGAGGAGGAGGGGAAGGAGGAGTGAAGCATGAGGGAACAGTGGGGGGGCCTTATGGGGCTCGGGGGGCTCGTGTGTGGCCCACTGGTGTACATACTTCGATACTTGCTAAGCCCGCTCTCTCTGCACTACGTCGCCATGGCTAAGCGCCACGTACGTACCGTGTCTACGTCGGCAGGTATGCAATTCCCTTCACGTCGACGGGCTGGATTAGAACGTCCTCGTAGCCATCTACGAGGATGTTGTGAGCCAGCCTGTCGATGTGGGGGGAATTGCATGACTGCAGACGATGAGTTCACCTTACGTACTTGGCGCTTTGCCATGGCGTAGAAGCGCAGAGAGAGGGGGCTTAGCAAGTATGTACGGCAGAGGGCGTCGTCGTAAAGCCGTTTTAGACAGACGAATAGGAGAGAGGAGCGGGAAGAGACGAGTATGGGGTTGCGGTAGTTGAGTGAAACTGCTTGCACCCGGGCGGGTTTTGTAGCAAGTGCCATTAGTGCACGCACGTGCGTAATAGGCACGCATATTCCATAACTGCTTGCTCCTGAAACTGGAGTTTCCAAAAGAGCTGTGGTGGAGCATGCTCGTGTGCTTAAATCACGTGCAGCAGCGGTGGCAACGGCGGAGTACATGCATGTGTGACGACATATGTGTGTAGTTTTGAAGCCGTGTTTGGCCTTTGTCCCCTTGCGCCTTGCATTGGCTTGTATCCATGTACACGCACGTCACCCCCACACCCTCCTGCTCCTGTTGCTGCCACCCCTCCTCCTCTCCTCCCCTGCTGCTGCCGCTGCAGGTTCTCCGCTGGATTGCCGTTCCCGGCTTCCTTATCGGCCTCGCCCTGATAGCCACCCTGCAGGAGCCCAGAAACGCCACCCTGCAGCAGCAGCAGCACACAGCAGCAGCGACACCACCCGTGGAGCTGGTTGCATCCGGCAGCTCGGCCGCCAAGCCAGCTGCAGCTGCCGTACCGACAGCGGCCCCAGCACCACCCCTGACGGGTCCAACGACCCCTAGCCCCGCTGCCGCTACCGCCGCCGCCGCTGCTACTACTCCCCTTGGCACTACGGCATCCGCCACCTCACCTGAAAACTCGCCTGCTGCTGCTCCCGCAACCTCCACCCCGCTCAACAGCACCACCAGCCCGGGAGAAGGCAGCAGCAGCAGCAGCCCAGCAGGCGGCATGTGGGCTCTGCTGCGCTCCCGTGGCTTCATGTCTGTGACGCTGGCGGCGGCGCTGAACGATGTGGGCTCCTACGCGCTCATCGCCTGGCAGTCCACCTTTTACGAGCGGGTGTACGGGCTGGAGTCGTCCGCGTATGCACCGGTGCTGGCCACGTTGCTGCCCATTGGGGGCATCCTGGGCGGTGTGGGTGAGTAGCGGAGGGAGCGAGGAAGAGAGGGAGGGAAGCGATGCGTGCGAGGGTTGCGGAAGTCGGTACAGACATTTACCGGTACTGTGGTACTGTACAACGTTTGCGTTATTGGCTGCTCAGCGCTGTCCTTCTTTCTCTGTGTACTCAACCCTTTGCTGCTGTTTTCAATCCATACGCCTGCTCAACCCACTCGCCTCCCTCTCCACCCACCCCCTCACTCCCCCCTCCTCCAGGCGGCGGCTACCTGGCCGACCGCCTCAGCCGCTGCGGGCGCCGCTGGTGGGTCACAGCGGGCGCCACCTGCCTCGCTGCGCCCTGCCTGGCCGCCTCCTGCCTGGCGCCCTCGCCGCAGCTGAGCTACGCGGCGCTGGTGGTGGGGTTCGCGCTGAGTGAGATGTGGCGGGCGCCCTCGGCGGTGATGGCCAGGTGGGTTGGGGGGCTGGGGTGAGGGGGGGCCGGGTGGGGGGGGCTGGTTAGGGAAGGGAGGGAGGGAGGGGAAGAGTAGCGTGTGGGTGCACCACGGAGGACAGGCAGGTGCCGGACTAGGGTGATGTATGAGAGGGAAGCTGAGGAGGGGGAAAGGGGAGGAAAGGGAGGGAGGGAGGCGGCTTAGGACTGCTGCTGCTCCGCAGATCCACCCTTCTGATTACCCGCTGCACCCACACCCTGCACCGCCCCAGGGGTCTGGCTCCCGCCTCCATGGGCTCCACCGCCTCCGCGCTCTACCTCTGCGTGCGCAACCTGTTGGGCGGGCTGGGGCCGCTGGCGGTTGCGGCGCTGGCGGGGGGGTGCGGGGGGCTGCAGCGGGCCATGCTGGTGGTGGTGCCGGCGATGTACCTGGGGTCGGGGCTGCTGTTCGCAAAGGTGGGTGGGCGGGGAGGGGCTGGAGGGAGGGGGGGCTGGGGAGAGGGGCTGAATTGGGCGGGGTAAGAGGATGCCTGGGTGCGGGGGCAGGGCTTGCTTGGGAGCATAGCAGCATGTTACCGCCAGCTGCTTCATGGTGCGTTGTGAGCTGCTGCAGCATTAATCGGAAGCGTGGGGGTTCGTAGCCCGCTGCCGTGCTTGTGGCCAACATGCATGCTGGTGCCGTCATGCCCCCACCTGCCGTACACCCAGGCTGAGGAGCTGTACGAGGCGGAGATGGGCGCCAAGATGGAGGCCGCCAAGACATCAGCGCCCGCTTGAGAGCACACAAAAAAATACACACGTCGGCAGCAGCTGCCGCTACTCGGCTTGTGCGAGGAACTGCCGTGCGAGTCTGGACGAGGACGGTCCTGATCGTAAGCTGCGGCTTGCTGTACGGTACGGTATTGGATCTGATGTGCGTTAGCAGTAAGCCGGCTGTTCGTCTCTGTGTATTTATGGGTTGGTGGTTTTTTGGAGGGCCTATGGATGGACCTGTGGCGGTGGTCTTGTGTGAGGTGTTGAGGCGACTAGTAAGGTTGAACGGTTGAGACACGCCATTCATCACGCATGCCTTTATAAGCCGTTAGGGACTCGCCTCCACGCTTTCCACGCCCAGTTACCTTATCCTGCGTGCATCGAAGAATTCGAAGAAACGGTTTTCGCGTTGCGCGTTGCGGTCCTTCTTGACGTCTGTTTGAAGACCGGCTTGAGGATGTTTTGGCAAGCGGCTAGGGAGCGTGTGCGCGTGGTGCTTTTAGGGCCGAGTAAGCGAAGATGCTTACCGGCGGGAGCTAGCTGGGTAGCAAAACGTTTTGTACAATATTTAATGTACGGATTAGTACGAAAGCCTTTGTTTCTGCGCGGGGTGTGCTAAGGCAAGGAACGTTTTTCCCCTGCAATACGTATGTTGGCTCTCCTGTTTGCAGCTTTTTGTTGAGACAGCCATGGCAAGGATGATGATGAATAAGCGTGTTTGCTTCCTTTGCTGCGGTTCGGGTGTTTGTCCCTGGTGTGACTTATGGTGCCAGTTAGGTTTGACGTGAGCTAGCGGTGAGGAGCGGGGTGGCTTGTTCCCCATCCAGCTGGTGTTACGGTTGTTCAGCAGCGCGGAGACAGTCGCAAGACAGTTCTGGTTGGCGTGGTTGGCTGGGTTGCTGTACGGTACGTCACCTTGGGTCCGGCTTGGTGGTAAGGTGATTGGGCGCTAATGACAGCAGGCGATTTTGGCGTCTTGGGTTGGATGTTGAAGAACAGGCGAACAAATGGTGGACAGTGCTACCAACAGGTTTAGCGTACGGACCAAGAGACGCGGGAATGCGAAGTGGAAGGTGGGTCGTGCGTCGGCATCAAGGATGGCTCAGTGTTGGCGGAGTAATGTTCGGCCGTAGCCTTCAAGTTCGTACTAGCCTAGTAGCTCGTCGGGACCCCCATTATGGCTTTAAATAACCCCAATGGGCCAGTTTATGTGTGTTTGGTAGGTCCTCCTTTGCTTTTAGCCCAGTTTTGTCGTAGTATTCTAGTATGTGTGGGACGTGTGCGGTTAAGGGCCTAAGCACGCTCGATAGCGCTAATGAGGGTTCCAAACTAGGGCAGCGCCTGCATTAGGCGTGCGCCTTGCTCCGTGTGTTGACACGGGGCTGGTGGCTTTAAACCCCCAAACCCCAAGGAACATCCTGGTTGATATACTCTTTGGTGCTGTTGTGCTTCGCCGTTGCATCGGTTTTTGTACGAGTGTCCGTACGTGTTGTGCCCGTTAGACTGGAAGCTTCTGTTCGTTGTGTGTGAGTGATCACTAACGGGGGTACCACCCGGGGTGGCAGGACCGGTAGTGATTACCGGTTCCTCCGAGCAGCGGGGTCGGCTGGTTCCTCTGTTGCCATAGTCACTAGCAAAGGGCCTGCCCCGCCCCAGTATGGTCGTTTGGGAGGTACCGCTATTAGCATGTCGGATGTCTCCGTGCCTTTTACGGTAGTTGATTGGGTTTCTATGCCATGTGGAGGATCTGAGCATATGCGAGTATTCGCCTTCCATTCCTGAGGGATTGCTGGTGTTTCCCTGAGACTGGTATGAGCAGATAGATGAATGCTGTCGTGATAGTTGGGAGCTGGTTGCGTTAACTTAGCGGGGGGGGAGGTGCATAAGTAACGCCTTACATGGACTTCGCGGCTGCTGCATGTGGCGAGTCTTGTCGTACCGTTTCGGCAAGTCCCTTGCCGCGTTTTGCCCCGCTTTAGCGTGCCCGAGTGCAAGAAATGCAACCTAAATTGGATGGCGCGCTGCCGTATAAAGGCGGAGGTATTGTACGACTGCCGCTTACCGGATGCAATGCATGTCATACAAAGGTGCCTTCGCGTGCTTCCCTGGTTTGAGATGAGGAGACAGCTATGAAACTAGCAGCTGCTTAACACCGTGGTGGTTTGCGTGTTGCCGCATGGGGCACGGCAACAGCGGGGCTTGTGCAGCTTCTCGCCCATGCCAACGAGGTTCGTATACAACATTACTGTGCACAGCATACGTTATAACCTATAAACAGAACTCAGCACATAAGAGCAACGTCCATGCAAATGTCCAATCCATGCAGCACAGGTTGGAAGGCAGCCGACATAACGAGCAACGTCCATGCAAATGTCCAATCCATGCAGCACAGGTTGGAAGGCAGCCGACATAACGAGCAACGTCCATGCAAATGTCAAATCCATGCAGCACAGGTTGGAAGGCAACCGACATAACGAGCAACGTCCATGCAAATGTCAAATCCATGCAGCATAACGCTTCAGCCAGCGTGCGTCATCAAGACAGTATGCACGTGAAGGCAATATGTTACGATTATTTGCAGTGTCAGCGAATACCGAACCTTGCAGCTCGCAACTGAATGGGCAACTCTCGCGTGACTAACACGACGCAATCAGCTCCCCGTCTTACCACTGTAGACATCTTAATGGACTACCTGCCTCAGGATGCCATACCGGTAGCGATGACAGCACACTTCGGTGCATGCGTCCGGCCCATGCACTGGTAGCACATGTTCTTATCCGTCCAACATCAACAACGGTCATTCATTCATGACCAAGGTAGGCAGCATGCAAGCTAAGAACACCCAGCTGGAACAATACTGGTGTTTGCAGTGTCAGCTACATATCGAACCTCACAGCTCGCAACTGCATGGGCATCTCTCACGTGCCCCGCACAACCCACACACAAACGCTTCAACCGACCCCTGCTAAAACCCTTGCCCTGCGGCCCAACCCAAGCGCCTCCCTGCACCCCAGCTACGTTCGGGCCCTCTTGCTCCTGCTACTGCTTCCACCACCACCACCATCTCCCTCCCCGCCGCCCACCCCTTCGTCCATCGCTGTCGACCCACGCCTCGTCCCCGCTCCACCCCCCGCCCCTGCGCCCCACGCCGCCCTCCTCCCGCCGCACTGCCTGCCCTGCCGCCCAGCCGTCTGTCCCCCAGCCGTCTGCTGCCCCTGTTGCTGCTGCTGCTGCTGCCGCTCTCGCTCGGACACCCGCGCCATCTCCGGCTGGCAGAGCGCCATCTTCTGCCGCAGGGATTCGATCTCGGGTCGCAGCTGGGTCTGCAGCTGCTCCAGGGCGTTGCGTTTGGAGGCGGCCTGCAGCTGCTTGGCCCGCAGGTGGGGGCTGGCCTCGTTTAGCTGCCCTGTGAAGTGGAAGATCTCCCCTTCGCGCTGTTGCAGGGCACGTGCCCGCAGCTGCAAAGGGGTAGAGCAGGGAAACACATGCAGCGAGGTGGTGCGAAGTCGTATAGCGGCATGGATTAGGAGCACCCGAGAGGCGCAAGGGGGATGAGGTGTCCAGACGGTGGAAAAGGCAGTTGTGAATCAGCTTTCCTGGACTTTGGAGCAAGGGTAAAGTCCATGTTGACTGAAGGCTGCGGCTTTGCAAAAGTAATCGGTATGTTTAAAGACAGTTTCTGAGGGCCCCAGCCGCCTGCTTCTTTTAGCCCCTTCTTGGCAAGGGAGGCCCTGCACACATCAAACACACCTGCAGCGCCTTCAGACGCAGGTCGACGGCGCCGCCGGACCAGCCGTCCCCTCCCAGCCCCGCCACCGCGTTAATTGGCAGGCCCGAGTAGAACACATTGGGCGGAGTGCGCTCGCCGAAGTCCTCATCCCTACAAAGTCGATGCAGGAGCGCAGGAAACAGGTGATATTAAAACCAGCCGGCTGTGCAATTGCATTTGTCGAAACGGCAGTGCGCTCATCTTGCGCGGCAAGCATCAACAGCTCATGCGCTCAGCTGGGGTGCTGGAAATTTGGGATATTGGCCAGACGTACGCACTCACGCTTCCTCGCCGATGTTCAAAGCACCGCGGCCGTCCACAGCAATAAGCTGCGTTTCCAGCGGTAGGTTCTGTGCGCGGCAGCGAGCCTTAAACGCGTCGATGTGCGCCTCCGTCTCAAACACCATCAGGTCTTGGAACAGCACATTGAGCATGGTCTGACGCAGGTTGGCCTGTGTAGGAGAGTGAGACGGGAAGGCGAGTGAAAGGGTGGTTGGGCCGTGGCGGGCACCGGCATATGGATCGCGCCTGCACGACAGTTACAGTAAAATGGATCGCCCGCGGTTGCATGTGGCTTCAGCATCTAACGTGCCATGCCCTGAAGGCAATTCGACGGACGGCGCCGGGAAACGCCCCCGGGCAAAGGTGCGTCAAGTGACCAGCAATGAACGGACCAGGGATAGGAGGGAATGCTTGCGTCTTCTCTTCTGCCCTGGTCTGGCCGCTTCCCCTCACCTGCACCACCCCGCGGCCCCGCGTATCTCGCACCGCCACCCGCTCCGCCAGCAGATGCGGCGGCAGCACCACCAGGTTCACCGCGAAGCCGATGAAGCCGTCGTTGGCATCCTGAAGAGCAGCAGCGGTGGCAGCAGCAGCAGCAGCGGCAATCGGAAGGGGGAAGAATAGGGCTACACGGGGCCTTTGCGCAGGGCAGCGCACGTGGGGCATGGTATACACAACCCGTTCGAAGCGGTCAAGACGATTTGCGCTTGTTGAATAGCAACTCCAGCTCCAACCATACGTTCCATGTGCTTGCTCCGGCACTCACCGGCCTGCGTCTGTTGCTGCCCTGCGCCGGCAGCTCGTTGGTCGGCTGCTGCACCGGCTCGAAGTTGAGGACGTTCTGCATGGCAGGCACGCAGAGGTGGCAAGGTGACAAGGCAGGCACCAGTATTTCACGCAGCAGCGGTTTACGAGCAACCAGGCCGTGCGGCGCAGTGCGGAGTGGCTGCAAAGCACTAAGTATATAACACATGGAACGCGATCGGCGACTGCAAAACCGGTTACCGTAAGTGGTCAACATGGCGGATGGCAGGATGGTGGCAAGCAGTGGCCAGTGCGTGAAGCGGCAATCCTCCTGCGAATGTACCGGTATGCTAACCCAGAACTCAAGGCAAACTTTGCATTGCCGTTAGCTCCCTTCTGCTCTCACGAAGCATGAACAAGCACATACGAGTCATGCGCCTGCATACCCTCCATGCTACCCCCAACTGTCTGCCACCATATATACCTGATACAGGTCGCGGAGGTGCTGCTTTCGGAGCAGCGCCTGCAAGCAGGGCAAGGGCAATGAGGAAAAGCGCGTCACGCAACGTCACATTTGCCTTTGCCAAAGGAATGGGTCATGGGGACAGGCCGGCAACCTCGAGGGTCTAACACTGTCACCACCCACGGCACAGGGGTAGGCAGGCCCAAAACCATATCGCATGCTGGCGGCGTTGCTTGGCGCGGAGTCTTAATCAAGAAGATTATGCTACCGGTATGAGGGCCCTAGCGTTCTGCATTGCATCTCATGCAGCAATGAGAAGCTCAGTTTCCTGCACACGACATTTCCACGTTAGGGTCCTAGCTGCATCCGGCGTCACGTTACGCCATACCCACCTGCGGGTGGTCGAGATTCTGTTCGTCGGGATGAAGCTCATACTTGGCTAACAGCTTTGGGTTCTCCAAGTCCATGATCTTGCCGCTGAGCCTCTGCGGGATAGATAAGCGGGCAGGGCATGAAGAGCGCATGCTTGCAATGTGGTCGCAAGAATATCTACTTCCATCCCACAATGCCTCCTGTACGCAAACACACGCACAACAGGCAGCCAGCGGTGCCCCTGCGCCCAACACAAGAGCCTGGCCACAAGCCCTGACCCACGGGTCCATCTCCCTGCCTATCCCAGGACCCACTCACCATAGCTTCCACCCTCCGCCTTAATTCCGTAGCAGCCTCTCTGCCCCTCACATACACGCGTTGACAGCGCCATTCCAGGTAGGAGCACAGCGTCTCCGCCACGTCCCTCCGCTCCACCGCTCCCAGCATCACTACCGGCCCCAGCGCACCCGGCACGCCGGCGCAGGCGCCCGCCAGCCGCCTCAGTCGCTCATAGTCCCGCTCGCCGTGCTGGTCGCGGCGGCGCGGCACCAGGCAGACCGAGGCATTGGCGTTTACCGCGGGGCCGGGAGTGAAGCGGATCATGGCTGCGTCCTCGAAGTGGGGCGGACCCCCCAGCTGCCGTATTTGCGCCTCCAGAAACTCGGCTGCTCGGTCGATCGCCTCCTGCGGAAAGAGGGGTGCAGAGGCAGGAGGTCTACGGCTGCTTCCCAATTCCTCTAGTGTCTTTATGCCCTTCATTGAACCATGCATACTGTACTGCACTACCGTCCAGACGTTGTCATGAGGTTGTGTTGTTGCTGCTACCGGTATACGGGACAATGCCGGGTGCACCCACCATCGCGGCGGTGCCGTCCTCCATGTCCGTGTCCCCCTCCTCCTCCTGCCCCGCAGGCAGCTGCACCCCCAGCTGCCGCAGATGCGCGCGGCACTGCCGGCACCTCTCGCGGTGCCCCTGCGCGTCGGCCTCCGCCGTCCGCAGCTGACCCTCCTCCACCCGTAGCTGCCCCTCACGTGCCGCGATCTGCGCGGTTGGGTCAGGATGGGAGCCGGTCGGGCGCTAGGCAAAGCGAACGGCCCTGTAAGACCAGCAAGCACCCCGGACGGACCTCTTAACCACGCGCCCCACCTGTTCCTCCAGTTCCTGCATCTGCCGCCGCAACGTCGCGCCGTCGCCCCTGGACGACACATACAGCGTCCGCAGCAGCAGCTCCGGCTGCCCCGGGTCGCTGCTGCCCCCGCCGCCGCCCTCCGCCTCCAGCTGCAGCAGCAGCTCCACATCCGCCCCCGCCTCCAACTGCATGCTGGAGAGCTGCTCGCCCGGCATGGCGAAGGAGCCGTCGTGCGGGTCCACCTCGCACGCCTTGATGATGTTGGGCTTGGTGGCGGAGGTGGCGGCGGCGGTGGTGGCGGCCAGGGCCTTGGGGCGTGAGGTGAGGAACAGGTAGGTGTGAGGCGGCGGCGGCGAGGGATTGCCCCACCTGTGAGAGGGACACGGGGGTTCGGGAGCGGGTACGGGCGTTTCAGATTAGGGACTGGGTGTGCCAGGTCCGCATGTGGTTCACCTTACGACTCTCCAATGCACCCCACGGCATCAAGGAGCTATCTCCCTTCCTCCCAAGCAAGCCGTACAAGCCCGTCCTCCCAATCCTCTACCCCAACCGCCTCCCCGCCCTCCCCCCTCCCACCTGTCCACCAGGCAGCCCCTGAGCTCCGGCAGCCGCATGCCCTGCACCTCCCCCGCCGCCACCACCTGCGCCTGCCGCCGCGAGGGCTCGGGGCCCAGCTGCGACTCGCACTCGGGATCCAGGGCGATGCGGCAGGGCGGGCCGGGGAGGAGCTCCAGCTCCAGGATGGGACAGGGCTGTAGACGGTGGCTGGGGTGGGTGACCCGCGGGTCTGCAGGGGCAAGAAGAAGGCCAGCGATGGAGCAAGCGGGCACGTGCTAAGGAAGGCTTGAGATCCAGGTTAAAGCTAGATGCACCACCCCATTAATCATCAATCCCATCGATCCGACGCGCCTTTCGTCTTGTTACCGTGTATACCAGCTTGCCCTCTTTGCGCGGCTGCACGGCTTCTTTATCTATTTCCCCCAAAAAGCCCAAGCCCATTGGCCAGCCCGCGCCTCACCCTCGTACACCGCCACCAGCCGCCAGCGGGTCCGTGTGCGGGTGGGCAGCAGCACCTCACCGCGCCGCGCCTCGAAGCCGCCCTCCGCACTCGGCTGCAGCTCGCTCGCGGGCTGCGAGGGGTCGTGCACCCAAGCCGGCTGGCCGTCCACGTCCACCTGGAGCCGCATGAGAGGCAGGGGGGTGCGGTTTGCGCCGAGCCGAATGCCGAGCTGAATGTAGGCGCAGGCACAGCCCAACGCCCATACACATCCCTCTCGCGGCCAGTTTTGTTAACACACCCCATCCCACTGCCTCCGAACGCGCAGGAGCATTTTCCTGGTTTCTCTCTCTAAACCCCACACATCCCGCCTCACCTGCCGCTCGTATCGCAGCCTCAGCGGCTGCAGCTCCCTGCCCTCCAGCCTGCTGCCGTCGGCGCTGTGAACCCCCAGCTTGAACCCAGGCAGCCGGGGCACACCCCTGCTGCTGCTGCCGTCACCCCCATCATTACCATGGCCGCTGTCCTCCCCTCCCGCGGCGGTACCGGCAGCGGGGTCCTTGTTGGTCAGCGTGAGCTGCAGTGCCCGCTGCTGCAGGGGCGGCAGCGGCTGCTCGGGGCCGCCCAGCCACAGCAGCTCCAGCGGCTCTACCGGGTACCTGAGGCGGGGGAGGGAGAGTGGAGACAGTAGGGAGGCCGTGAAAGCGATGGGAAGGAGCACCACAGAAGCAGCACGCAAGGTGCCTGAAGGACAAGTCTATGGAGAACTTAACCCCTCGGCTTACCTGCCGCGCTTCACGAGCACATACACGGCCAGCGGCCTGGCGGCTGCATGCGCAAAGTTGGGCGACTTGGGTGTGAGCAGCAGCAGCTGCGGCGCCTGCTGCCACTCCGGCCCCGTGCCGATGGCCAGCTGGGCGGCCAGCAGCCCGCGCTGCACCCGGCACTCGGCGCGGCTGATGGTGGGCGGTGGGCTCCCCGAGGAGGAGGAGGAGGAGGCGGGGTGGGGCAGCAGGTGGCGCAGCTCGAAGGAGCCGTCCTCGGACACCGGGCAGCCCTGGGCGTCCTGTGGGGCGTTGCGGAGAGCGCATTCATCCACCGCATCCCCCGCGCCTAACAACCTTGTTCGCCGCGCAAGCAGACCCGCTCATGGGAAGACCGTGAGAAGGCACCTCAAGCTCAAGCTTGGATCCTATCCCACCAAACCCAGATGCTCAACACCAATTCCCAAACAACCCCACAACCCAAACACACACACTCGCACCCCCAGCCACCTGCAGCTGCACCGCCAGTCTCAGGGTGCTCAGCTCCGCGCACTCCAGCTGCAAGATGCGGCCGCACTCGGGCGGGGGCGGCAGTAGCTGCGAGGCTACATCACCGCGAGCCAGGTGGGCGGACAGCGGCTGCACCTGCAAGGGCGAGATGCAAGAGCGGGGGGGTATCCGTCGTCCCTACCATGCATACAAGGAGAGCGCAGCAAAGCCAGGGGCATACAGCGAATGCAGCGCGTCAATACTGGAGCCGAATCATTCGGGTCCACGTCCACACCAGTATGCATCATCTCCTCGCATCTCACACACGCACCCCCACCTGCACGCCCTGCGGCTCCTCGACGGCCAGCTGATAGCCCCCGGGCGCCAGCGGCCCATGGGTCACCTGCAGTGCCACAGCCGCCACCAGCGCCCCGGGCAACGGGGGGAGGAGCTCGCCAGCCTCCTCATCCTTCTCCTCCTCCTCGGCGGTATTGGTGGCGCCTCGTGGGGCAGCGGTTGAGGGGTCGTAGTGCAGCCACAGCACCGCTGGTCCCATGGACTGGACCAGTCGAACCTGCGAGACGTGAAACGGGAGGAAGGAGTAGGGCACTAGGCGACAGCACTTACCGGTAGCCGCAATGCCGGCATGCGTGTAGGTTGTGTATGCCCCTAACAGTAATGGACCCCTGACGTGCAAGCGCCCACTCCACAATCCCTCCACACCTCACCTGCACCTTGCACACAGGTAGCACCTCCGACGGCGCTGCACCCTGGTCGTCTGCCGACAAAGAGCCATGCAGCTGCGGCCACGTCCATCCTTGGATGTCCAGAGGCTCGCTCTCCTGTGAGGCCGCCCGGCGGTTGCGTTGGTTGCGGGGGCCGCGCCCGCCGGCGCCTCCGGTAGCCACGGCCGTGGCGGTGGCTGCGTCCTGCGCCCTCTCCAAGTAGGCGAAGGTGTGCTCCTCCAGCCGCTTCTTCAGCGCGGGTGTGATGGGCAGCGGCAGGCCGTACTGGTCCACCACCATAAGGGGCAGCTGCAGGGTTTGGCCTGGGGGCATGCGGCACAGCGGGGGCAGGGAAGGTTAGGTACACATGAGTACCTCTGGGCATTGCGTTTGGCCAGTTCCTTGTTCTTGCAGGGTGGGAATGCAGCTTCTCGATTTCTTCAAGTACAAACGACATTTACAACGAAGTCGCTAAGCGGGCTTTGGGGTCAAACCCTGTCAGATGTACCTATCCCGAACACACATGGTGTTAGGCGCTGTGAGAAGCGGAGGACACGGGGCGGAAGGAAGCATGCGACCTACCTGCTTGCACGGCAATGCACTGCTGTCCCACGGAGAAGCCCTGCGCCAGCAAGGTAGCAGCGTCCACAGCCGCCCCCCCGCCACGCACCGGCTGCAGCTGCAGCAGCTGCAGGTGGCTAGCAGCCGCCGCGACAGCAGCAGCAGCCCCGCCACGGCCGCTTCCTGCCGCTGGCTGTGACGGTGGCGGCAGCCTCAACACCCCCTCCGCATGCTGCAAATGAGGCTGCGAGTACGAAGACGGCGGGGGTGTTGGCGGCGGCGGAGAGGCGCGCGAGGAGCCGGCCCCCGGTGTGAGGTTCCCAGCGGAGGAGGGGCCTCCGGAGGCAGAGGACAGCAACCAGGGGGTGACGGCTGGGCGGCTGGCCAGGAGGTCGCATGGGACTGGGGCTAGGCGCAGCTGAGTGGGGTGGGGCTCCTGCCGCACGTAAAAGGTGCCGTAGCAGAAGGCGGCTGCCGCCTGGGCGCTGCCCGAGCGGCCCTCCGCGTCGCGCACGTGTACGGCCACCGTGCGACCCGGCACCTCGAAGTCGGAGGGCAGGAACACCAGCTCCGGCAGCGCGACACGGCCGTTGTCGAAGGTGAGCTTGTTCCTGCAGACCTCCCGCCCGCCGATGAAGACCTGTACATGGAGGCTACGTTAGTGTTGGGCCCGCAGTCCTGAGCCCAGGCACAGGAGCACGAATAACGGGCAGTCGGTCTTCATGGGAGCCATCTACAGTGCCTTGATTGCCAGGATGCCAACTCCATGCATGTGCTGGTGCGTGCGCATCCACCCTGTCAAGGCCCCCCCATGTCCCCACCTTGACTGCCGCCTGCAGCAGCACATCCACCTCGTCATCCTCCTCATCCGACAGCGACAGCCGCAGCCCGCCCAGCCGCAGCTGCCCCGGCCGCACCACGAAGCACTGCTCGTACACCACAGCGGCCATCTGAAGCGCATGCCGAGCCGCGGACAGCACCTCGGACCGGCTGCGCAGAGCGGCGCCGCAGGGCCGGATGAACAGCTCGCGGGGCCCGGAGGAGGTGTACTCGTAGCGCCGCTGGCAGGGGGGAGGTGGGGAGGGAGGGAGGGAACGAGAAAGCAAGGTGAGGGGAAAGGAGGAGTTGCTGGAGCCGTGTCGCTGGGAGAGAAGCCATACACACGGGCACACCAGGCTGTGCCCACCACGACACCAAGCGCGACACAGCGAACCCCATGTTCCGAAGTCCTCCCAATCAACCTGGCCCCTCCCAACTCCAGACAACACCAGGCATCACCCACCTCGAATGCATCACCCAAGAAGCATCTGCCGTCCTCCTCTTTCTTCTCCAAATCCGCCCAGGTCAGGTCCTTCTTGGTGTTCCGCTTGGCTGGCCGGGTGCCGTCAAGCACAAAGTCACGCACATGGCCGTTTGCGGGCCGCTCCTGGCGCTGTTGCTGCCGGGGTGCCGCTGCCGCTGCTGCTGCCTCCGCGTCGTCATCCTTGTCCTCCTCAACACCCAGCATCACCTGAGGAGGGGCGATGGAGGCAGACAGGGCACCCACAAGGCAGAGCAAAAGGATGCGGGCGATGAGCCACAGGCACGCAGAACGACTACCCCTTTCCTTGAGGCATGCCTCGCCCTTCCATCCAATTATTTTTTGCGTGATTGCCCATTTTGTGGACCAAGCATAACCACAGCAAAGAGCTTCGCTCGTAGAATGGTACGGATGCACATACGTCATGCCGGTCCTGATATAATGTTTCCTGAACCTGAACCAGGGCCCAACCTGGCCCGACCCCCGCCACCCGCCCCACCTTGCGTACTTGCACCCAGCCGCTCAGCTTCGGGCAGCGAAAGTTCAGGGGCTCCAGGGTAAGGGTACCCGTGTCCCCCGGCAGTCCCGTGGCCTTCACCTCGGAGCCGCTGATGGTCAGCAGGTTGCCCGAGGCGTCGAACTCCAGCTCTGGAGGAAGGAATGTAAAGGAGGGGGAAGGATGTCGGGCAACAGGTACGGGCATGGGCATGCGAGGGCACCGTTGGTCGCTAACGTGGATACGCAGTATGCTGATATGCAGCGAGAATCGTGAAGGGAGCGGCTGCTGCTCTCAAGGGAGACGGCGCGTCCATGCAGGGCGCATGCATGTCGCCTTTACAAGCCATCCCTTTTCTTCATTGCCTCAACCCTCCATGCCCCACCTTTCGTGTCGACGAATTCGCTGGTTGCGCCCCGGCCCCTTGAACCCCCAGCTGCTCCGCCGCCGGCGTTAGCTGCAAGTGCCTGCCTGCGGAAGGAGAACTGCACGGCAGGTGCAGGCAGCATGCACGGGAGCAGGGGGCATGCGTTTAGCTGGCACACTCACGCAATCGCCCTCGTAGCCACCACACATTGCATGGGCTCAGGTGCAGCCCCTTCCGCACACATTGCAGCAGCAGAACAGCATCACCCAAACAGCATATCACCCACCGGCGCCGGTCGGCCACCCTCGCCGCCTTCCCTGACGCCCTGCAGCCGCACGCGCGGCCGCTTCTCGCCCGGGTGCATGTAGTAGGGGTTGTCCCTGTCATCCACCAGACGCAGCGCCAGGTCGTTGTCCACCTCGGCGCCCTTGCTCAGCTGCGGCAGCACGGCAAGGGAGGGAGTCCCGGTGCTTGTGGAACAACCGTGGGCAGGGCGCATGGAACAGGGGTTTCCCACTGAACCTGGCGGATATGACAAGGCAAAACAGGAGTACAGGACGCGCTAGGCAGAAGAGCCCCGGTGGGGCGTTAGGAGTCATGCTGAAAAGACCTACATGTCATGCGTGCCAGGACCAGGCCATCCTAGCTCCTAACCCATTCACGTCCCCCAAGTCACTTCACCCCACCCACCGTCAGCGGGTCAGTGCGGGCCTTGCCGTTGAACCAGTTGCCTCGCTCCACCTTGATGCGAGCCGCCGGACCGCTCGTCAGCACCAGCTCCGCGTCTCCACCGACCCGCGGGTCACCCTCCGCAGGGGTGGTGGTGATGCGCGACACCTTACCGCGGCCCATCGCGCCGGCAGCCGTACGCAGCGCCACTTCCAACCGCACGTCCACGTGGGGCACGTTGGCCTGCGCGGGCGGATGAGGAAGGTCGGGGTAGGAACATGTCACTGTCGCATGCGTTGGTACTGGCAGACAAGCAACCTCCATTGCAGATAAGCAAGCCCAGGCGCACCCACTGTTCCCGGATTCAGGTGCCCTAGCCATTCATCGCTACCACCCTCTACTAGTAATTTTCATGTCGTGAGCTGTGAGCTGGAACAACACAGACGCCTTATCAGCTCACCAGCTGCATGTCCAGCGGCGTCCGCTGCTTCAGCTTGATTGGCTCCACGCACAGGCCGCTCACAAACATGGTCATGCCATCCGCCGAGAACGTCAACGTCTGGGTCTTGGCACCGCTCCCACCGGCTGCTGCTGCTGCAGCCTTCCGCACCCCCAGCTTGAGGCTCAGCGGGTCGCCGTTGTGCACCTTGGCCAGGATCTCCAGCGGGTTGCCGGCGTTGCTGCCGCCGCCGCCGCCCGCGTCACCCGCACTCCAGGGCAGCTCCAGCCGTTCGACCATGTCGGGACGGAACACCGTCTGTGCCGGGACGAGGTAGGGAACAGGGCTAGGTCAGGTCGCTACCTGGATGCCCAGTGACAAGCAGCCAACCGTAACACCCTGCGATGCCTTGAGCACGCTCAAGTTCCGGCACGTCAATCAAGTACCCAGCTGCCGTCCCCCCCCCAGCCCGTGCAAACCGAACTGAACAGGCCGCCACAAACAGGCCGCTCAAGGAAAGCAGCCCACCGCAGTGCGCGGTCCTCACCCTGGCTCCTCGGTTGTCCAGCAGCTGCACCGCCAGCACCGGCATCACCTCGCCCAGCCGCACCACCGGGGGCTGCTGCAGCATGCGCAGGTCGCCGCCCGGCTGCCCCGGCTGCTGCGCCAGGAAGAACGCCACCAGGCGCACCGGCTGGCCGTTGGTCACCTGCGCTTCAGCAAGTGCTGGGGTAAGCCGTACGACATTGTAAGGACCAGCGCTAGAGTGCCGAACAGAAAAGAAGGCTGGCCCTTCATCCAGTCACCCCCTCCCCCGCGCACCTTAAACTTGTGCTCCAGGGTGTGGGTGGGGTCCAGCAGGCGGGGTCCGTCGCCCTCGTCCACCACGAACCGCAGCCGGTACTCCCCGGGGGCGCAGACGCGCTGGCAGAAGCCGGAGAACAGGTACCTGAGGGCAGGTGCGGCAGTGCGAGTAAAGTTTAGATGCCTGATACGTGTTCGGCGCCTGGTTAAGATAGGTCTTTGGTGCATGGTAAAAGGTGATAGCCAGTGACGGGAAGACAACTGCACCGACACATACATACAGGCACTTTGTTCAACGCAATGCGCCGCAGCAATTCCTCTGCTGCTCAAGCGAACCCAGTGAAAAGGCGAGTAAGGTGCCAACAATACTTGCACACAGCGCCACAGCGCCCTACTTGTGTTCCACGGCGACCCCCTGCAGCTGTTCCACCTTGGTCCAGCCACTCGAGGCATCCGTGCGCTTCCTGCGGCAGCAATCCAACACGCACTTCAGTACACTCTCCTCACAGGTGCGCCTGGCCAAAGCAGGCGATGATAAACGTGAAGTCTGCATTTCGTACAGGAAGACGATAACTTTTAGTCCATGTCTAAAGCCTTTGCGAGCACAAAGCACTGGTGGGCCGCAGAACAGAGGCTTCCTGTGGATAGGAACCCTAAGCGCATGGCAAAGGTGCAACAAAGCGACGATGAAGCCATGCTGGTGACATATAAGGTACGACAGAAGCGGTACTATTGTAAGAGCGCTTACTCGATGACCATGGACACGGCGGCCTTGTAGCCAGTGAAGTGCCGCTGGGTGCGCCCCATCTCCACTTCCCGCGCTTGCTTGCCCTTGCGCCGGCCCCCTGTCTCCGCCGCGGGTGCCGAGATCAGGGCGACGGTTATGCTGTCGAAGCTGTGGTTCGGGTCGTACTCGGCGCCCGGCGGGCCATCCTGTGGAGCGCACCGGGGTAATGTGTTGGGCACGAAATGTGGGGGTTTTGTCATTATGCGCTGGATAGCGCCTTGAATGAATGAAGGCCGGGGCGGGAACGGAATGGAGGATAGGCGGGGCGTGGATAAGGGTGCGTTACTACCAGACCAGCGTTGATACCAGACCATCGGCGACGTAAACACCCACTGCAAGGTTGTGCCAGGACCCAGGAGAATAGGGTGGTGAGGAGATAAACCTCCTAATGGGTTGCCGACACGCATGGCCGACTCATGGGTCATCTGCCTACCTCTCCCGGCAGCACCGCCAGCCGGTACGGCAGGAACGACTCCCATTCCTTGACCAACTTGTTCTGCTCCTGCTCTCGGCGCTCCTTATCCTTCTCCTTCTCCTCCGCGAGTTTGCCGGCACACAGCACTTGCAACTCCATGATGCTGTTGGATTGCAGCGCTGCGGAGAGAACAAAAATAGTAGATTATCCAGGAATTTGGGGCGGAATGGCATAAGGTGAGGGTATCATGGAAAAATCAAGCGATACATGCCTTGACATCGCATACCAGCTGCAGTCCCCATCCAACATCACACGCCATGGACATCGTCTTATGGGCTATGCAGGGCACGTACTGCCCTTAGCAATGTCAGCTGCCGTTGCCGGCATTTTAGGGAGAACCAATCAAGGGCATCGCAATGACACGGAAGCGGCCCATGCCATGAGCCCATGCCACCCCCCTAACAGCTGCAGTCCACCACCCATTCATCACCTCATGGACATCCTAGCACTTTGCATGCTAATGCAGCCATCTATGGTAGCCATTAGCCGCCGCTAATGAATGAGTGACCGCTACTGGTGCAAAGGCAGGGTCAGTAAACGCTGGTACGAACTCAGGGAAGCGCCGGCCCTACCCGCGAGTGGCGCCCAGTGTGGCCTCCAGGGCCTCACCGCCGCGAAGAGCTGTTTGGCAAAGTCGTTGCCCTGCGAGAAGAACACCTCCACCATGCGCGCGTGCCCCGCCATCTTCTGCGCGTTTCTGTGATCATCACGCTTGGCGTGGATTTTAATCGGGTCACCCTCCATTACCTGCACACCGCCATCCCAACCGGGTTCCAACTGGGTATTGTAAGAGTTTTACGAAAACCAGTAGATAGCCTATACATTCGTTGGCAAGCCAGCTGCACAACAGTAATTAAGGTTGGAGGAATCAAGTAGCGAAGAGGCATGATCAGCCAGCCCCCGCTATCCGCGCATGGCTTTCGACGCCTCGCTTCAGCGTGCTTGTAAGTATCTCCGCTCCTATTTACTTCAACTCACCCTGGACGCCACGCCCTGCACCTCCTTTTTCTCTGGCCCCCACCTTCCTCCCCAGCCCATCGACCCCTCCGTCCCCACCGCCGGCCACCCACCATCTCGCCCCTTTCCAGAGGCGCGCGTCCCTTGTCGAACGCGTACTTGTGCGAGTACTCCACCATGCCGCGTGACGCCAGGTCGAAGCCCCAGGGCTCCGGCAGATCCAGTAACGTTAGGTCCGCTATCTGGGGGCCCACCAACTGCCCGTCGTCATCCTGGGGCAGGTGATGGTGGGGCGGCCGAGGGGTTCAGGGAGTGAGCTTACCGTATGTCAGTGAGGAGGCAAGAGGACGGGTGAGGGCACAGCCAACCCCCCGTCATACCATCATGAGCTCATGAACACCCCAGGAACGCACCATCTTGAACCAGGTTTGGAAGGCCGCGTGCAGCTGGTTGGCTGCAACGGCGTGCACCTGGTCCTCATGCCACCCGGCCTGGTCGGGAAACCGCCGCGCAGGAGTGCCCGCCACGCCACCCCCTCCCGCGTGAGTAGTGCTGCTGCGGCGGCCGCGGCGGCCGGCCGCAAAGGTGCTGTCGGGGACGCCGCCGTTGGAGGGCCCTGCCTCCGAGCCAGCGGGCATGCCGGCGGGGCCGCTGCCAGGGGGCCAGACGTAGGTCATGAGGCGCGGGAGTACGTCGAAGGGCGCGGGAAGACCGGTGGCGGGCCCGGCCTTGCAGAAAAGCTGCGGAGAGGTGTAGGCGCGGGAGGCGAGGGTTCGCAGGGACACGGAGCAGGATGCGACTTGGTTATGCACTGTAGAAGGTCCAGGAGTAAACAGGCGCACTGGGGTACTAAAGAGCGGTAGGCGGTAGGTAATCGGACGCTAATGCACCGTGCGCATTGCACCCAGCATACGCAGCAGCCATGCGGCGTGTAACGGTGTAAGAGGGCAGGGTAACGCCAAGGGAGGGAGGTCCCACCATTCCATAAATGTCACGTGCTCTTTCAGGTGCCGGCGCCTGTCCTAACCGGCCCCACCGGCACCTTTCTTGCTGGCACCTTATCTCCTCCTTTCACATGACCTCTCCTCCACTAGCCCCCTCCCCGGCATGCAACTCGGCGCACCTCGTACGCCTTGCCCTCGAAGTCCGACTTGTGCTGGTGTGACAGCGCGTCCGGCGACACCAGCAGCAGCCCCAGCAGCCGCCCGCTGTCCTCCAGCTTGTGCGCGTGGCCCTAGGCGGAGTAGGAGGGGCGCGGAAAAGAAGTCAGTGCACCAGTGCAGTTAACTAAGGGAGTGGGGCATACCGGTATGCGGATGGGGATCTAACAAGGTAGGGTCTTGGATATGGAGATTCAGCGTTCATCAACTTTTGCATCCCATGCCCTTTAGTAGCCGTACAGCGGTGTTCCTCCCCCATCCCGCAAGCACCTGGGTGTCCTGGTGCTTGCGAGCCAGCGCAACCGCCGCCTTGTAGATGTCTGGGAACTGCGAGTGCAGCTTGGACTTGACCATGTCCTTGCCGCTCCAAAAGGGGAACGTGAACAGCCTGCAAACACGTGCAGGCGAGCACCGAACTCATTTACCGGGCACCCACTGGAGCCGGGAACCAGGGAGAGGACGACAAGAGACATGGTATACCAGACATGGCAAGCAAGGATACCGGTGCACGGTTCAAACGTAACGCAGGCCAAGGCAAGCGCCGAGTGTCCCATGGGTCTGTCTGTCTACCACATACAAGCACTCACTCGCTGGTAACGTCGCCGGGCTTGGTACGTGCGCTGTCCACAGTTGCAGCAGCAGCATGCATGAACCGGGCACAGAGCGGTGACAAGTTGATACGGGCTTCATCATACATTGAGCGTGGTAACGCAAAGCATGATCGAGGGCAGTTCCACAGGAGGGGGTGGCAAGCCGTTAGCTTAGGCCCAAGCTATGCATGGGACGTCCACGCGCATCCCAGCAGTACCACCAGCATGGAAGCCGCCCACCCACCCACGCCCCCCTCCCACCTAGCACTGTACGGGAAGTACAGCCAGATGACCAGGAAGTCACACACGCAGTCAATCTCCCGGGTGTCGAGGTCGTTACCGCTGTCATCCAATGACACCGGACCGGCAGCCCCCGGCTGCGCGCCGCCGCCTCCACCGCCCTTACGCACCGGTGTAGGGCCCACAGAGGATCGACCGGCCCAACCGGCGGAGGGCCCTGCGGTTCCCGGCCTTTCCTGGCCGGAGGACAAAGCGGCTGGGCGGGGGGTGGCGACGGGTGTCGTACGGCCAGGTGTCTTGCCAAAGGGGCCGAGAGGGCTCTGGTTCGGCGGGAGGTACCTGCGGTAGGGGCAAGCAGGCAAGGGGTCAAGGATACACCAAAGCAAGAAGAAGTGAGAACGGGCGAAAGCGGGGCACTTAATGCCAAACGCTTAGGGCGCATGGCGTCAAGGGCGTTGACGGCAGTGACGAGTCCAACAAGTGTTTAGGCCGGTTATTCCCACGCCAATATCAGACGTGGCTGACCAGATGAACATGCTACGCAGGATCCCTGCAGCATGCAATGCAATCCCTCTTCACGTCCCTCCAATGCCCAACCAGTACCCCAAACCTGCCGTCCGTTTTGCTCTCGACTAGCCCAACTCGGAATGCCTCATTCACCCCCCCCCCGCTTCCGCCCGTCAATTCTCACCGCAGGTAGCTGACGCACGGGTGCAGATATTCGTTGGCCTGACACAGCCGCTCGTACTCCCGCATGGCCACATGCAGGTCGGAGTCGTAGCCGGGACTTGCGGAGTCTGGCCCCAGCACGGCGCTGAAGTAGTCGGTGCCATTCCCCCTCGCCGTCATAGTGATGGTCAGCCCACCTGCTCAAGTGCCCATTGCGCATACAGTGGGTAGGCGACGGAGACAGCTGAGTGCACGGCACGTGTGTGACAGCGCATGTTTTGACCAGTCAAAGGCGTAAAAGTGATCAGGAAACACGCCCCTGGCGATCATTACAGGCGGATTGCTCAGCTGCACGTGTAGCTTTGACGCCCGCTGAAGCAGCGGCAACTGCGGCAGTGCAAGCTGCTTGGGTTGCAAGCTTGCAACCTCCACTTAAGAGGTGGGCGCTTACCCTCGGGCCGCGTGCAGCCGCTGGTGAGCTCCTGCGGCAGCTTCTTCCAGAGGTGCTCCGGGAAGCCGTAGATGAAGAAGTAGTAGACCTGGCTCAGCTGCGGAAGGGACAAGGGGAATCAAAAGGATAAGGCGCGTCAGCAGGAAACAGCCGTGCAAACCGTCATGGCATGGGAGAGTGCAGCAATGGAGGCTGTTTCCTGACGGCTCTGGCTATACTCAATTTGCAATTTGCTTTACACATACCACCGGTAACCAGAGCGAACTCCCCTGGACACCACTGTCAGGTTACCGCAGCCTGTGCCCACTTCTTACGTGGCCCGACATGCTTCACCCGGTGAGACGGACCCTTTCCTGCCCGCCTTACCTCCTTCGCAAGGCGTTGAAGCTGCGATTTACCCGAAATGGCGGCGAGCTTCTCTGGCAGCAACTGCGTGATCGTAATGGTCGTCCCGCTGTCTGCGGGCGCGTTGCATGCAGGGGAGTGCAGCAGGCTTAGGAGTTAGGGCCCTTCACCGGACGAACCCCCAAATGGGACGAACCCAGAGAGCACTTTCGCAAAGGGTATTTGCTTTGCTCTGCTAAGCTCGACCCTTCGTTGCTTACCGAGCTCGTCCTCGGCCGCCGCATAGTCCTTAGCGAACATCCTGAACTTGTACTTATCGGTGTGCTTTTGCGAGCCGTAGTCGAACTGTTCCGGTACGATGGTCGGGCGCATCGCGTCAGGCGCGAAAGAGCGAGATTAACAGATTACCCCTTCCTGACTATTACCCAGATACCAAGGGTAGGGTTGGGTTCATCACCCGTGTTCTCTTTTAGGGCACCATTGTAACGGTCTTTCATTCACCAAGGAAAAAAGACAGGTTTTCAGTGATAAATACGCCGCTTAGAGCAACATGCTCTTCTAATGCCGCCTGACTACTGTGACTACATGAGATACCACTTACATCCAGCCGATGGACCAGGTAGGGCTCCTCGGGGCTTTGCGGGGCCTGAGCGGGGTAGGAGTATTGGAAAGGGCAGCATAAAATGTTGCGCATCCGCAGGCCGTGCAGGTCTTCCCTAAATAGTTGGATAAACGTTTACCCAGCAAGCTGTACCAAAGCTCAGCCGACCGAGGTGTGCCTGCCGGGTGCACCCCTCGTTTCATTAACCCTGGCAGGCCCGACGAACCCAACAAGCCCCACACCAGGAACCGGCAACATGGATTCCGCATATGCTGGAAAGCCCGTACACGCGCCTTAAAGCTTTCAATCTGGATGAAGTCGCCGAAGTACACAGTAGCTGCTGAACCACGCCCGAAACGGTTGAGCTTGCAATTGATGAACGAGGTCAGGGGAAGGACGTTCACGTCTGGGAGAGGGCATGGTGCAGGGAGACATGTAGAAGTGAAAGGGCTAGCGAGGTGAAAACGGAACACACACGAGATGGGTGGAAGGAGGGTAGTAAAGGGGCCATACCATGCAATGAAGTCAGGCTAGCCATATGATATGGCCCATATCATATGATGCTGTACTCGCTATAGCTAAGAAGCAAGCAAGCATGCTCATCCTCAAGGATGGATATCCTGTGAGTTTGTATTGAGCTTTCCCGGCGCCCTGTTTACCCCCACCCCAACCTTGTACGTTTAAGCAATGGGTGGGGAAGCTCTGTGTTCGCCTCGTCGTGGCAAGGAAAAGTACACCCTAGTAGCATAAAGCTCTTTAGGTCCCACCAACCCCAGATACAACATTCATACCTCTGTGCATGTCAGGGATCCTTGATGTAGTGGATGCGTGTACAATATAAGTCGTCAGCTGGTCCTTGCTCATACCCCGGCCGTTGTCTTCGAAGATCAGTTCTGGACCTTTCGGTCCATCAAGGTTCAGCTTGATGGTAATCCAAGGCTCTGAAGGGGCGTACAGAAGTAAAAATGGTTTGGCAGGCAGATCGCTCACAGCATGAGCATAGCATGCGCTAAGGACCCACCCTTGCGCCCTGATGTCGCGTCAATCGAGTTGTCGATATGTTCCATAAAGCTTATGATTGGCTCGAACGCCTCCATCTGAAAGCGCCTTACTTTGTTAGCTGTATGCAGCATCCTTTACCAGTGTCAAGTCTCAGCACAAACTCTGCGCACCTCCTGACGAAGCGAGCGCGTCAATGGAATGGCGTTGAAGTCCCCGGGCAGTTCGCGGTACTCTGATTGCCCCATGGTCACCGTAGCCTAATTTTTCTGCTAAATAAAAGCGGTAACTGTACTTTTGGTCTATATATGTATTGTCTCTTTGTTCGTATCCTTAAGGCAAGAACATGCGTTTTAGCTTCTGGCCACGCGCTTCGTTAGTGCCGTGAAATGCCCAGACTATGGTCTCGGAGGCCATATCAAGCAGGAGTTTGCAGCTTTGCACGTTTGCGACAGGCTGCAGATTAGCTCACCGATTGCTGTCATCCAGCTCAAATGTATTTTGCTCTGCTTAACTAGGAAGTCCTTGACTTGCTTGCCGGCTTTTAGTTACCACCCCTTTAGTTTCGCCCTCCACCCATACGTACATCTAGGGCTGCAACAACGTGCAAAATATGGGACGCAATGCTTACAAGGAGGATATTACAAAGGTACCTTATAGATAAAGGCAGGGTGTTGCCGCTGGAATGAACGGATGTCGCTGGGATTTGGTTGGCTTGGCCTATAGGCGCTCTATGAGAGTGTTTCATGCGTGATGCCCTTCCTGATAACGTCTTGAAGTATGTCTTATGCTGGTTTAGCCATAATGAATGAGCGCTGTGGGGTCACTTCCAGTGGTGGCTGCTGATGCCCATACCCAAGTCAACATGCATCTGAAGTGCAACAAGCTTTCCAGCATGCGCCGGAAGCCTGGGAACAGCTACTTGGTCATGAATTGCGGTTTCAAGGTGGCAGTGTACATCGTGCACGTACTAAGTCAAGTTAAGTAGCTCTTAGTGTCCAGGGTGAAGGGGCTGAGGAGGTCGGTGGGAAGCACACATGTTCATTCAGAACGTGTATCAAGTACTTGTGAGGTGCACACGCGGTACGGCGTCTTGCGCCACCCCGTTCGGCCCGTCCAGTAATAGGCAAGCGATGAGGGGCGAGCGGCGTACGGCTGCTTGGTTGGATCAATATGTCACTCTTGACGTTCGGACTCCCCTGTAGTACTCGCATTTGACGAGCCCTGCCGACCGGTTGCCATTGATTTTTCTGCGTGGGACGTATTTGGAACTCAGCGTATTTACATGTGGAATACGGACGGTAGCTAAACCGTCACTTCGAGCTGAAACATCTACTTGCAGACTGACCCCGCTTCGTCTGAAGACAAAATTTTAAGTGCCGCTTAAGAAGCTAGGAAGCCAAGAGCTTCGCGACCCGTGGGTCAACAGTCACTCCGGCTCCAGTCCACAACATGAGCGCAGCGCCTGAGGTCGTTGCGACTTCCAGCAAAACCAAGGGCAGCAGCAAGCTGGGCTTGTTGTACCTGATAACACGCGGGCATCCAACCAACTATGACATGGTGCGTGGCTGTGGGTTGTCGCATGGGGCGAACGCATGTTGGCATGCATGATGAGGATACAGACGGGCTAGCTGAGCTCTCACCTTTTGCTTGAAGGAGGATGAGAGCGGTCACGCCAGTCACTGCTTCACATAACAAACCCATCCTGACCTATCCGAGCAAGTCCCCAAGCCTCTGCCTTCCCAATAACATATGCCCACCCTCATCCCCCGCCAAAAACCAACGCAATGTCGTACGGAACACTCCTTCAGCTGGTTTTCCGTACGCTGAATCGCGACATGAAACTCCCCAACCACAATGAGGACCACCTGGCGGAGCGGCTGCGAGACGAGCTCATGCCGGTGCGCAGCTGGATGCTGAAGCACCTGCCAGGCAGCAAAGGGCAGCTGAGGGTAAGCTCTGCTGCAGCGAGCACCGATTCGTGCGTGTGTCCGGAATGCAGGGCGTCTTGGCCTGAACGTTCAGCTTGGTATCGTGCGTGCCTGCTGTGCCCTGGCCGCTAGCTACGGTGCTCTGTTAACTGCTGTGGATGATAGAGTACGGGTATGGCATGGATGTTCCCAACACCGGGTGGTGGATAGTTGCAACAGCAATCATTCCCAATTCCCAACCCGGTTGCTTGCTGGTGGCCTCTTACCCCACCAAGCTACCGTATGGCATCGCCCTGCTCCTCGCCCCGATGACTACTACACAACCTATCTGCCCACATATGCAACCCCACTATGCAACCTGCTGCCCCCCCCACAGCGCACACTGGAAAACTCGCTATGGGGTGTGCCCGGAGCCGTCAACTTTATCGACGCGCGCACCAAGTGGTTCGACAGCGCAGTGAAGGATGCGCTGGCAGCGGGCATTAAGCAGGTGAGCGGGCGCATACGGCGCGTCTTGCAAAGCAAGCGTATTCCTCTTCCGTACTGACCGTACGTTGCCACTACAGGAATGCAGCTATGCTGCTGCGGTACCATTGCATGCAATGCAGTCCTTGCTTCAACCGCCCGCGTTTCTGTGCCTTCCTGTGCCCGTTGTCAGGTGGTGGTGATAGCCGCTGGGTACGACACACGCGCCTACAGGCTGGGTGCTCCGGGCGTGCGGTTCTTCGAGGTACGGCGTGGGGTGCGAGGAAGATGACCTATCGTAGGGTTCGTCCCTCACGACGGTCACGAGCCCTTCTGTTGTCCTCTGGTTGTCCATGCAGGTGGACCTGCCCTCCGCTTCAGCCACCAAGCAACGCCTCGTGGAGAAGCTGGGGTTCGTGGAAGACCCGGTGAGGCCACTGCTGCCGGATGCTTGCATGCATGCATGGTGGGCTTAGTGACTGCACTGGCTACAAGTTATGGACATGCCCAACACACATGACTCGTGACGACCCCAACTGTGTGAACCACCCCAAACCCCCCAAACGGATGCATGCTTCGCTTAACAACCTCAGCCTGCTGGATATTGGACCCATGGGTCGCCCTCATTCCGCTTGCACTTTGGCAACCTGCAGGCCATGCTCCCAACCTACGTCGCAGCGGACTTGTCCAAGGTGCCCATAACCCAGGCGCTGGAAGGTACCGGCTTCGACGCCTCGCAGCCCACCCTCTTCACCATTGAGGGCCTTATCTACTACCTGCCTGCACCGGCCTGCGCCAGCTTATTCGAGGCGCTGTCCGGTCTCTCCGCCCCCGGCAGCCGCATCTACTTTGACTTCATGAACGCGGCTGCGCTGGAGGGACGCGGCAAGTTCCCCGGCTTCCGAGTCACACGCAAGGTAAGATCCATGCACGCTCAGAATCCACCACCTGCACTGTCCCGTACCACCCATGCCGTACTGCCAACCTTCAGCGGAAACCATTGCGTTAGGCTGGCAACAACCCGTACCTCTGCTCAAGGCATCCCACCCCGCTGGCCTGCATGCCAACGCGCATCCCATCCATGAAATCCCAGCTGCTAAACCACCCTGCACACTCCTTACACTTCCTACACCTCCAACCGCTCTTCCCACTCACCCCCAGTCCGTGGCCAACAAGGGCGAGCCCTTCCTGTCTGGTATCGAGTCCACCCGTGAGGCCGTCTCAGCTTACGTAGCGCCCTTCGGCCTGCGCCTGCTGGACTTCCTGAGCCCCAAAGACATGGTGGGCCGCATGCTGCCGCACCTGCAGTGGTGCGAGCGCAAACCGCCCATCGCCAGCTTCTACAGCTATGCGGCCGTGGAGAAGTAGTGGCGGCCGCGGCGGACGGCGGACAGAAAGGGGGGGAGAAATATCAATGTGTGGCGTGATAGTGGTACATTTAGCTGAGACGGCGGACGGGAGGGGGAGTGTGCGCTTGTGGAGCCGGTGGTTGCTGCTGCCGATGGAATGATTGGCAAAGAGAGGTTGCATTAATGGTGTACTGAGCTGACGCTGTATCGGTTAGGACGAAGTCAGGGTATGTTAAGTTGGGCTTGTGGCAATGAATAAACGCTGTTGTTGGGGCATGTGAAGGCCAAAGCCCGCTTGTCCAGGAGGAAGGGACCGTGACCGATGTGTTTAGGACGTCTCCGGTTTATTATTACTACAACTTACAACGTGATCCCACCTGCTACTATGCTACTGCGTGAGCACAAATCAACGTGATCTCTAACCCTAGGGCAACGTGATCGAAATCTCTTCACCACAACGCACGGCTCTAGTACGGCTGGGTGCTGTGCCAGTGAGGGGCTCCACTCGGGCTAATAAGCCCCTGTACAACCGGTTTGCCACCCAACCGACAATCCTAAAAATGCAACGCTTAACAGCATGCGAGACCCTCATGTACCATATACTGCGGCGCTGGATTGGCTTGGCCGATGCATTGATCATCGCCCGGAGCGCATGGCGCTCCACAACCCTTGTAACCAACCCCAAGCTCCAACCAAGCACTCCATTGCACAAACCTCGCTTCTACACCGATACAGGGGTTCGTTGCATACATTCGTCCATCTTGGACTCCTTCACCTCCCTATCCCATATACACCCTCCCGTTCACCTCCACACCTCCTCCTCTTCCCCCCTCTTCCTGACTTACTGGCGGTCCGAGGTGTCCCGCTCACCGCCCTTGCCGCTCACCAGCCCCGCCAAGCCCTTGGCCACCGCAGCCACCGTCTGCGTGATGCCACCGCTCTTGCCGCTCGACTGCGATGTCTCCTGAGATTGCGACTCCAGGGATGACGCACCGCTGCCCTCGCTGCCGCCCGCGGCAGCCCTAGAGGAAGGCGCGTTGCGGGCCTTGGTGGGCGCCATGCCGACACCGCGGGTGTCAGCGGCCCGCTCGGCAGCACCGATGCCGCCGCGGACGGGCTCAAAGCCCGCACCGCTAGCGGTTCCGGAGGCGCCGTGCTGGCGCGCAGTCGCCTCCATGTCCCCGTAGCTCGATTCGAAGAAAACGTATACGAAGTATGCGGTTTCGGAGGAGCGAAGCGAAGGGATGCATACCCCGTTCCCGTCACGCTCAACGGGATCCTTTCAGCGCCCTTGTTCACGGCTCGGCCTTTATTTTGAACCGTCCAGCGTAGCGTTCTTTTGATGTCACGCTGGGATGCGAATCGGATAGCGGAATATTCTGTACTAACAAACAGACTTCCAACCGCCTTTTCGCTTGGGATCCTTGCCTTCGCCGCTTGGCGCGCTTTCCGTCCTCGTCCTGCCGTGCGAATTTAGAAAAGACAAAAAGTCGACAAAGGAAGAACAGGACCAGTTTCCTGAACCTTGCTCGCACGGCAACTTTTGCCGAAGCTGCGGTACTCGCGACACCGCACGTGCACGTATCTTTAGTTGTGCGTAGATACATTTGTAAATAGTTAATTGGAGTAAAAGCATAGTATCGCACTTCCGTGCTGTATTGAAGGCGAAGCGACACGACCGGCGTCCAGTCGGTGTGCTGCTACGTTACACCGGCTTCTTGTTGAGCCGTACTCTCCAGATGTCGAGTTATCAGCTCTCCTGGGTTAGACAGGGCCGGTTTGGACGGTGGGCCGGGTCGGTGACGTGCCTCGCGATTTCTGGCCCGCAGCAGCAGCTGCTGCGCAGTTGGTCGTCCTTCGCGGGCACGCCGGTCTTCCCGGCATGCTACTTACTAGCAAATGTGCTGCTGATAATTGGGTGGTTGAGGCAGTGCGCCGTTGCTTTGGCCCCCTTGTTGCGGATTCGGCGGACGACCTACGCCTCATCAGGACAGCGTTGTGTACGACCCGAGATGGGCTCCTTCGGGCCGCCGGCTCGCCGGGTCTATTGAAGGGTCTACTGGTGCAGTTGCGTGCCGTTGGCCAGCCGGGGCGCGTCTGGGCGTGCGCCCTACTGCTGCGGCTGCAGAAGAGCGCTCCTCGTCACGTTCTGGCAGACTTGCAGGAGGTGTGCTGCTCGCGGTTTGACGAGCATGTTTACCAAGCTCTGTCTTTCAAGAAGCGAAAGGGCATACCGTACCCGGAGGTAGCGTGTTACCAGTTTGACGCGGCTGCTGTGCTGCCAGTAATGCCGGGAGTATTGACAGGCGACCCACGGCTAGGTCAGCCGGCCACGGGCCAGGCGCCGGTAACATCCCCGCTGACTGGCGTGCCTGGGGTGTCTCGCACGCCGCTCTTAACACCTGGCGCGCCGCTGGGCTCCTCGGGTGATGCAGCGGCCGCGGCGGCGGTGCCGCCTGCGGCGGCGGCGGCGAGGAGCAGGGGCTCGGGGCTAGGGGCCCTGCTTTGTGTGCCTGGCGCGTTCCCGGTGCCACTCTTCGCGCCTGGTGCAGCGGTGACGGCAGTGACGCCAGCGGCGGTGGCGGGGGGGAGGGGCTTGGGGCCGCATGGGCGGCCCCAGTGAGAAGTATGCGGTTTCGGAGGAGCGAAGCGAAGGGATGCATACCCCGTTCCCGTCACGCTCAACGGGATCCTTTCAGCGCCCTTGTTCACGGCTCGGCCTTTATTTTGAACCGTCCAGCGTGGCGCGCTTTTGCTGTCACGCTCTTTGATTCGTTATCTTACCAGATTTTCAACGGTCGGCCGCGCTTCGGGCGTCGCTCGTGCCGTTGAAAGGAGTCGTTTGCTTCCGGGTTTGTCTGAGTTTGTAAAAGGCTAAGGCTATAATGCGTAGCCAGTGTGGCTTCACGTTGGCTTCATCGCGCTTCGGTCTCGCAAGGAACACCACGCCGCTTCATAGAACATAAAACGCATAAAAAGAAAAGATGTCCTAAACGTATAAACGTATATATGAACGTACGTAAAACTAATTCATAACGGCGCCCAAGCCACGCCACGTGGGCGAGGATACCAAAAACACTCAATTGCCTGGAGAGTAGTCCTAGCCGAACCTCTGGACTGGATTGCTGCTGCCGTCTTTCGTTTCGTTGTTAAGTGTAGAGTTACCGCTCCTCGAGCCGGGCACCATGGAAAAGGATGACCAAGGTGTGTGTGGCGGGCGCAATACTTCCGGTGATTCTGGCGCTGTACCAGCCTTCCCTTGGGTGTGTCGCAGGAAAAGGTCCCCGCAGTGGCGCCAGCAGCGCCAGCAGCAGCGCCGGCGGCAGCAGCGGGAGGGCTGGGATTGGGGCATGGGCGTTCCACAGCGCTGCATGTACAGCAGAACGACCTTTTGGGTGCACCAGCGGCGGCATCGGCTGCAGCCAGGCAGGCGCGCAGACGTGACAATGCAGCGTGCAGGCTTCAGCGGAGGCAACTGATGGCAGCAGCTAGGCAAGCTCGCCAGCGTAAGCGTTCTCGACCTGTGGGTGGCTTGTCTCACGATGACTACCTCGAGTCCCTTTCAGGCTGCCTCTGCTTGCCGCTTTTCCGTCACGACAATCCAGCTGTACCTGAGCTGCCGACGTTCTTAGAGACACAAACGTCTGCAGGACTTGCCAGCAGGTGAACAGCCTCCCCAGATACCGTTTTCGGAGCAGGCCTGTGGCCTCGCCGAGTTCGTTCGCGACAACATGCCATCACGGGTGTGTGCAGTCTGCAGCGAGTGCAAGTCCGCTTCAGAGGTCCGGGCGCTGCAGTTCAGCGAGATAGCTGGCGTTGAGCAGCTACGTGCTGACATGCGGCGGACTGCGGCTGTGCCTCGTTGCACGCACGTTCTGTATTGGCGACGTGTCAATCGGCGTGACTGCAAAAACCCGCCGGATCCCGTACTGCCACGCGGCTACAAGGCCGGTGGTGGTCAGTCGGGCAACGTCGGCGTAGTTGACACATCCGCTGGCGAGGACAGCGGCGAGACCAGCAGCGGCCTTGACGACTCTACCGATGATCGGCCGTCACGCCGACAACGCTGCGACATAGACCGTCCTCCGACGTATGCGCCGCGGGTAGGGGTACGGCTGTGTGACGATGATCCCGTGGCGGTGGAGGTGCCGTACTGCATGCGCGCGGAGACGGTACTGCCTAACCGAACGATGAACGTTTCAGCGGACGGCGTGGAGCGCTTTACGGTCTGCTCGGAATGCATACAGGCCTTACAGGGTACGTTGGGTAGTGAACGCTATGGTAACATGGGGGCCGTCTGTTTGCGAAGGTTGTGATCACTATTAGCACCGGCATGGTGCTATTTGTTTTCATTACAGATGATGGGCTGCCTCGACCGGGCCCTGGCACTGTACCTCCGTCTATTCCCATGCCTCTACTGACATTGAACACCCCTGTCACTGCCCTTCACCAGGTGGGCGGATTCCAGATGGGGCGCTGGCTCGGTTGGATCCCGGCGACGTACCCCTGTAAATCAGCATGGTCATTCGCTCGTACCGCTGACGCATCTGGAGAGCTTGGTGGTGGGCCTCGCTCGCCCTCACATGCGGCTGCTCGTTGTGCGGCAGCCGGGTACGCCCAGCTGGCGCGCGGTGGATACCTTGCCAGCGGCGTTGCGTGGGCATACGCTCGCCTTTCCAAACGACGTGCCCAGCGAGCTCCAGCGTGTTGTGCTGTACGCTCCAGAGGATCTGCCGTCCTTCATTCAGGTCGTGCTAATTGATGCTGTCAAAGATCGTGCCGACCTTGAGGCCAAAGTGCGGCAGGCACCATGCTTGGAGATGCGGGGCCTGGCTATCGCTGCATGGGCGGAGTGGGCCGTTCACGTGAATCCAATGGCTCAGGTGGACCACGCTGCACTTCAGCAGTATCGCGCTCTGGGTGCGAAGCCGACGGTGCCAGAGCCGTTAGTGGCGCACGCGGTGGCTACAGATGACCCAGACACGGCAGCGGTCATGCGCGCTGCATTTGAAGGGGATTGTGCCGGCAACGCTCAGGTGCGGCAGCAGCAGGATGATGTGGAAGCGGCGACGGAGGGCGCGAATGCAGCAGGCGAGGGGCCTACCTTTTCCATCTGCAACGCAATGGTCCGAACGTGCGCATGAGCAGGGAAGCTTGTTTTGACTCATCCTTGTTACCAGTTGTACGTCCGACGTCGCCTGGGACCGTACATTTGTAGGTGGTCGATCGCCTGGTCCGGATGCTGGTCAGGAGCCAGCGCCGTCTGGTCGTACGCCAAATATCCCGGTGACAGGTAAGGACCTGATGTGCATTGCTGCGCGTGGAGGGGGGGTGGGAGACAGCGTCTTTACCCATACCGTGCTGTGCCGCCATGCAATCACACACCCAAGGTAACCCTTCCGATGACGCCGGGCAACATCCAGCGGGTGGCTGTTGTGCCTCTCTAACTCCAGCTCCAGATTAACTGGAACTTTGCAACTTTAATCCTAAATTGTTGCCAACCGCGCGCATGCAGGCGTCTTCGCTTGGCCGTCGCCCAAGACTGGAGACAATTGAACCCGGTTGCACGCTTGGCAGAGAATACCTGCCGGCCGATTGTACGGAGATTGACTCCTTATAACAGCAACATACCGCCCATACATTTGTCGTCTCCTCCCGTTCCACACCACATACCCAACCTAACTTTCAGCTTACATAACTCACTTCCCTTACCGAGCTACGGGTCGCTCCCGCCAAAGGCGGGCCTTACTTGTCCTCACCCGATTTGGCGGTGGCGGTGGCGAGGATGGGCGAGTCGTTGGCGGCGGTTGCGGTGGTCTCGGAGTCGGCGGATTCGGTCATGCTGCGAGCGAGCAGATGGAAAGGCAGCGAGGAAAGGCGAATATTTTGGTGTTTAGTGTCCATTAGTGTAGTTATATAAGCTTGCAGCGTTGTGCGTTTCTTGATGCGCCGGCACAGGGAGACAAAGGCGATGTGCAGGGCGCATCGCGCCAAATGATGTTGTGATTTCGGGAGCAGCAAAGTTCACAGCTCCCGCCTAAAACTTGCTACTTCGAAGCGGCAGGAGAGCAGCGACTATAGCTTTCTGTATGTATATCTAAAATCTACACCGGAAATAAGCGAGGACGCACAGAGCGCTTGGAAACACCTCGAATGCTGATGAAAGATAGAATGCCTCGAGAGATGAGGCAATACTGGTACCGGAGAACGGGAGAGACCGCGCTGAACCTACCGCTGAGTCATGCCCTTATCCGTGCCGCCGCGCTCGTTTAGCGTCCCATAGCCAGCAATGTTGGAGATGTCGGATGGCACAACCTCACCGGCACGCAACTCTGTGGGGCAGCGTGCGGAGGGCACGAAGTAGGGACCCGCTTAGAAGCGAGAACTGACCCGCGGGTCCAGCGCGCGGCACAAGCGTGCTGCATTCCATGCGGGCTTTCCGAAATTGGAGCATAAG